TACAAATTTGTATACGTTTTATTTGAGCTGTTGTATTTTTTTTATTTTGAAAATTGTATCTCAAGCTGAACATGAATGAGCTTTTCGAATATTTCGTAACCAGTTGGACTGCATTTTTTGTGGCTTGCTGTTGTTGTCGTTGGCTTGTAGCGTGGCCAAAATGTTTATGTCTTGGCTATAATCGATAGCCAGCCACAAGCACAACAACGCCGACAGCAATCACAACAAAGTCAAGTGTTTGCATTTCAAAAGAACTTCTTTCATCTGCCCTGTTGAATTGCTGGCTTAATTGCATGTGAATTGCAGCTGTAACAATTAATGTTAATTAGGCCCTGATTCTAATTAATTAGCTTTACATAATTACATAGCACCGCATGTGCAAGAAGTTATGCAACGAAAGAAATTCAGCCAACTCATTGCGTGCTTAGGCACGGGAAAAGCAAAGATGAGAAAACAAAGAAAAAGTCTCTTTTGTGGCCAGAGCTGCATCTGTATCTGCTTGTCGTTTCCAGCTGTGCAGCTAAATTGACCCGAGTCTGTATAAGAAAACACGTGGAATCAGAAATGTGGGCCTATTGCGTTACAAAAACAAAAACCAAATCTAAACAGCAAAAAGCGAAAACCGCTGAACAAACAGCGGGTACCAAATTCGATGCGGGTCAGCTACAATTTCATGGTATTTCCCTCTAAGCAACGCCCTGCCCCGCCTCGACCAGCCTCTGGGCATTGCCAATTTGTTCTAACCCACTTGCGGATCCACTTCAATCTATGCTCTAAATATTTTTCAATTAATTATTTTCCCAATGCTGCGACGGCAGTTTCTTATTTTGTGTTTGCCTTATCTTAATTAGCTTATTTTTATTAGCTTAACATACTCTGTAGCTTGACACGTTAAAATGGGGTATATGCAACTAGCTAAGAAAATGTAGCAGCTTGAGTGTGCAAGAAATGAAGACGAATCGCTCGTTAAATATTGATTATGTATAAGATTATGCATGGTCAGACAATTGCGCGCCAACAATTCAATAGCGCCCTTCTACGGGATTCTCAAAAATTCAAGTAGGCTGCGCAGATTTGCACTTGTTTTTCTTTTTGTTTTTTTTTTTTTTGTTTTTTTTTTTTTTTTTTTTTTTTTTTTTTTTTTTTTTTTTTTTTTTTTTTTTTTTTTTTTGTTTTTTTTGTTTTTTTTTTTGTTTTTTTTGTTTTTTTTTTTTTGTTTTTTTTTTTATATTTTGTTTTTTTTTTGTGTTTTTTTTTGTGTTTTTTTTTTTGTTTTTTTTTTTTTTTTTTTTTTTTTTTTTTTTTTTTTTTTTTTTTTTTTTTGTTTTTTTTTTGTTTTTTTTTTTTGGTTTCTTTTTTTTTGTTTTTTTTTTTTTGTTTTCTGTCCCTCATATCTGTTTCTTCTCTCACTCTCTCTTCTCTCCTCTTCATGCTCTCCCTCTCTTTCCTCTCTCTTCTCTCCTCTCTCTCTTTCCTCTCTCTTCTCTCTCTCTGCTCTTCTCTCCTCTCTCTCTGCTCTTCTCTTCTCTCTCTCTCTGTGCTCTCTCTCTGTCTCTCTCTCTTTTTCTCTTGGTATTTCTGTCTGTCTCTCTTTTTCTCTTGGTATTTCTGTCTCTCTCTCTCTCTTTTTCTCTTGGTATTTCTGTCTCTCTCTCTCTTTTTCTCTTGGTATTTCTGTCTCCCTCTCTTTTTTTCTCTTGGTATTTCTGTCTCTGTTTGCCTACTTAATCTTGGTTTTCTCTGCGTCTCTCTTTTTCTCTTTATCCTCTCCATTTCTCTCTCTTCCGTTTCATACAGAGTATCTCTCCGTCGGCAATTGCACTCATTACTTGTTTACATGTGCACTTAGCCAATTATTTGTTGGTGTTGTCGCTGCTTTAACCAACTTGATATGTATGTAGTTCAATGTCAAGCATTTTGTGGTCAGTCGTCAGTCGCAGTTGTCGCCGTCGCCGTCACCGTCGCTGCTGCTCTCAATGCCAGACAATTTCTAGAGTAGCCAAACGAGGCAGGCCTCGACGAAATGAACAACAAAAAAACATACAACAACATATATAAGTAAATAAAGTGGAGAAATAAAAGCATGATGAACCAGGCAAAGCGTACAGTTTCGAAAAAAAAACAGCTGTTCGGAAGTCGAGCTACCGTTACGGCTTATAAAAGATTGTTGTTTATATATATATATAGTATATATCTGATTTGTTGTTGTTTTTGGGCTGGCATTGTACAATGACTGGTTAGATTATTGCTTTGGGTGTCCAGGCATAAACTTTAATTACGAGCCGTCGCCAACTGCAAAGTGGAACGTGCAAATGGTCAAGAGTCCACATCTTCATCGTCATCTCTAGCTGTAGTTGTGGCTCCAACTAGTGCTGCTTCTTTTTTTCTTCGGCGTCGTTCCAATTCTGTTTTAAATTGTAGTCATTTTTGCCAATCATTTGTTTGGTTAGCCGCTGCCACGACCAACTAACACCAATCGGCGTTCATTTATCTTGCCACATGCAATTTGCCCGTCAAAAACCGAGCCACAATTTTCCATATCAAAACAATTCGAGACACGACAAACGGCAAAAAAATAGAAACGCTTGTGCCACAACACACATTTGAGACGCCCATTTAAGACACCATTTGTTGCCCAGATCTGCTGAGATCTGTTGAGATTTGTTGAGATTTTCCACGCCCACCTGACAGCTTTCAGCCATGTCTTGCAGGTAGCTGCCACAGTTTAGGTTCAACTTATTTATGGATTTATTCAAAAAAAAAAAAAAAAAAACTTAAGCCCACAGGCTTTTATACCCTAGTTATTAACTCAAACTTGTTTTCGTATTAAAATTTGGGGCTCCGAAAAACTTACAGCGAATCTAGCTGAAAAGCTTTTGTAGGTCCAAATATTTCCATTTTCTACTGTTTAAAATTCTAAACTTTACAGTTTAAAGCCAAGTTTCGATTAGCATTGCATTTATTTAGTTTTCTATAATTTGAAAGTTTTGCTTAATGAAATTGCTTAGCCAGGAATTGGACTCCATTTTAACCAAGTATGTTTTGACATGCTAAATTAGAATCTGCCTCCAGAACCAGCTGGCTGTCGGGCTATGGAAGTGCGCATCTTTGCCTTTGCAAATCATTGTCATTAGACCAGTTATGGTATATGAAGCTGAGATTACTTCTGTCCAAATACATATTTATTTAACTACATAACTCAAAGAAATTTGTCAGACTATAGCTTACTTGATTATATTAGCCTGTGTATTTAGTATTATCTATTGTAATGAATCTATGAATGAAAGCTTTTAAAGCGTATTGCAGCTTTAAGGCAAATACAGTCCATTAAGAGGTTTTCAGCCAAAGCTCAAAACATATAGAATTCAAATTATTTTACTTTAATTTATTTTTAATGTAACTTTAAAGCTGTTAACTTGTATATATTAATTATAATTTAAAGCTTTAATAACAAAGCTCAGTAATACAAAACTTTCTTCTACTTTCTACTACGGAAAACTTGCAGCTGCAAGTGTTTGACGACTTAAAGCTTCAAGCTTAAAGCTCAGGCAGGCCGCTGCAATTCCAGGCAATACCCAAGGCAACAACTTCCCCTGCAACCCACCTCCACTCCTGCTTCATCAACCACTTTACAGGGTATTCGCATTGTGGAGCAGTCACGCGCTGCATTATTCTTAGCTGTGGTAAGTCACGCTGATTTCTGGCCCGTGTTGAGCATGTCATTTGCTTTGGCAGCTGTCATTGGCTTTGATTAGTTTGTTGAACGGCCACAAAAAAAAAAACAACCTTCGATTTCACTTCCCCCAAACTCAGCTGAAGTGAAGGCGTCACTCGTGCAGAGTGTTGACTGTACATTGAACCTGCGTTTCACACGCAGCTTAGCTCTGTCCAATGGCCGAATCTGTTGACGTTTTTCAAGTTGCAGCCAATATCGAGAGTCGGCTTCAGTTTCGGGTTTGGATTGGCGTTTGGCTTTGGCTTTGGGTTAATGGCTTTATTACACGCCATGTAAAAGTCTGTCAACAGGCGCCCGAAAAAGTGTCTTTCAACACAGCTTCACGAGGTTTTTGTTGCTGCCCCTTTCTGTTATGATGAAAATCTATTTGTGGGCTGAGAAAATTTCCTTGCATTGTTTTTGCCAGTTTTCATTTTTTGTTTATTTTTTGTTTTTTTTTTTTTTTTGCATAAGCCCACTTCGAGTACTCGCCCTCGCGCTCGCTATCGCACTGCCAGTCCAATACATAAGCGTACTTTACGCGTTAGCTGGCAATAAGTCATTTTTTTAGAGCTGCGCAAATTATGCAATTTGGCTTTTGGCATGCCATAAAAATAACTCATTTAATATCGCATAAGTAACAAATATTTTCGTTCATAAACTCTTGGCTAAACGGGTGGATTGGCTTAGTATAAGTGTGACAGACAGATGAAAGTTTAGTTGAGATAGAGAAAGTTAAGATGAGAGATGAAAGCATCTCCAGTTCTAGGATATATAGAGCACTATATCTATATCTATATCTATATCTATATCTATATCGAGAGCGATAGAGAGATAGAGAGAGAGAGCGAGAGCGAGAGCGAGAGCGAGAGCGAGAGCGAGAGCGAGAGCGAGAGCGAGAGCGAGAGCGAGAGCGAGAGGAGAGCGAGAGCTGAGAGCGAGAGCGAGAGCGAGAGCGAGAGCGAGAGCGATAGCGAGAGCGAGAGCGAGAGCTATAGCGAGAGCGAGAGCGAGAGCTAGAGCGAAGCTAGAGCGAGATCTATATCTATATCTATGAGCTAGAGCGAGAGCTATATCGAGATATAGCGATATCTAATCTATATCTATATCTATATCTATATCTATATCTATATCTATATCTATATCTATATCTATATCTATATCTATATCTATATCTATATCTCTTTCTCTATCTTACCTTAACATGTTCAACCTGTAACACCTGCCCATCTCTGTCCACTGCACACCTTTTATTAATTTGTAATTTGTTTCTTCTCTTTTGCAGAAATTGTTTAGGAAAAAAACCTCGAAAAATGCGTCAATAACTCATGTTGTTGGCCAGCTGTTCGAGCCGCACACCTGTGTAACTGAAGGTGTGATCTCTGTGCTTGTTCGTTATATCATTTGTGATTTCTGACTTACAATACGATTCGAAAAGCTAATGCGAAAGCGAATCGACGAGACAACAAATACGCAACATTTGCAAACAAATTACAACAATAACAACAACAGTAACAACAACAACATCCGGCAGCAGCATCCAACAATAATGTCAATTAATAAAGAGGGCGTGGCCGCTGGCCGCCTGTGCGCTGCCCTTGCCGTGGCTTTCGTCTGGCTAGCTATGAGCGCCGAGGCACACGTAGCCCTCACGTATCCACCTGCACGCGCCCTGGATCTGGATTTCTTGGACAATGCGCGCACAAAGGCGCCTTGCGGCATGCCCAAAGGTAAGATTTATTTTACCTTATTTTATTTTCAGTCTCCCGCTCGTTTTGGGTAAAAGTGGGTCTGGGAAAACTCCTGCCAATTTGACCTGCATTCGCTGCCCGCGGGCAGCTGTTGTCGCGAGATGCCTAGCCTTCAGCCTCTGCATTTGCCTACAAATTGGTTTTTGCTAACGTTTTCTATTTTTTTTTGTTTTTTTTTTTTACCATATAAATAATATTTGACTAGTTTTTGGTCTTTTTATATTTATTTGCTTACTCTTTGGCCAGCAGCTCGTGGGAATTATGGCCGGTTTTTCTTTTTTGTTACTGTATGGACCAACACTTGCAGCTGGTTGGCGCCTTTTGTGCCACTTTATCGTGTCTTTGCCAGCCAAATGTGGCCAAGAGCTTTTGACTGGACTCCCATAAGAGTCTTAAGCTTCCTACTTACTCTTAATCCCCAGCATATCTTTCTATCATCTTCAGTTTTTTCATAAGTTGACAAATGCTCTTAGCTGGTTTCTTAAGCTGTTCTTAATCTATAATTAACATAGCTTTCAAGATGGGAATTGAGAACTTTCGTTGAGATGGCGTTGTGTATTAACTTTATTATATTTCAATTTTATATGGGATATATAATGTATATATAATAAATATAGAATTATATATATATTCATATAAAGCTGCTCAGCACTGGATTGCAGTTGCCTCCTAGTCGAAAACTCTAGACTGGAGTCACTCTAAACGATCCTATAAGCCATCACTAAGTAGCTAAATAATATTAGCATATAATATAAGCTCTATCATAAATACAAATTTTTACAATAAACCAAATCAAGATCGAGAAGCTAAATAAAAATCTAATTAAAATTCCCCTATAAAACTACCAAACTCCTAGAGCTTTGCACTCTTGAGGAGTTTCTCTTATGCAATTTTTAGTTAAGTAAAATATATTATAAAACATATTATTTGCACTTTATATTTTGCTTTGTTAACATTCTTTGCTTTTCCGAAATGTCTGGCACCCGTAGAAGTCTCAGCCCGAAACAATTTGGCTTTTAAGGCACGTAGCAGTTCGCTTGCTCCATAAACACAAACAGCCCTAATACAATCACATTATTTAGCTTTGCTATATTTTATTCATCAAATAATAAGCTGAAGTTGTTTACGTTTCGAGGCACGCTTCGGGTTTTTGTATTGAGACTTTGATGAACAGCGGAGGGGTATTGGCCCAGAGCTATTTTGGTAGCATTCAAATTGGCTGCGCACGTTCAATTTACAGATTCATTTATGATATATATATATATATATATAGGTATATTTATTGAGATGTGCATACAGCGATCATTCATGAATGGTATTCATGCATTTTATGATTCACACACATACACTCACACTGGCACACATTCATGTGCATTTGCTTGCATAACTATTCATAGTTTCAGTTCAGTTTTGAAGTTTTGTATTGTTGCGTCTTACTTAACTATGATTATTATTGTTTGCAGTTGTAGTTGTTGTTGTTGTTGTAGTTATTGTTGCTGTTGTTGTTGCAGCAAAGTGTTACCAATTAATTTGCATATGTTAGAGAGGCAGCAACAGCGCAGCAGACGCCATTCACTTGCGGCGCATATTTTAAATTGGGTCATCATTCGTTTATTTTGATATATATTAAATAAATACCCTGTAAATGAGCTGATAGGCAAAATGACAGGAGTGCATACTTGATATACCAAAAGCTGTGAAGTGAAGTACACTGCAAACACCGGAGATTTCCAGCTGCAATCAAGCTAAGATTTCAATTATAAATGAGTGCTCTGCAGCTGTGAGAATTTCAGGTAACTTAAACGATAAATTAAAATGCTGAAAACAATTTAAAAGTAATTACGAGAGCAAAACTGTGTACTCTAAGACTCGTCTCCTGCTGCTGCACTTCAAGTGCATCCAGATAAAGGGCTGAACATCTTATAAGTCCGGAAGCGATGAAGTTGTATTGGTTTCGAGTTCAGATTTAATTAAATTTCAGTTATTAAATTTCAGTTTCACTCCCAATTTCTTGTGCAGCTTCTTATATATTCATTGTTTATTTATTCATAATTTAACAGATAAGAAAAATATTTATACATATATATATATATATATATATATATAATGTATATAATTTTTTACTTACTTTTTTTTTAAGTAAAAAAATTATTTCATATATATAAAAATATAGAAAAAATTCGTAGAATTCTCCAACCAAATTGATTTCAATTACTAGAGGGTATATTTGAGTGCAGCTTGTTGTCTTCTCAAAGTATTCTTATGTGTATTTTTTTATTGCCTGCATATCTCTTAGCCTCAAATACTTTCAAAAAATGTTGCCCACTTGTGTTTCTTTGGAGTTTTTTGACATTTGATGTGGCTTCATCTGAGCACAATGCAGATAAAAATATACCGATAATCATATGCACATACATACATATATACGCCATACATATATAAATATTTTAATTAAACTAAAAGCAGTTGAATTTCGATTGCCTTGGGCGCGCACACATAGGAGCCACACGTGTGTCGCATCAAAATGCCAAATCAATTTTATGGCTGCTTATAAGTACGCATATTATACTATATAATCATATGTATGTATAAGGGGAGGCTCAGAGAGGGACTGGTGCATTGCACACTTGTTCAACGACATTTTTGTATATATTTTTTCAAAATATTTTTGCCTTTTTTAATTATATACAAGTGCGCGCATTGCGTATACGCAACGTGCGCCGCTTGTGGCGCTGCAAGCGCGACCTGCCTGCCTGTCTGTCTGTTTGTCTGTCAGTCTACTGGTTGCACGTTTAACCCATTTCGGGCCATGACAACTTTTGCCTTCGTTTGCGGCTTTTTTGCTTTTCTTTAACAGTTTTTTTGCGCAAGGCGTCGCTTGGCTGGCCAATGCGAATTGGCTAGTTGCAGCCGCGGCTGACTGCTGCCGCTGATGATGATGATGATGATGATATATGCTGCCAATAACAACATCGACAAGCTGCATGCAAGTGAAAAACTTTCACTTATGTTGTGAATACATATATATGCGCATTGCGCCACACACAGCCAGCAGCAGCAGCACCAGCAGCAGCAGTAGCGGCGGCAGCCTGAGAGATGCTGCAAGATGATGCAAGTTAACATTTGTATTAAAACAAACAGTGACCGCATTTGTTGTGGCAGCGTTTCTCTGGCTGTTGCAAGTGCCACACACACCAGCTGCAATCTGTGGCAGCCCCATTGAACTGACTCTCTTGACCTCTTGCCGCTCGTTTGCCTCTATTTTTTTTGGTTCGTTTGTAACTCAATTTGTTAACACTCGTTGCGCTTGTTAAGGTCCAAATGTCTTCTTGTTTGATTTGCTTCTTCTTCTTCGGCTTTTGTAATTGTCTCAAATGGAGGTCAAGTTGTGGCCTTCCTCTTTCTCCCTCTCCCTCTGCCTCTCTAGCTGCTTGTGTCACACTTTATATTGCGTTTAGGCCCTTCAAAGATCTGACCGTAATTACGCTCTATAATTAGCCAAAAAAAAGAAGTGCAGCCACATAAATATGCATTAAAAATATATATTATGGCCAAAGCTGAGCTTCAGTTATACAACTTAACTGTTTATCATCTCAATTTATATATCTGTTTTTTTTTTTTAACATTTCTCAAGAGCCATTTATCAACATCTGCAGCGACTTGAGTTGTTTTCGTTTCGGTTTTATTTCTATTTTTTATTTCTTCATGTTTTTTTCTGTTGTGCCACGCTCATATTTCAATTTCCAATGGCCATTCATTTGTTAACTGAAATGTCGCATTGAAATTATCATACAAATCTCAACAGCAGCCGCAGCCGCAGCAGCATTCACTTGCACTAGACCCATAAAAAATGCCACAGAATATCAATGAGAGCGCGCACTACAAATGGCATTTGAAATGGCAAACGTGTGACGAGCATGTGTACTGGAAGGCTGCACTGAGCGAAATTTATAGCAGCCAAAAGCTAATTGAAATAGTTGTTGACAGCATGCGAATTGCTGGCAATTAAAGCTTTGCTGTTTTCTTGAACTTTAAGCTTTGCGACAGGAAGTCAATGCAATTAATCTTAACTTAAGCATTCAGAAGCTTGCTTCAATTTATGACAAATTAAATTTAAAGATGTGAGTAATGCAAAAATGTGCTAGAAAATGAAAATAATTAAGAAATCGCTAGAAGAAGATTTAATCTATATCAAATAACTATTTGCAGCCAGACAGAGAGACGAGCTGAATTACAAGAGGATTATGGACTAGATCCAGCTGCCTCGTGCTTGGCTTCCTTTGCAAATGTTCCACTTAATGAGTCTTGTAAAATTGACTTAAACTAAATGTAGTACAACTGCAATTTGTAAAAGTATTTCAAACCAGCTAGCCGCAATAGCTTGCAGTGTATATGCCACATATATGCGATAGATATCGTGTGGCATGCCATAAATACCAACCGCAGCAGGCGCTGCTACGCCTGCGGTGTTGGCTAAGACAACGTCACGAGCAATTAACTAAAGCGAAAAACTCCTTGACCACAAGCGGGCCAAAAGATAGCAACAGGTAAGCAGCTAGCCAGGTAACTAGCTAACCAGTTGCCAATCCAAATGCAAATGCGAAATGTAAGTGCAACATCTACTTGCCACGTTGCGGCAAATGAAACGGTGGCAATATGATGTTGTTGTTGTTACTGCTGCTGTTTAGGGTTGCCAAAGGAAAATTCATTTTATGGCATGTTACACTCGCTGGCGTCCACTCAGGCAACAGTGGTGGCTGAAATAAATGGCATAGCTCCAAGTTTGCTTGTCAACCTCAGCAGGAGTGTGTGTGTTGGTTAATGTGTATGTATGTGTGTATGTATGTGCGCATATGTGTGTGTGTGTGTGTATGTATGTGCGCATGTGTGTGTGTGTGTAAGTATGGGTTTGCGGAAGTGTTTGCCTTTGCAACACGACACGCCATATTTGGCAGCCATGTTGGCAGTTGCCATTGCCACGCCTCCAACGCCCACTGGCTGGGCTGCTGCCCAGTTTGGCACTTGGTGGTCATGCAAGCGGCACTGCAATTAGAATGCATACAGGCACACATTCCTTCCTTTCCACTACACTACGCCACGCCAGCTGGCCTCAAGGTTCGGCTGCCTGCCTTTGAGCATACCATTAAGAAAATGATGCAAAAGCCAAGACAATTCCTATATACCTATATGTACCTGTCTATACCAAGTGAGTGGCCGAAACTCTTCGGAAAGTCTGCGAGAACTGCGCGCTCTTTGCAAATTATCTTTTACACAATTTTCAATTCTCGAAGGCAAACAGTGAGCCGTAGCACTGCAATTAACTTAATAGCTGTGATTAGCATTATATAATTGATAAGTTTATTAAATTGTTACCGTTAGCTGGCCAGTTGGCCATTGAAAGATATTTATGCTAATAACACTCTCATTTAGCGCTAAAGTTATTCGCATTGTTCAGCCCAAGATTTATTTCTCGATAAACAAATAATTTATTTCGCTTCATTCAAAATGCGAATATTTCATTCTGAATGAATGGCAAACAGGAAAGAAATTTACTTTGGTTCATTAATAATATATGCAGCTCTTGGAAAACTAGGTTAAAATTTACGTTAAGAGCGGACTACTCGATGCGATTGATAAATATGTCAACTTTATGTGACGACTCAGCAGGCTAGTTGCAAAATTAATATAGAACTCATAAAGTCTAAATGATAGCTTTAAGTGGATTATCTGAAATGCACATATATATATAGTATATATATATATATATAGATGCAGAGATAGCTTTAGTGGAATGGCATGTCTTGGACGATGACGAAGTGAAGCAAGTAAGAATGCCTGACTAGAAGATACCCCAACCAGAGCTGCTATTGCAATCATGCAAACATGCATTAAGTACATTAAAAGTCAGTACTTTGAACTAGAGAATTTATGTACAGCATATATAGATACATATATGTAGATATAGATAGAATCCCAACTCTATTCTTCTTCTATATAATTCATTATTTTAGAGTCAAAGTGTTTTGCTCTTGAGTTCCTATAGAGATCATTAGGCGTGGCCTATGTGACTACATCCCTATGTTCTTAAATTATGCAGTTTATTGGAACATCAATGTCATCTTCTCTGTCTTTTATAATTGTCTCAAATGAAGGTCAAGTTGTGGCCTCCCTCTCTCTCCCTCTCCCTCTGCCTCTCTAGCTGCTTGTGTCACACTTTATATTGCGTTTAGGCCCTTCAAAGATCTGACCGTAATTACGCTCTATAATTAGCCAAAAAAAAGAAGTGCAGCCACATAAATATGCATTAAAAATATATTATGGCCAAAGCTGAGCTTAGGTTATATAACTTGACTATTTTTCAACTCTATTTTAGAACTCTATAAATAAATAATAAAAGCTATAACGCTATACTACACTATTTAATATACTGTAATTATGTAATTTGCTATAAATAGATGTTGTGAAGTCCATAAATTATATGGGCAGAGCCTTAGACAAATATGCTTAATCTGGAGACAAGCGGCAACAGCTTTAACAGTCTCTAAATGAGTTGGAATGTTGAACAATGGAATGCGGCTATGCGAACGTTACCCAGTCTGTTCTCGTTGAGTCTACAGATAATAATTATTAATTATATCTGAAAATGATTATTTTAAACATGTTTTTACACGCATAAATTTTGATTGTAAGCAACCCAACCCAACTCAAACAAAGTCTCGCTAACATTTCATTTCCCTCAATTTTCGGTAGCTCATCAATGATGATGGTCAATCATTAAAGCGATATTTGAGGCGAAATCAATCAAGAGTTCATTAAAATTTATAAAAAAAAAACTTTTTCACAATTAATTGCATTTTAAATAATTTGTTGCGGTTTTTTTTCTTGATTTCATTTTCATATTTTATTATAATTTGACTGTGTAAACTAAGAAAAACACTTGTTGAGAATCATTATCATTATCATTATCATTATCAATGTTTTTTTTTTTCGAAACTTTCGAAAGGCGAGTGAGACGAGAGGCGAGTTCAAGCTCAACATTCGATATTCATGCAACGCAGCCTCCAAAACAAAATAATCAAAGGTGAACAACTTTCGCGCTCGTGAGAAATATGACAGACTATAAACCGAAGCAAAATATGAAAATGACCGGACAGCATTCAGTGCGAGAGAGAGAGAGAGAGAGAGAGAGAAAAGTAGATCTGGCGGCTACATGAGAAAAAACAAAAGCAGCAGCCGCAGCACCTGCCAATTTTTGAGCTGCATGTTCCCAGCTTCCAGCTTTTAGGCAACTGGTTACACCCAAAGCAGATATATACACACATACATGTATAGTATATATATATCTATATATATAAATTTACTGCCGCTCTGAACTTATTAATGTGCTCCATTGATTTATTGTTTAAGCCTTTTCATATTTTGTTTTGCTTCCATCGCAACTTAACCCATTTTCTCAGTCTTTAAAATCGTATTTAGGTTTTTTCTCTTTAGTGTTTTTTTTTTGTTTTTAATTTTTTCATGTGAAAATGTTTGGGCCACTTGGCCCAGGTGCAGGTGCGGAAATCGCCATTTGCAATTTGTGTGTGCTCAGAAATATCGAAGTCTAGAAAAATTGCGCCATTGAAATCAAAAGTCGCATTCAATTGCTGACCTACAAAAGACGTTGTAATGTCTATTGACACGCAGCTGTATAAAGTTTTTGTTTTTCCTTTTCAAATACCCTGTAAATATGCGTCTGAGCAAAAATGGTCATGATAAAGTTGTGTTAAGAGTTGGGCTGAAGCTAGCTAAAGACTTGATTAAAGTTTGCTCCATTGATCATTGACTTAGAGCTGTCAAATATGAAATTTTATTTGAAATCGTGCAAATAATTTCTATAAAAATTCTTTGCTCTTATTTTAAGATTTTTTAAAAATTTGTTTACAATTTTAATTTAAAATATTGCATAAATTATGCTTAGCTCAAAAGGATTCTTTATGCTAAGATATTTAGTTAGCTCCATTTAAATTAAATTTAAACTCGAATTAATCCCTTATCTAAATGCATGTAAATGTATACCTATTTCAGGGTATTTTGGTGTCAGTCATATTCTTGTTGCTTGCGTTTTTTGCTGTTGCTGTTACTTGTAATCAGCGCCATCATTGACAGCAAAGAGACAAAAAAACAGCCAAGTCGAAGTTGGAGGCAAAGACGAAGAGTTTATTTCTATGTTAAATGTTGTTGCTGTTGTTGTTGTTGTTGTTGTTGTTGTTGTTGTTGTTGTTGTTGTTGTTGTTGTTGTTGTTGTTGTTGTTGTTGTTGTTGTTGTCGTCGTTGTTGTCTGACCATATTGGTCAAACTGAGTTAAGACTGTGGCAATTGAATGCATTCACGTGGTCAGCGCTTAGTACTCAATATTTGGCCAGGTCTTTAGGCCACATACAGCTATTGGAGATGGCCAAGAGGCAGCGACAGCAGCAGCAGCAGCCGGCAACAGTAATCATAATTTTGCAGCTTCCTTATTTGTCTTGTCGTAACGCTGACTGGAAAGTAAGACCTGTAAGAGATGCCCCTATCAACCAGGCCCCCTCCAACTTGGACTGGGCTTTCGCTTTTCGCTAGTTGAGTATCGTTATGGCCATTTAATGGCTTCAATTAGCGACTCGCGACTCGCATCTCGCATGTATTGGCTGACAACGATGTGCGATCTGCGCTTGGCCATTCGATTGCCCACTTTTGCCAGTGTCCACTGCACTCCCCGCTGCTCGCTCCCCACTCGGTCGCGGGCTGCAGCTGGCTGAGGAGGTTACCGCATTGAGCTTATGCAATAGTTGTAAGCATATGAAATTTGTCTGCAGCCAGCAGAAAAACTTGTAATGCGAAGATGTGTGTGGCACTTGTGTGTGGCTTCCTGTGCTCTGTGTGTCTCAGGGCCTGGGCCTGGCCAAAAGGGGTTGGGTGTTAAGCCTGAGCAGCCAACTGGCTAACGTCGCGCCTAGTGCCATTGCTGGAATTCAGTACGCAGGTGCGCTGCAGCAGCGCCATGGATCACTTCATGATTGCCTCTTGGAGTCGCAGTCTGCAAGACACTGCAGTCCACTTCACTCGTTGCGCTACGCAATGCAGAACCACAAAACCAGTTCAGCTTGAGTGCTGGCAAAACATTTAATTATGCGTTACACATTTTCAGTTAGGCCAATTGCCAGTTGGTTCTCCCTCTCTCCCTGTCGCTCTGTGTGTAAACGTAATGCCTGATCAGCCCAACTGCATGGCCTGATAAACAGCATCGTCATAATGTGCCAGGCAATGATCATCATTAGCATTGCAATTCCGATGCTGCATTTCTAGCACTCTGCACTCAGCGAACCACATTTCAATAGCTTGTCATTAGTTATTGATACGAGCATGGGGAAAATTCTAAAGACTTCGCAGAAAACTTTGTTGCGGAAACTAGCTCAAGACAAATCAGTTTCGACATTATTATTAACTACAAAACAGGAGAGAAAAAAGAAGCTCTTAACTTTGTAGGAAGTTTCTGGGGTATAAAACTTAGATCTGTTTTTAATTTAAAGTTCAGATTTTGAATAGATGGAATTTTACACTATTTAACAACTGAAACTTATGCCTCTTGTCAAATATTTAACATAAAGTTAAGTTAAAGTTACGACAAAAATGCAGCTCAAATCAAAACTTTTGCTGTTTAGCTTTGAATTTAGTAAGCTAATTTGAAGTAGACTAACATGAAGTTAACCAACTTGAAGTTAACTAACAGTTAACTAACATGAAGTTAACAAACATGTAATTAACATGAAGTTAACTATTTCATTTCCTATCATTTGCCCTAAGAGCAAATGCAATCAAAATTGATTAACTTTCACAGCTCAAACCTCATGTCAAACACTTAACATGCAGCTAACTATTTAGCTATGGAAAATCGTAGTCTCTCAATTCAATTCTCTCAATTTGCAAATACTTATGTTGAACTTGTTTTTATTTACAGGCTCCATACGCACCTCGTTGCTGTCGGGCTCCGTGTTTAATGTCACCTGGCATTTGGCTTTTGCGCACAAGGTAAGTGGAGCTCCAGTCACTGCTTGCGAAATCTTTTGGGGCAATTAAGTTGGAGCAATCAAGCCACAATGCAAAACCGTATTCTTATCTCTCTGTCAAACATAATTAGCCCGACATGTGCATCATAGTGGGTAACAGCGTAAATGTTGTAATGATTGCCTCACATGCACCATCAGAGAGCACGAGCATCTAGATACTTGGATAGATAGATACTATCAGGGGGCCCAGCGACTCAAAGTCAAGCGAATTGCGTTAGAAGTTCCCATAATTGAAAAACCAATGGGAATTAGCTGACAGACCGACAAGTTCTCAGTCATTGTTTGCGAAATACGACCAGCCTCCCCCTGATACCCGCAATTGGGGCTCTTTATTAAATAGTTCATTTCATGCCTGTTTCTAGGGCGGCTTTCGTCTGCAACTCTTGGATGCGCTTGACAGGCCCGTGCTGGATCTGACGCCGCATGTCAACAACTCCGAATTCGTGACCCCATCTATCACGTAAGTTATGAAACAGAGCTCCTTCTGTAGCCCTACTAAGACTCTTCCTTTTGGCAGCGCTCAATCTTATCAGGTGAACATACCCAAGGATTTTGAATGCTTCAATTGCACGCTGCGTCTGCTGCGCCAGGCGGACGAGTGGTCGGGCAGCTATCGCTTCTGGTCCTGTGCCGATGTGGACATCAAGCAGCGCAAGGACTTCAAGGAGACCTGCTCCGGCAAAGGAAAATACTTCCCCTCGCGCTGCAAGTGCGAGAAGAACTACTACGGACCGCAGTGCCAGTACCATGACGAGTGCACCAGCAATGCAGACTGCGGCGTACAGGGCAAGTGCATCGATCTGGATGCCACCTCGCTGCCACGTCGCCAGTGCTACTGCAACTTCGGCTGGCATGGCATTGGCTGCAACAAGCGTTCGCCCTACAAGTCCACCAACCTCGATCTGACGGCCTACACCAAGAAGGAGCTCTCGCCCGACTACCACATGTACTGGCGCCTGCTGGAAGAGCAGAAGGAGATCGAGGTTGTGCTTAAGGTGAATAGCACCTCTTGGGTGGGCCTCGGCTGGCGTCCACGTGGCATGACACCCGAGTGCAAGAACTTCCCACTTTTAAGAGACATTGGAGACTTGACGACAACGCTCGAGAGCACGGCAACAGAGCTGGGAAGCGAGCCAGAACCCAAGAGTGAACCGGAGCCTAAGAGTGAGCCAGAGCCTAAGAGTGAACCGGAGCCTAAGAGCGAACCAGAACCTAAGAGCGAACCAGAGCCCAAGAGCGAACCAGAGCCCAAGAGCGAACCAGAGCCCAAGAGCGAACCAGAGCCCAAGAGCGAACCAGAGCCCAAGAGCGAACCAGAGCCCAAGAGCGAACCAGAGCCCAAGAGCGAACCAGAGCCCAAGAGCGAACCAGAGCCCAAGAGCGAGCCAACAGCCGAGCCCAGCGCCGAGCCGAGCACCAAGACCAAGCGCGTGGCCAAGCATGAGGATGAGCTGGCCAACATAGACGGCGTCACCTCGGTAGCCACTAGCGTTTCTTATCGCGTTAGCACCAAATCCGGACGCAGTCGCCGCCAAGCTACAGGTAAGAGTCTAAGAAACAGCAATATTTTTGCACCTGCAACACAGTTAGAGGTAGAATTAAAAGATAATACGAGTAGTGGCAAGATCCTCTAGAGATGCGTACTAGAAACTTACTGCATTGTTATTGTTATTGCTATCCTTGTTGCGCTTCTACTACTTTTGACCTCTTTCAAACCCGCACCTAACACTAAGCACACAAATCTATTCTATTCAACAAAAACAAACACAAATGCTATAACAACAGAGCCTAATAGCACAGCGGAGCCAAAGAGTGAGCCGGAGCCAACGACAACAAGTGAACCAGTTCCGAAGAGTGAGCCGGAGTCTACCACTCCGGAACCTAAGAGCGAACCGGAACCAAAGAGCGAGCCGGAACCGAAGAGTGAGCCAGAGCCTAAAAGCGAGCCGGAACCAAAGAGTGAACCAGAGCCAAAAAGTGAACCAGAGCCTAAGAGCGAGCCTGAGCCTAAGAGTGAACCGGAGCCTAAGAGCGAACCTGAACCTAAGAGCGAACCGGAGCCCAAGAGCGAACCGGAGCCCAAGAGCGAACCGGAGCCCAAGAGTGAACCAGAACCCAAGAGCGAACCGGAACCCAAGAGTGAACCAGAGCCCAAGAGTGAACCAGAGCCCAAGAGTGAACCAGAGCCCAAGAGTGAGCCAGAACCAAAAAGCGAACCAGAGCCCAAGAGTGAGCCAGAACCAAAAAGCGAACCAGAGCCCAAGAGTGAGCCGGAACCAAAGAGCGCGCCGGAGCCCAAGAGTGAGCCAGAGCCCAAGAGCGAACCAGCGCCCAAAAAGTCTGCAAACCTCCAATCAGCAGGTAAACGCATGTGAATTGGTAAAGGCTCCGCATTTTCAAATCCCGATCTTCATTGTCTACTAACCAAATCAAACACGAAATTCACACGAATCACATTGCCGTGAACTAGTCGAGCAGTTCTCTGATCCGTTTCTATATTTCTGCAGAGCCCAAGTACAAGCTTAATCCGTATACTCCGCGCCACGACTTCAATCCTATGGACTGCACGGATGTTGTCATTGGTGCAGCCCGTGGCATGGCAAGCCGTGTGGGAGACTATTATAGTCGGGATCGTTCCACTCCACGAGTCGATGAGGTCTTCGGAGGCAAGTCGAACTTGGAGTTGGGCACTGGCTTCGAAGAGAATGGCATGACCACGATTATCTTCCGCAAGAAGTTGGTGGCCACCGATCCCACGGATCACACATTGGACGATGCGCTGACGCATGTGATCTGGGCGAAGGGCCAGGAGCCAGGCAGCTTTGTGCATGTGCCACCAGCTGGCTCTGCTACAGAAACACCAACGCCCAAGGACTTTTATCAGCAGGACGAGATCAAATACCATGGACACAATGCACAGCGAGGTGTTACCCAAATCAACTTCTTTGGTAAGCCTAGGCAAAGCTCCACCTAATCCCATCTAACCAACTGAAAATTCTACAGAGAAAGAAAAATCCGCCTCGAACAGCGATCGCAATGATCTGAGCACCAACATGCTGGACAACGATTGCTATGGACACTGGAAGTACCCTTCGAACTGCTCGCCTCAGGAGCATAGCTGCGAGTACTACGCCAGCTGGGAAACGGTGGGACGTGGCGACGAGATGCGCTGGCACATCGAGACGTCGAACACGCAAACCTGGACAGGCATTGGCTTCAGCGATGATCAGCGCATGTCACAGACGGATGCCATCATAGGCTGGGTCGATGGACGCAGTGGCCGCCCATTCCTGATGGACACCTGGGTGCTAGGCTATGCGCCGCCCAAGCTAGACGATCGCCAGGATATTTACAATGCATCTGGTCGCATCGAGAAGGGCGTGACCATCTTGGAATTTACGCGCAAGCGCGTCAGCAATGACGAACAGGATTTGTCCTTCACGGACGATCATTGTCTCTATCTGTTCTTCCCCGTGCTGGGCGGCGCCTTCAACGTGGTCAACAAGAAGACACGCAAGCACGAGCAGGTGCCACCCATTTCGCCACAACGTGTCTGCATCAAGTCCTGCGGCAAGGGTAACTTTAACTTCTGATAAATTCTGAATCTTGAATTAAAGACTTTCCTTTCCTTTTGCAGAACTGGAAGCTGTGTTCGTGGGCACGAGCACACCAGCGCCCAGTCGTCTGGTCTATGCCGTGGGCGTTAAGCTTATGAATCTGGCTGAATCCTTTGAGGCACCCAAGCCAGGCACCGTCGACTTCAACAATCTGGCAGCTACCATCTCGGACTCCTTCAATGGCATACTTTCGCCCATACCTGGCTACTATAAAACGGAAATTATTGGCTTTGAGAAGTGAGTATTTAAATTGAGTTTATACTGAGCGCAGCTAACTTAATAAGGCACATCGCTGTTTGCAGTGCTGCCAGATCGCTGCAAAAGAATCAAACTTAAGAAACTAATGTAATTCGCTTATATTTTCGATAGGGAGGGCAACTCAATGTTGGCCAAAGTTCAGGCCATGTTCGACAAGGCCGATGTGGAGAAGCAGCACACGCTGGACACCAACAATATAGAGAAGGGCAGCGAGGCGGCTGTGCAGAAGAATGCGGATGCAATTAAAGCAGCGCTATTGGATCAAATAAACACCGGCAAGGTGGGCTCCCTGACAGTGGATCCCCAATTCCTGGACTTCGAGGCGCTGGAATGTAAGCTTATCGCTGAAAAACTCAATCTAAAACTTCCATTAACTTACGTTCTGCATCCATAGTTAAGAGTGCCGACGATATGAGTGCAAAGGATACGTTGCTTTCGTTCTTCGATCTATCCGAGACACGTTTGTATATTGTCTTAGGTCTGATTGCAGCTTTGGTGCTTATAGCTCTGATCCAAGCCTTCTGCACCATCTTGAAGACCTCGCGCAAGAGCAAGAGTACGAAGGTAAATTCATTTAGATCAATTTGCCATTGAGTCCAGTTAGCTTAAATTGTTTGTTCAGTTTTTGATATACTTTTTTACCTTAACGCGCACATATTTGTTTGTTAAACAGTTCAATTCATACACGATTAATAATGTTCTGTTCAATTGTATAATGTTATTTAAAGCTGGTTTACGTAATACCCGACGAATGGCGCATATATCAACAGCGGCAACACCAACGCTACTATCAGCCCTCTAGCGATCTATAAAAATAAAAGAAAATCAAACAACAAAATTTTACAAATTATCAACACAAATTACCCACCATATATATATATACTAAAAAGAAAATAAAAAAAAAGATATATATACTCGCCTCTCTCACTGCCTGAACAAATGCAATAAGAGCTACAAGCTGCCCAGTAAAATCTAAAAGAAAACATAAAATAATCTTATACAGTTAGTCAAATACGCGGACATCCTTATACATGTACTCTATATATACATATATAAATATATATATATATATATATATATATATATATATATATATATATATATATATGTATATATATTCGCCTGTGGTTTGAGTCGTGCTTATCAAAATCAAAATTCTAGAACATAAAGAATTCATTGGTAATTTAAATTCCTTTTTTGTTTTGTTGTTGTACTTATTAACCCCCCAATTAAATATTTATTTGTGATTACTATAAACCGCTAACACCCTAAAAAAAACCCCTCATAATACTTTTGTTTCCCAGTATTCTATTCTCACATTTCTCACTCTCTCCTTATTTGTTTTGGAGCTTTACCCATAACTCACATTTTCTATTCTGTCCATGTCGTGCCTAATCATATTTAATAATCAATCTATCCAGTTTGTTTTACTATATCTTTTGTGTGTTTGTAGCCAAACCAGTTAGCATTTGATTTATGCTATTTCTTACTAAACAAATTATTTTACATATATTGGAAAACTGCTCCTAAACTATTTTTCTACTATAATCCTATGTATTTTTGAGTAGTTCATTTTTATTCTCTTTCACAAAACTCCCTAACAATCGAACATATGGCTGTCATATCTGTAGACTATCTGCTATCTGCTTCTCATATAGAATACGCAATTTAGGTAAATTTGATATAAACGCAAGCACAAGGCACATTCCAGTTGCAAAACTATAGTACATAGTAGTACATCAACGATGTCTAGCGCACAGTAAACTTGAGAGTTCCAAAAGTTTGAACTATTTAGCTCGTAATTCGAATTGAGACCATACCAAATGCTGACTGGTTGAGCGCTTAGCATGTGATCTATATAGAACTAATTATATATCTATGTCTGATCTGCTTGCTTGCAGGAGAAACTCATACAGAACTCCCCATGGAAGGAGTTTGCCTCGAACACGAACTACGCATTCGATCCGTATGGCGAGACCGAGGAGAAGCACATGACCAGCAGTACAGCGGCCAAGGAGAAGGTACGCAATCGCTCCACAGCCAGCAGCCAACAGACCACCCTGCCGATGTCCCACTCCCCCACAAGTAAATCCCAAATGTACTACGAGAGTAATGGCAACGGCAATGGCAATGGCAATGGCAAGCATGGCAGCAATGGCAATCGTTCCTCTTCGAACGGTCGCCATATGGTGCAGGAGAGCAGCGTGGGTGGCAGTGGAAGCACTGCACCCGGACCCTATTCACGTGGAAGCTATGCAGAGCGTGCCTATTCGCTGCCCCGCCAGAATCAGCATTACCAGCAGAGCTCGGCAAATATGCAGCCCTCCGGCTACTATACGCATGATCGACGTGCGGCGCGCCAGGAGCGGGAGCGGGAGCGTGAACGAGGCGATGAGCGACGTCCGCGACATGAACGCGATTCCAGCTATGATAGGTCGCGCGATGATCCGCGCTTGAACGGTGGCTCTGATACGCCAGACTTTTACTTTATGCCGTCGCAACGCAAGTACTCCGGAGAGGTGGTGCGTGTCTATGTGGACTACAACAAGGATCCAAAGCACTAAACAACAAAAAAGCAAACACAACGTCCATTGAGACATACAAAATGAAGAGTGCATACACAAAAGAGCAAAAAGTATCAGCTTATTTAAAAATCTTGTTTTAAGTCCTTTCTTCGAGCTATATATTCCGTCCTTCTATCCGGCCCACTGCTGCTTCTCGTTTCGATTGCCATAAAGCAGTTTCACTGCATGCGTTTTTACGTGAGGGACTTCCCCTTGATTTCACATTATTATTTTTCTTGGTGCGTCAGCTTTATCTAAACGCACAAAGTTAATTTAAATGCAGTTCAGGAAATGTTTTAAAACAAAAAATATCCACAATTTAGTAAATTGTAAATATTTTGCATAGAATATAAATGTCTGAACAAGTATTGATTCAGGACTTTTGCAATGTTTTCTATTTAATGTGCAAAGAAATATAGTCACTGTATTTAATCAAATTAAATATACATGTATGTTAATATATAACGTTTAAATATGTTGGAGCGCATTATACGATATAATAATACTCGTACAAAATGTTTAATTTTATAATACATTAATTAAGTACATATTAATAAAATTAGGCATGTAATATACCGTAAATATGTGGTTGGTGTTATTCTTTTAAAAATGACTTACATGTATTTCGAATATAAAAAAAATGAAATTCGTTATATTTTAAACTGATAACATTCCAAAGCTATGTTACAGTGTGGTAAAGCACTTTAATCTACATATCGATATTAGCGCGCCTCAACTATCGATAGCTGTGTACATTGCTTCCAGTTGCATCCCTATGCGGAATGATTCGCGCGCTTTTCAGCAAAAAATGAATGCCATCAAACACATTAGTCGCTTAGTTAAATCATTTTGAGTAAACTGTAGTAGTGAATTAAATTTAGAATCACATTATTTATTGCTTCAAGTATCAATCAACACAATGGACGTAGGTATAGATGTGGGTCAGGCGTATCACACAGTGCAGTTGTCGACGAAAGAAATGCTCAAAGCCAGTCGACGTCAACATTATTGCAATGTAAGTAAATGCTTTTTTCCCCCAACACTCATTGTTGACACCGACAATTGTCCAAACAATATAGATGATAGACCTGCTGGCCAGCAGCTGCAAAGCCTGTGGTCTACTAACCACATCGTTTACCAACGAAGAACTTGTCCAGTTCTGGCTAGGCGACATATTGCCCCTAATGTTTGACACAGATAGCAACATACAGAACTGTGCGGTGGCTGCAATGGCCGAGGCACTCGTTGCACTAGACGTGGCTGTCATACATGAGGCCAAGTGCTGGCCGCAGATACGCAACGAATTTGTGAACAGCTATACGACGCTAATAGGCGAGATGCGCGATGCGAAAAACAACAATTGGCACAAGATCTGGACACTGCTGGTCCAGATCATGGATAACGATCTGCTGCGCGGCTGCACTTACATCAACAAGTTCCTCGCAGTAGTAGAACTGGGCTTTCGCAACCCGGACAATGGCATTCGCTCCGAGGCATTTCTGTGCTGGCGCGTGCTCATCAAGATCTTTGCTGCCTACAATGAGCTGGGAACGGGCAAGCGTTTGCGGCTGCTCCTCATACCACTGCGGACATCGCAATCCCGCTCACCTCATGTTAGCAGCATTAAGGTGCGTGTATGGTGGTATCTAATCAGTTGTTTGGACGCCGAGCTGCCCAAATCCTTCGAGAATGCAGTTGAGTATTTTCTGAGCTTTCTGTTTGGCGGTGGCTCGCGTGGCAATGCCACCGGCTTGGCGCATAGCTATCAGACAGCGCGTGAGCTGGCGCTGCCTTGCCTGGTCGCTTTGTGGAATATGGAATCTGGTTCGGAGACGCTGACGCGTTTCCTGCGTAACATGCGCCTCGAGGACATTAGCCAGCCGTCGCCTCTAATGAACGCTGAGCTGCTGCAACAGCACTGGCAACCCATGTTAGCAGCCGCTGTGGCCGGTATGAATCTTATGACCGAGAACAAAGAGCACAGCTCGGAAACTGAGCAAGAGCTGCTTCATTTGCTGCTGCGCAATCTTACACTGGCCATGTTCCAGCTACGCGTGGCGCCCTTCACAGTGGCTTGCTGTGCAGAGCTGGAGAAGACGCTGTCAAGCGATGGCAGCATTATTCGCTCCGTTTTTAATGCCTGCGCTGGCATAGCGATGCCCCAACAGCGAGCCGACGCCCAAGAGGTGCTGGAGGCCTACATGAAACTCTGTCTCAAGGCACGCGCCGAAGTGCCAACTGCCATAATGCAGCGCTGTATCTCGCTGATCTATGCGCCCGAGCAGTTAGAGGCGCACAATAGCAACGAATTTCGTCAGTTGTCCAGCTTCGCGGTGGCGCTCATGCAAAATAATGATGACGAGGACTACGAGGCCTTTGGTGTCAAGCTGCATATGTGGCGACAAGTATCTGGAGCACTGCTCAGCTACCTGCGCGACAATGCACTGGAATATCGCGTGGCACAGACTGCGGCGTTCGTGGACAAATGGATTCTGTGGCCACTGCAGACGAGCGCCAGCTTTGCTGGAAGACGCGCCAACAGCTCTTTCGATGGTATCTTCTGTGAGCAATGGCGGCAGCTTATCAATGCCGGCCAAAACGGAAATGCGCGAAAGAATTTTGTCGTGGATCTGAAGGCTGCGCTGCTTGAGCTGCTGAAGAATGGCAGCAAAGAGGAGCCACATTTTGCGGAACTGTTTGATATCTATGTCGGTGCAGTGCTTAAGCTGGGCATCTGCAAGGATCCGCCACTCTATAAGGATGTCTTTGCACTGATTCAAGCTGTCTTTGAGCGTTCTGCGCTGACGCAGTCACTGCTCGAGGGCTGCCTGAATACACTGCGTAATGTCGTCCTGGAACTGCGCCAGAACGAGCTGATGGTCGTGTTTGATGCACTGAAACCCGTTTTGGCAGCAGCACTTCAATGCTGGAGCAAAGGCAAGTACGAGGGTAGCTTTCTCATCGAGTGGAAACGGGCCATACAGGAAAAGTTCCGGAAGCTGCCTTTGAAAACGATGGCCAATCAGCTTAAGGAGCTGTTCAAGGGCGATGACCTCTTCGTTATCATACCATCCGTGTGGAGCCTGAACCCGGACAAGCTCACAGATCGCCAAAAGGAGCGCTTTGCCGAGAAATCGGACATACCAGCTTTGTACAATGATATGAGCCAGTCGCAGGACTCCTCGATCAAGCCCTGGACACCCAAAAAGGTGGTCATTGCCAAGGACAAGCAAACAGAACTGTCCATTGTCGGCGATCGCAATGCAGAGCAACAGAACAATGAGCTGGACATTGTTATAATTGATGATTCACCACCTGACTTGCTGGCCACTCCAGTTGGGGGCGTGCAATCGCGCCGGCGTCAGCAGAGTGAAGCAGCCAACACCGATATTAGTGCTAACACGGACAAATATAATTTCCGTAAACCACGCGGCCAAAGCGAAGAAGAGCCTAAAACCCCAGTCGCTTCAAGCGAGAATGCACCTGTGCGTCACCTACGCAAACGGTCCGCCCAAAAGGACAACAATGCCGAGCAGCCGACAACACCTACCGAACGAATACGTTCACCCAGGAAACAATCTGCAAACCCTCAAGCAACAACAACAGCAGCTGCAGCAGGTAAACGCTAAGGCCTATAAGAAGATTCTGCCTATGTTCTGCTTAGCTAACATTTTGTCTCTGTCTCTTTCTCTCTCTCTCTCTTTGCACAGCTGCCAGCAAGAAGGCCAAACCCACCCCAATGCAGAGCGAGGATCTGTTTGCAGAATTTGCAACCCCTACACTGCCTGCACAGGTGCTGCCAGAGGTATCCAAGAAAACTTCAAGTGTGCCGGAAACGCAGCTGAATGCTTCGCCAGAACATGTTGTGGAATCCATAGCCAGCACACAGTTGCCATCGGAGCATATGGATCCCAATGCAGAGACCTCGCCAAGAAAACCAAATACGCGACTTTGCAATTTGGTAACAATTATTTAATCATTTAGATGTTTGCCGAAAATATGCTAACTTTGGCCCTCAATTCCTTGCAGAGCTCTCCGCCGGATCGCAAGCAGACAAACAACTCGTCCAGTCCCACGCTGCGCCCCAAGCCGTCGGCTCATTTGACGGGACGCGGGGCGCAGTTGATCAATATGATACGTAATAAGAAACTCGATGCTAGCACACCCTATCCATTACCCGGTTCATCGGCAGCACGCAACCATGCGACTCCCGCTCGTCAAGCCGAATGCGCCGAACAGGCATCAACACCCACCTGCGAGCTAAACGAACTTGCTGCCACAGAGCGCACGTCCACGCCCATTGACCAAGTGACGAAAGATCTGCTAATATTTTCAAAGCGTTTGCCCTCGCCCTCAGCCAGTCCGTCAGCCTCGATACTGAAACGGAAGCTGCGCTGCGAGAGCATCGATGACTTCGAGTCGCCGGCGCAGAAGCGTAAGCGCGTTAGCTTCCATGATCCGCCCGTATCCATAACGAAGGAGTATCTGCGCGATGTGGAGGAGTCGCGCAGTAGCAAGCCAAAGCGTGTTCTTATGCTCGACAAAATTTCCCAGAACTCCGATTCGCGGCTGGCATTAAAGCGACGTGGAAGGCTTGACAGCATCATTGAGATAGAGAAGTTTGCTTTGGAGCAAACAGCCCGGAGTGCTGCGGTGGACAAGTCAATGGACAAGTCACATGATGCCACAGAGGATGAGCCTTTCGATACGCTAAAATGGAACGAGACAACAACGGCAGAGAAGGAAGTAAACAAGAATAATTCGGAGAGTGCAGCCGAGACAGATCCACAAGATGTGGCCATACTGGATGCAGATTCTGCCTTGGATCTGGCGGTGAAGCAATGCTCGCTAGACGATGTGCTAGAGCGCTTTATAGCCAAGTCGAATAGTTCGCCGCTGAAAAACGCACTTTGCTTGGCCAAATTTCTATCGAATCAGATGAAGGGCAATGATAAACTAAAGACCTGTGTGCTGGAAACGCTCTCCGAGAATCATTCCAAAGACTTCCTGGACCATGCGGTGCGCGAGAATCTGTCCTCAGTTGTGTGCGATCGCCTCAATCCCAACTCCGTGCTAGAGTACATCTGCGCCAAGTCGAAGATTAACAACAGCTGTCGCAGCAATCTGTTGGCTCAGGTGCCCACGATGATACGGCAGGACGCGGAGCGCAGCGCTCTGCTCCAGCAGCTACTGCAGCAAAGCGACTTCACCGATGACCAGCTGCTCGATCTCATTGGCCAGCTGATGCAGATGCGCAGCAATCGAGGCAGCTGCAACTTAGGCAGCGCCAACACCGATGACAACGTGGCCGAAACGGCAGCCGACTCATCCTCCAATTTATAATTTCAAGTATTTTAGTTTTTTTTTATCATTATGTAGCGTCCATTATCGACGAATTGCAATTTCACCTGGTTAATGCGGTCGCTTCAGTTATACACTTTTTGTAGTTATTGAACCCTGATTATGCCAACTGCTTTTATTATTAGCATTCATTAGTTAGATATGCGTTTATATGGCATATATATATTTCTTATCCAAAATTCACATTAATTTTTTATCATTGAGTGGATCAATTGATTAATTAAGTTATGATTAAGTTTATTACAAATTCTAGTTTGTATTCTATTATACTTTTTTGATATACAATTAAACTCTTTTCTTCGAATGTCTTTATCGCCTAATATTTGTGGTTATTATCGTAAAACACGTTGCATTTCAAACAACTTCAAAACAAAATTGTCATCGATAAAATCAAATCTATTCTTAGTTCTTAGATTCCTGATGCATTTAACTGACATACAACAAATTAAATTGATGTTTTCTTTAAAATCAGGAATGCTTAAAAGATTTATAATGTAATGTTTAGAGATCTCCAATTTCTTACAATGTACAAAGACAGTCTGAAAAAAATTTATATAAATATATTTGCAATTTTACAATTTTATAGTGATCGTTTTTCATCTTAGCTAAAATTAAAATTGTCTAAAAATGGAAAAGCTCAGTGAATGACCTGTCTAAGAGGCCTCGACTGCTTATCTACCCAATCAATCTCCTTTTATTCCAGCCAATCTATCATGCTCCCTCTCTCTCTTTTACTATTTTAACCCCTTTTCTCTCCTCATCTCAATCTCTAGCTCTATCTCTCTCTCTTTCAGCTATTTGCTATGCTTATGCATATCCCTCTTTCTCTCATTCCCCCTTTTTCCCCACCAATCTCTCTATATATTTCTCTCTGCCTTCAGTTCTCATTCTTTCTTTCTCACTCTGATTTTCTTCGCTTTCATTATCTTTTTAATGATGTAATTTCATTATCAACAGTATTTTAACCCTTCTTCACTTGTTAAGAGGCGCTTCAAATTCCTATTCAGCAAAAGTTCCCAAGTGTATGGCCATTCTGACCCACTAACCTTCAGTGGGCGATTGGGCTACGCAATCGTTATATAGATTAGATTGCCAAGCGAATTAGTATGCACAGCAAGCTGTTAGTATAGGTAGGCGTCTTTGAAGACCCAAGTGCTTATGTATTTACTTTGTATAATTCCATTGGTAATGTTCACGTGCAGCGGAAGCGTAGCGGCGTGAGGTTTATCAGTCGGCATTGTTGTCTGCCGACGGCTGTCTGTTAAAGCTTGAAAGCTTTCAAGCTTTTCGTATTAATGTATGTGTGTGTGGAGGTGTGGGCGTACGGCACGCAACAGATGCGTGAGCCGCAGCAAACTATGGCCAAAAGCTGTAAACGGCCTAAACGACACGTTGTATCAAATACCGAAAAGATATTCAACCGGCAAAAGAATCGCCTGACAAATTAATTTGGGGGAAGGTCATTTGAAGGTCTTCATTTTATGGGTCTGGGTCTGGGTCTGGGTCTGGCTATATAAATAGCATTTCGAATTCTTAGTCGTGTAACTGACCTAACACAAGCAGCTACTGCTGCGGCTGCGGCTGCGGCTGCTGCTGCTGCTGCTGCTACTGTTGTTGCTGATGGACGTCATCATGCACGCCTAGCGTCTGCTCTCCGTCTACAAAAAGTATCTTCGCCTCCCTCTGAACCTGTCCGATGTCTAACGAATTAGCACTGGATCCGGCGTACTGCGATGAATGGCAGCCATAATTTTGGTCATTTCATTTGTGGGCTATCGCTAATGAATCATTTATCAGTGACAAGCGTGAACCACTCGACAAAATTTCGCTTATAAATGGAACAGTTTAAGGCAGACACCGGAAACTATGATAAAATATTATGTTATAATAATAGGTACTAAAAAATGCACTTAATAATAGAGAGTATTGATGGGGTGGTTATAGGACTACATTAAGTGTAGTATCACCTAGAAAAGCATAAGCTTTGGCAGTTCATGGGCTTAGTTTAATCTTTAATGGCTTCGGCCCTTCCCTCATAGTGTCTAACGATGTGCGAATAAATTGAATAATCACACAGTCATGGGGTAAAAACTGTGAAATGAATAAGCGCAAATGCAACTCGCAAATACTGCTCAAAAAATGTATATTTTCTACTTTTTAAATTGGAAAAATTACTGATAAAGCCCTGCTAAGTATGAAAAAGATTTCAATGGGGGCTTTATATTCGATAAAGTTGAATGAATAATGCTGCTAAGCAGCGGCCTGTTATACCCGTCGCGTTTGGCATTACAGGGCGTATCATTGTTAATATATACGTGTCTAAAGATATGAATAAAGAATCGCGCTCGGCTAGTTACAAAAAAAGAAACACAGATACAAAAATAAAAACAACAACAAGCATAAAAACCTGTAGGTAAATAAATATAAATTTTCGCCGTGTGCCGTGCAGTTCATAGACAAGGTGAACTCAACATTCACGAAGAACAGACGAGTGTGTGAATAGTTCGTGAATTTCGTGAATTTTGTTAGCCAATTAGAGAGCGGGTGGTGCGAGTACAGCTGATTTTGGGGGTGTGCAAGCAGCAGGGGAGCACGGCGAATTGCAAGTTCTTTTGGGCCACAAAAAGCTGCACATGTAAGTGCAACAGCTGTTGCTGCATCCACAGCGAAAAAGCAGCCAAGCAACCAACCAAATAGTCAGCTAGCCAGCTGTACGGGGTTATACGTGAACGGTCAGCGTTTAGAGCGACGACGACTATCAGACAGAGCACACGGACGGGGTAGCAGAGCGACGAGCAGCAGGCAGAGCAGTTCATAAAATTCCAGCAGCGACGACTACGAATTTCCAGCATCGGAATAACAAACAGCGGTAAGCTTAATACACAATTTGAACTAGCTTAAAGCAGACGCGCGGAACGTGCGGCAACAGTCGAAGCAGCAGCACCACCACCGCCATCACACAGAGGGTAGCGGCAGACCGAGTCGAGTGTGAACTGAAAGTGAATAAAACTCTGATGTAATCATTCGCTGTTACGCTCGCCAAATGAAAAATATATCGAATCGCGTAGAAATTCTTTAAGAATCGACGACATTCTTGCCGCTGTGAACTGTATTCGAATTTGTTCATCTTTTATTGCGTGCTGCGAGCAGTTTGGCTGGAAGCGAACTCAAGGTAAACATTTGCCAGTCGTCTGGAAGCTCGAAAACGACGCTTCGCACTCTGTGGATACATTCAATTATTTTTGCATTTACACAACACTGGATAAAGCGGTGTTTTAAATTTCGTCTTACGCACTGTTGCGGCATGTCGTGGAAAGGAGCGCGCCCATATCGATTTAAAAGACAGCGGATTTTTTTCTTTGGTGCTAGTGTGTGTGTGTGTGTGTGAATGTTGGAATGTTGGAATGAAACATACACACACGCGCGCACAATTGCTGCACGCAAAAAATAGTTCGCAATACAAAAAAGCTTTGCGCGCTCATTCAAAGCAACAAAAGAGCACAGCAAGCAATGAGAGCGAGAGAGAGCTTAACTAATCGAAAAACAACTTCTTGATATGCCGCCTAATTAGTGTAATTTTTAATTAGATTAAAGAGAGCGCCTTGCTGCCTTAAGAGAGACGATGTCGTCACGTATGTTTAAATTCGGTGTCACCGCCGCAAGCGCCTGTGCAGGCTCTGTGATTGCCGCATGGAGCATTGATCGGTGGAATTCTCCACATGTGGTAAATACATTGATCAGTCTACTTTATATGATGAGCACTAACTAACGGTCGTTTACAGGTTAATAATGCCGTGCAACGCCCACCCAAGCGTAAGCGTACTCTGCCCATGCGCAGCGAACAAATCAAATCCCTAATGAGCGGCGACGAATACGATGTGCTAATTATTGGTGGCGGCGCCACCGGCGCTGGTTGTGCCCTCGACTCCGTGACGCGAGGTAGGCATGTATTGCCCTTGTCATTGCCAATGACACTCAATGGGTTTTTCTTTTCTGCGGGGTAGGTCTGAAGACGGCGCTCGTGGAGCTGGATGACTTTGCCAGCGGCACCTCTTCGCGCTCCACCAAGCTAATTCACGGCGGCGTGCGCTACCTGCAGAAGGCTATTTTGGGCGTAAGTATATATATGTCAATATGTATATAGACGAGAGCAGTCTGACAAAATCCGATCTTAAAGAAGAGATAAAAGCAGAAAAATTAAAATTAATTCCATTTTCAATTTAATTAAATATCATATTTGATATCTCTTATCTTGTGGCAAATCGGACAACTATCAGCCGGGCAAAGCCGCGTAACACCTGCACAAACACCTTTCATTAAACCTTAGATCGTAGTCTTGTTTCCTAAAGCTAGTAGTAATGCTTTATACGTATATATATCTCTCATTATCGCTACAGCTAGATCTTGAGCAATATAGAATGGTTAAGGAGGCGTTGGCGGAGCGCGCCACTATGCTCGAGTCTGCGCCACATTTGACGCATCCACTGCCAATTATGCTGCCCGTATACACGTAATTAGAAATGATTCCTAATTGCGTGTACGTTTATATATATATAATTTGTATTCTAGGTGGTGGCAGGTGCCCTATTACTGGGTGGGCATTAAGGCATACGATCTGGTGGCCGGCGATCGTAATGTGAAGAGCTCCTATTTGCTGTCGAAGAAGGATGCTTTGGAGCTGTTTCCCATGTTGAAGAAGGACAAGCTGTGCGGCGCCATTGTCTACTATGATGGCCAGCAGGACGATGCACGTATGTGTCTGGCGGTGGCTTTAACAGCGGCCCGTCATGGCGCCACTGTGTGCAATCATGTGGAGGTTAAGGAGTTGCTCAAGAAAGACAACGGCAGCGGAAAACAGGTACTGTGCGGCGCCAAGGTCAAGGATCATATCTCTGGCAAAGAATTTACGGTTAAGGCCAAGTGCATCATCAATGCCACGGGTCCCTTCACCGACTCCATACGCAAAATGGATGATCCGACGGTGAAGAGCATCTGCTGCCCCAGCTCGGGCGTACACATTGTGCTGCCGGGCTATTATAGTCCCGACCAAATGGGTCTGCTCGATCCCTCAACGTCCGATGGACGCGTTATCTTCTTCCTACCCTGGCAGCGCCAAACGATTGCCGGCACCACAGATCTGCCCTGCGAAATAACGCACAGTCCAACACCAACCGAGGACGAGATCCAGTTCATTTTGAGCGAAATCAAAAATTATCTCAATGCCGACGTTGAGGTGCGTCGCGGCGATGTGTTGTCCGCCTGGAGCGGCATACGTCCACTCGTCTCTGACCCCAACAAAGATGACACACAGTCCCTGGCCCGCAACCATATCGTCCATGTCAGCCCCTCGAATCTGATCACCATTGCCGGCGGCAAATGGACCACATACAGAGCTATGGCGGAGCACACTCTTGATGCGGCTGTCAAGGGTAACTATCTGGATAGATATGAAATCTCAGATGATGTTCAAATTGAACTGACTTTTTCTTTTTCTCAGCGTGCAACTTGAAGCCAGAGCGCGCCGAGGCTGTCACATCATATCTGAAGATCGAGGGTGGCCAGGGCTGGACACCCACCATGTATATCCGCTTGGTGCAGGATTTCGGCCTGGAGTGCGAGGTGGCCCAGCATCTGGCTAAATCGTACGGTGATCGCGCCTTTGCCGTGTCCAAGATGGCATCGCTAACCGGCAAGCGCTGGCCGATCATTGGCAATCGCATCCATCCCGAGTTCCCCTATATCGATGCTGAGATTCGTTACGGTGTGCGTGAATATGCCTGCACGGCTGTAGACATGATTGCACGTCGGTTGCGCTTGGCCTTCCTTAATGTGCAGGCAGCCCAGGAAGCACTGCCCATTGTGGTGGACATTATGGGCGAAGAGCTGCAATGGTCCAAGGAGGAGAAAGAGCGCCAAATCAAGCACGCCACTGAATTCTTAGCCAACGAAATGGGACACGCTATCAATCGCACGTCCAAGGAGAGGATACCCATTAAGCTATCCAAGGAGGAGATTCAGACATATGTGAAACGCTTCCAACTTATCGACAAGGACAAGAAGGGCTACGTCTCCATCAACGACATACGCCGCGCCCTCAAGAGCTTCGGCGACGGCGATGTCTCCGGCGAGCAATTGCACGACATCCTCAAGGAGATTGACACCAACATGAACGGCCAGGTGGAGCTGGATGAATATCTGCAGGTGAGTGCTTTCCCAGCCCGATTTAATGTTTATTTCATATCATGCATAGTACAAATGTCCGATATTTAAATATATATGCTCTGGTCGGTGTTATCCGATTGCGCAATACTTATTACATTGTATTTGGATATATATATATATATATATATATATATATATATATATATATATATATATATATATATATATATATATATATATATATATATCTAAAAGAGTATATAAACGATGTGAAATGTCTATTAATATTAATATATATGTATATAAAATTGAATTGCATAGATGATGTCAGCGATTAAGACTGGAGATGTGGCCTATTCCCGTTTCGCTCGCATGGCCGAGTTGGAGGAGCAGAAGCACGAGGCGGCCAATCTGAAGCAGAAGATCAGTGTCGATCGTTCCGGCGGCGGATTGTAAATGACTTAATAAACAAGGATACGTCACGCTTACATCTACGAGCACATCTAAACTAGGATTAAGTCACAACGAATTATATACAAATTATATAAAATGAACTTCTTTACATTTTGCTGTTAATAAAGTCTTAAAACTCACCCATCTCAACTCACTAATCTCAATTGTTCCTACTCCTTGAGTAAGCGGAGAAGAGGCCGATGGCGGCGACCCCAGCGACTACAACACCTAACCCAATGAGAGCTGCATTTGAGCTACTTTCTTCTTCCTGTATCTGACGTGCTACTAAAGGTCGGTCGCGCACGTATTCAGGAGGATCTTCTATAGGGCTTACTCGGACGGCTGTTGGTGTGTCTAAATTTTAAAGCATATTTAGTCAATGGCTTATGTCAGTTGTAATCGTCAATCTTACTAAATGTGAACCGAATTAAGTTATCGATGTCCTCCGTCATGTTGCCATCTGCACGCTCCAGACTATAAATTACTGACGTAACGCAGTTGAACATATCGAAGCGCTGGTTGTTTGTCAATGTGGCAATCAAATCCAGCTTGGGATCCCAGAAGAAGAGCAATTTTCCATTGCGGCCCGACACGGCGAGGCATTTCTTCAGCTCTCTAAGCATCTAAATAATATTTATTCGAGAAAGCATTATTATTAAATTAAAAAATAGAGATTCTTTTTGAATTGTTTGAGAATCTGATATAAAGAATTGAGTTTTTCAACACTTACATCTATAAGTACATCCTTAAGTTGAGAAGTATACCAATAACTTGAGGGCTTTTGGATAACTTGCCATAGTAAAATGGTCTTTATAAAATAGCTCTTCAGGTTGTGCATGTTTGTCTTGTTATAACGAAACTTTTTCATAAATCTGATGACATCCTTCAGCCTGTACTTATCCTTGAGCAAAACGAACTCAGCATCATAGTAAGAGGCACGGAATGAAACATTGTTCGGTTCGCTGGGCTTTAAAGGTTTCGGAATCGCATCCCAAGACGTAATACCTGTAAAATATTTAAGTTCCTCCGCGCCCAAAATGTTTTGACTCGCATTTAGCTTTATGGCTGGCACAAAGTCTACAGAATATTTGATATTATTTGCGTCAATATACATCGTGTGCGCCGGTCCACATCTCCGATAGATCACACTCGTATGCATTCCATCGACAGTTATCTTGTTTTCTATGTTATTGAGCGCCCTCGTAAAAACACTCATGAACAGGGCCTGCAGCTTATCCTCCAAAAGCAAATTTTTCTCCGTTATTAATTTTTTCAGATGCGTATATGAGACTATATGGTGATTCTGTGTCTGTAGGATTCTCAACACTTCTGTCATGTCCAAGAATACATTGCCCGGTCTCCTGGGATCCTTTTTCACGATAATCCTATCGTTCTCGGGAAATTTCAAATATATATACAAGTCGAATTCGTCGGGACTCGTAATCTTCAAGTTGTCGCCATAACTACCTGTGTTGTATAGAGACTGTTCATGAGATGTTTGACTAGTAATCCTTTATAATCTACATCATATGGTCAAGAATTGCAAACCCAAGCAATGTACATGGCTTAACAATCTGCCAACAAATTTCTAAGAAAACTACGCTTTTCACGACAGTCGATAAGTGCACTCTATCTATATAATTAAATATAACTGATAACTTGCGATCACCTATCATTGACTAAGAAAACCAACTGCCACATGACATCAGACATCACCCAACAATCAACAGATGTATAGCAGTGGCAAAGAGTTCACTTATATATTTATATATATCATATTTTTTTTTTAGTTTCTGGACAAATTTTGTAATTGGGGAAATCCCCGAGAGTACGTTAGTCGTTTCATGTACACATACACTCACACATATATACGCTCGCTCACTCACTCTCGCACACGCACACACACACACAAAGTGTGTGATATCGGCAAGAGAGCGGTCTTTCAACGTGATTATGAAATTTGTATGTATGTATGTATACCGGACAAGCCATCTGAAATTTTGTTTTAGGGAAAGTCCCGAGAATACACACAAGCACACATGAACGCGCAACACTCACACTGACACAACGTGTGTATGATAATGCACGAGAACGTTCTTTTTAGTGCGAATATTATATTTGTATATATTTGCGGATGTACATGCATATATCTGCATTCATATATATACATATATATATATATCTGCATACACATGTATATGATATACGTTCCGCATTAAAGATGCATAAGGAATTTAATATTCTATTGATATCACTTACCGCCCAGTTTGTGACCGTTTAGCCACTGGTTGAAGGGCTCCACTTTCTTCAGTTCTTTGTAGATAATATTTCGCAGCACATTGTAATGAGCTGTGTACGCTTGGCGATCATCATTTATATTAATGTATCGCTTATGCGTTTCGTTCAAATGTTGCTCCAAAAAACTCATGTTTCACTACTTCTTATTCGGCTGATCTTAACTTGTCTAGCACAAAAACTAAACTGAATGTCGAGTAGCGCAATTGCAAACAAGAAATTTCGAAAGCCACATCACAGCGCGGCGTACGTCAGAAGAGCACAAGTCAAAAGTCCCTCTATGATAACAGAGGCCAATGCAGAGACGCTCTCTCTGCTCGATGTCATTTGCAGATGTAATGACGTCACATGCTCATAAATGTGTTTTGGTGTTTTGAATTATTAGAAGATTTTTTTATTATATTTATTGATGTATATATATATATATATATATATAACTAATTTATATATTATTTCTTTATATATATTTATATATTTTCCGTTAAAAAAATGGATATATGTGTATATATTAATGCATACTTTCTTTTGTATATTCAGCAACCAATCAACCAATTAATTCAATATATTTTTACGTTTATTCATTAAACTATTTTGAGATTTGAAATCTATTCTTTTTTTGTGTTACCACCTCTTTCTGTTGGATCCATGTAATTTTTCTTACCTATCGCAAGGCTCTCATGTTCATGAATGTATGTGTGAGAAACATAGGTTATTGGGAATACGAGATGCATAAACATGAGTCAGTATGTCCGGCTCCATTCATGGGTGTGTAGACAGTGGTAAAACGAATGCATATGTGTCTGTCTGTATGTAATATAACACATGTATTGAAACTTGAAAAACCTGTACATACGCTATAGCTCAGCTGAGTGTACGAAAGAATAAAGCCCAGAATCGGTTTGCTTCACTGTTTTTACCTTTTTTCAGTGAAGTAACCACTTGGTTTAGTATACGTTTCAAAATAAATATCAATTGCTTTTCTTAGTCTTATATTTGTATCAAATGTTTATACTTTTAGATGAGCCTCAATCGCCACTTTTCGCCACGTCAGCTCTTTATGGCGCTGGTGATATGATTTCTTGGTGAAATGCGAGGATCGAAAATTGATTCGATGGTCACTTGACAGCCTTGAAAGTAAACACAGAATATTGGCAAACAAATCGCAACAGAATAAATAACAAAAATAAATACCATTCTCTAGAAGAAACAATTCGCGATCGTACAGAATAATGCTTTCCACTGCAGAAAGTAAACAAAATAATAATTATTTATATGACAACCAATTAAAGTTTGCATTGCCCAACCTAGCGGTGCCAGCATAAGCCGTAGCGTATAGAAACAGACGATGCGACGCCAGTGCAACAGATCTGCCTCGATCTGATCAGAACTCCCTGCCTGAATCAAGGCAAACTGGGTGCCCTCAGTAGCCTTTTGAAAGTAGCTAAAATTATATCAATTTCAAATTAATTTAAGTTTTACAATAGAAGAAAAAGTTCTTTAAACAATAACATTGTAAAGAATTCCATAAAACAAATAATTTATAGAAATTCATAAAAAACTGTTTGTTCTGTATCTCACTCGTTGAAGCTCATGCCAGGCGCATGTTTTACATTGCGCAACGCCGAATGCCTTAGGTCAGGCAAATGCTGGACAATAATGCGTTCAGCTGCCGCTCGTAATGAGTGTATCTTTAGATATTCATAGTCTCCTACTTGAAGGCGGTCGTAGTACGACTCCATAGCATGGCAAGCAATTTCGCGCGCCTCGTAACTGAGCTGAGCGTTGTCAGCGATTTGCAGCTGTGAGCTAAGCGGATAGCCATGCAGCTTCATTTGTGGCTGCGTTGATTGTGTGCTCATCTTCTGATAACAGCAGCCCACAAAATTTAAGAACTTCGCTTGCTTACAACTTAGAAACATACGCATTAGCGTGGCGCTCAGGTCACCACACGGATGCAACCCAATTATCCCAAATGAAAAATCAGTGTCGGACAATTGGAATGCCTGTCGTATGCTCTCAATGAAGTGTTCTGGCGTTGTATCGTTGCTCAGACGTTGAGTGAGATGCGCCGGTCGTTTAAAGTGGGTTGTTTCGCTGGCGTCCAAGTGCTTTGTAGCCACGCTCTCCAGCTTGGCATCGATTGCTAGTGCTTGCTCATTGAGAGCTGTCTGCATTTCAAGGCAACACACATTGATGCCATAGCCATAGCCCAAAACGCGGGCTAAGTGTCCTACGCCGGCTCCAAAGTCTATGACAAACATAGTCGAAGTCTGTTGGCAGCTCCTCGCACAAATTGCGGCCATTCTTTTGATTTCATGTGCTTTTTTCGGCTTCACACACTTCATGAACATGTGCTTTAGCTTACGGTGCTCCAGCAGTGGACAAGATGGCAGTGCAACCTGCAAAGTGAATGGCTGTGAATAAGTCGAATCATGGTTGACTAGCTTACAAACATCGATCAGCTTATTTGGACTTCTTTTGATGCATAGCGACCGCAACACTTGTCGCAGTGCCAACAACTCTAAGGGCCATGAAACACGTGCGGTCACAACGGTCTCTCTGTGCTGCAATAGGTCACTCAGCTGTTTTACAGGTAAATCTTCCAAATGATGTCGCCAGCTTTGAGGCAGCTTGCTCCAATGGTCATCAACATAAAAGTCCTGTATTATTGGAAGGATCACGTTATCTCAATTTTGATAGCATAAGGCGTAACTACCTACCAACACATAAGAGTCCAGTAGCCACTCGTATTTTTTAGCTACATCTAAACAGGCGGCAAGCTTGTTGTTAATATTAAGCATATTGGCCAGCTGTAGCAGCAGTGTTTCACAGCTGACTTCCAATTAGGCGCGAACTAAATTGTTTAAACGTGTGTATTCCTCTTTTTGATGCGCAAATAGGTAAACCATTAGGGAGGCGTATAATAATAATCGACTATATTTAGTCTTACAAAACTGTCGAATCTGTACTTAATCGATAAATCAAATTATTAGTATTAGACAATTTCGATTTTGTGCGATTTTCAGACAGGGCTTTCTATGTTTCGTTTCCAACACTAGTAATTCGACTGTCTACCAATAATAATAAAAGAAAACATCGGTCGGGTCTAATTGGCCACAAAAATAATCAAATTGATAACAGTATAACGTGAAACAAATTGTAAGTGTTTTTGAAAAAATTGTGAAGTGCTATATTGAAGAGTATTTTGTGCCATTTATTTTCTAATCCCCAAAGGGTGGAGACAGTTATACACATCCACACATATTGGTAGTCCCGTCAGTTAAGCGAAGTGAAAATGAATCTGCAAGCAACAAATGGCAATATTTGCAAGCAGATATGAAAGAAAACTACCGTTAGATGATACCGAGGCAATAAGCTGCGAAATCGCAACAGTCGAGCAGGTCGACGGTCATACGGTGAGTGAATATGACTCTTCTGAAAATTTATATCGCCGAACAGAAAAATCAATAATCAGCGACGCAGCTGTCGCTGCCGATTTGTTGATGACGGTGTCTTGCACTCTTCTGTGTGTATAGGTGTATATATATATTTATATGTTGTGTATATATTTTTTTATATATACCAATGAGATGTTATTTTTTTTTTTGATGCAGGAATACCTGCTGCGCGTGCAGAGAGGTGATAGCTCCTGGAATGTTCTTCGCCGCTACAATGAATTTAGCAATCTGCACAAATGTCTTCGTATCTCTGGCATTGAATTGCCGTTGCCTGGCAAACGCATTTTTGGTAATATGCGACCGGACTTCATAGCTGAACGGAAAGAAGCATTACAAGTTTACATAAACACAATACTAATGAATCCCATTTTGGCATCATCGCTGCCAGCCAAGCGCTTCGTTGATCCCGAAAGCTACTCGCAATCATTCCATGGTAAAGAAACTATCTCAGCTGTAAGTTAAGTAACTAATTTTAAATTTAATTTCAGACCATGCAGTGCAAAATGCTTTGCTCTGCCTGCGCAACGACACGGTATGGGCCCTGGGGGCCACCATGGGTGCCATAGGCTGGCGGCTGCGCAAGCATTACTTTAAAGTTACCACCAAGCCGCCAGAGAAAGGCAGCAACAAGTTGGTTAAGAGTGGGTCACAGAATCAGCAAAGCAAGCATTTTGCTGCCGGCAGCAATGGTGGTGGCCATTCGGTTTCTATAGATGCAGGGACAGTAGATCCCAATGCAGAAATGGTAGCCGAGTGGCTGGAATATGGACCAGACAAGTACGTCGATGAGAAAGAAATGCATGGCGTACTGAAGAGTCTAATGGGTCTTTACCATCCGCACATTGAGTCCGTTGTATTCGCTGCGAACACAGAGAACGGTTGCTTAATCATCAGAAAGTAAGCACGTTTTAGAGTCACTCATAGATGTATTTAATTTCAAGTGTGCTGCTCAACAGATTTCATAAGCATGGTACTCTAAAGGATGTGCTTTGCATGGCCACGCCAAAGAATCCGTTTTTGAGCAAGTACGGCAATCCCAAAGGACGCACAGCACTCTCGATGAAGCAAGTGGCTACCTATGGCAAACAAATCTTAGAAGCTCTTATATTCCTGCACTCAAAGGGCTATGCTTGTGGTAAGAATTATTAATGTATCTTTATGGGAAATATATTTATTTAATTATTTTCATTACAGGTCACTTACATTCGGGAAATATTGTCATTGTGGATGACTGTGTGAAGCTGTTGGACATCGAGAACCACTTACTGGGTGTGCCGGCTTTTTATCGCCCATTTTTCGTGCAGCACAGCAAAATTCATACGATTGAGACAATTGACGTTTACTGCTTTGGCCATGTTCTATTCGAAATGGCTATGGGCTATCCCCTGCAGGAGTCCGTTGTACGTCAAATAACCGAGTGCCCTGAAGCGTTAAGTATGGATGCGTTAATATATCGTAAATACCTATATGTAGATAATAACATATCTTAATTGATAGAATCTTTGTTGGAAAGCATACTATCGAAGGAAGCATGCAAGGCTGGCCTGCCAACGCTGGATCAATTGATAGATCACCGATTTTTTACGCAATATGCAACAGAGAGTGCAGCCACATCTGAAAAGCCACATTTCAAGTTGTCTTTGGTAATATTGAAAAGGAATATATTTAAATGTAGCGACTACCACAACTGTTTTTCTCACATTTGCAGAATGCAAAGGAGCTGCTCAGGCAGGCGGCAGTTAAAAGCGAGACTCGTTTGCGTGATGAGCAAAAGTCGGTAAAGAACCAAAAGCGTATTGTACGCGTGCAGGAGCTAATGAGTTCCGAGGAGGAGAAGCGCAAATCAAAGCAAAAAGCAGTTAGTAGAAATTACTTTTGATCTATATTTAAGTAGCTGTAGCGATCGAACATCCGCTTATCAACACGTTTTTCTATTGTTTTCTTTTATGTTATGGTAATAATTAGAAATTAGAGCACAAGCAATCGAAGCTAAAGCAACAGGGCTCGCTCCAAACAAGCAATGGACGCTTGTCGCTGGCGGCCGTGACAGCTGCATCGAGCAGCACAGTTGCTGTCGGTGGTGGGCTAAGCACAGCAGATTCATTCAACCGCTCTGACAGCACACCCGAAGAACCCACTCTGGCTGGCCTCAAATGTAGCTAAAGTTTTAACAATTGAAGACAAAATTTGCTTAAATTTATAAACTATTCTCCCTAAATATTCACAGCACTCATGCCGGCATCGCAGTCGCCACACCAGGAGATGCCAGCGAGCACCTCTGTTGCCGTGGAGAGGCAGACATCGACTCCGAATATTGCATCAGAGGATGTTGATGCTGGCGAAGATGAGCCGACGCGTTCAGCGTTGCTCGAGTCAATTTGCAAATTTAACCGTGGCTCCCTGCGCAAAGTACGTTCGAATGATTAGGCAGAACGCAAAGAATTTTACATATTTACATTTTGGACCAAATGTGGCGTTATGAAATAACGGTTCCATAATATTAAATGCAACAAAAAAGAAAACGGAAGAACAAATCAATTGAGAATAACCAAAAAAAAGCATAGATACATATAACAATACATATTCGTAAACTATTTATTGGGCTACTTAAAAAAAAAAACAAATATAAAAGACAACAATCCAAAATAACTATAAGCAACTACACATATATATATAAGTAACTATATATATAAACATATATATTTACTAACGAAACCCACTGAATCTGTGTCCACAACAAAACTAAGCATAACTGTTTTATGAACTCAATTGATATGTACGTCTATATAATAATATCTGTGTATGCAATTTACAAATCACACACGTCTGCGATACGAAGATGGCAACTGGTCAAACGTACGCAACTAAAGCTTTACATATACATATACATGACCACTACACGACTGAAAATAACTTTGGTACGAGAATCTTAAATGAGAAACAAGCTTTCAAAAAGAGAAAAAAAAAACTATTGAGAAATTTCCAAATGAATATGTTAACTATAAGTCTGCACCAAAAATCGCACGAAGGCGTTCTACTATACCCTACTTATAACTATCATTCATATGTATATGTATATTTATGTCATGTACTCAGATCCTCCTCGTTGTGCGCTATACCTTTTTTTATTGCCATAATGGTCAAGGATTGAGAACATTTCATTTTAATGTGTTATCATGCCAAAAGTTTTACTGTTCTTGTTTTAATTGGTATTTATTCCAACGATTTTGTTGTAGACAAACGATATTGATTATGTGTGTAATGGAAATCTCTGTAAATCATTTGAAACAACATATGTTTTAAATGTTTAGAAGAATAAAAATTTAATAGGCGAATGCGTAAATGCAGAAGCTTTATTTATATATATGTATACTCCAACCATATTGAGCAAACCCAAGAAACAATTGTAATTTGATATTGATGTGTATGTTTGTATTCATGTCTATGTGTTTTTATGTAACTGACTGTGTATAAGTTCATATATGTGTGTAATATATATATAAGTACATACCAAAACTAATGCGAATTCAACGTGTAACGAAAACTATATATGATCAACATACTATATTATCTATACATATGTAAAACAAATAAAGTGTAAAGTATTTATCGTTGTAACTCAACGCAGGTCTATCTATATATGGATGATGCTTATAATCAGCTTTCATCAATGGTTACCATTTATTCATTGATTATGCGATGCCGAACAGCATCATTTCATGTGCTCGTCTGTCCGGTGATGATGCTGATATAAATTATCAACAAATTGGATATGGAACTTAAGAAAAATAAAACATGGTATGTTTCTTTGTAGTAGTTAGCTAATCGTTAACTTAGGGTTTATTCAAACAACAGGAAGAACATGAACAAATTTGACTACAAAGTATCCAATTTCAGTTATATCCGAGTCTCATGACTGTCACTGCGCAACGATACTGATGGTGCTCATACAAAGCTATAGTGATTAATCACTAATGCGTCTGCGCTTATCCAGGTAGTCTGAGATGAAAACAATCAAATTAATAACTATATGCCAGACTGGCTATTATTTACCTGTGGTTAAATATATATTCTAGTCTATAACGCTCGCGTGCTGATTCGTCTGAAATATGAAACTTCCAGGGCAATTGCCAGTTGAAGCGAATAACCTTTTTACAATTAATTAAAATAATCATGAAAACACTGCGGTTAGGATTTCGCAGGTGAGCAAGGTCAGTTAAGCGAATTGTGTCGAAGGATGTGTGTCAGTTATTGATCCAACATTCCGCCCGAAGCCAATTGCCACGGCGACAGGGCACTTCTATTTAGCCGCAAATGGCATAATAAATGGTATAATAATCATTTGCGGTTTTATGACAGCCCACGACGCATTCAATAGTCAAGAGTCAGCACAACGGAAATAGAAGGCGGCACGTCACGTGAAATGGCCAGTGCGGCGAAGAACTGGTCGGGTTTGGTTACGCTGTGCCTGGGCCAGGAGCGCGAAAAGGTACACCGATTGATTTTGTGTGATTATTGCAGGGCCTCATGAAAATACGGATAGTTTATGTTTATTTAATAAACGAGAATGTTTCGAACATGCTCTGAATCGAATCAAATATCCAAAATTTGTCAAAGTCACGCATAGGGTTTAAGATCGCTGCCTAGGTGGGTGGGTGGTAAGTGGTAGTGGGTGTGAATCCACTGCGAGAATGGAGCATGCAATGTAATAGATTCTGTTTCGACACTTTCGTTTTGTCACCATGCAGAGGCAGGTGAGCAGCCAGCGCACATCCCTGACCAAGTCCAATGTGGCCGGCGCCTTGGGTGTCCCGCCGAAGGTAAGTGATTGACAGTGCATGTCCACTTGGATAATAGTTATTCCTTCTGCTATAGGCGAATATACAGTATTTGCCCAGCTATCGCACGGAGCCCAGGAATCCATTGAACAAGGAACGATTGGAGCTCACCATGCGTACAATTATGAACAGGAACTACAACGACGATTATCTATTCCATCCGAGACAGTCCTGTCATCTGGCTGCCCAAGTCAGCGAAGAGATAAAGAACAGCATCAAGCTCATGAATTTCGATAGGTGGGTTCCATTCCATTTGATCCACTATTACTATAGATTGCCCAATCCCAATGCCTGCTCAGATACCGTTACATTGTGCTGGTCACCGTTGGAGAGCTGCTCATGCAGGGCCTCTGCTCCATGGTCAACTTTCTGTGGGATGCCGAGAAGGACGGCTTCGTCACCTACTCCATTAAGACACCCAAATTCGTTGCCGTCTGCACCATATTCTACTTGTATTATGACTGAGTGCGTGTGGCGTAACGAACCTAAAATCAAAATTAATGAAAGTAATAAAAGAAAGATCAGCGAAAATTAATTAATTAATGGGAGAAAGGAGTATAATAGAAACGAAAAGAGGTAAATGTGGAGGAAGCATAGAATAAAGCGTAGAAAAATAGAAAGAATAGTTTAGGTCTCTTACAGCCTCAGTTCGATGAGCAGCTGTCAACTGCATAATCTGTGGAGGAATCAGGAATCAGGAATCAGCTATATACAGTGATTTTCAAATTGTCACTAATTCACTTTCTCGCACAATTTGATTGTATTTCGAAACCACTCGACGAACAAACACTCGTTAAATAAATCACAACACATTTTGAATGAATTTTTCCGTTTGTTCATATTTATTTGAATATCTGGTAAAGAGTTATATATATATAATAGATATATAATATGGTGAAGCATACTTAATTGCATTTCGTCACAAAAACCAAATTAAATTTAACTTTTTCTAAATTTTGTTTTGTATTGTAATTCCAATTGATGTTTCAACATGTGAATAAATCAGTTAAAGTAGTCATAATATATGTAGATAACATATATATATAGATATCTGGATATTATATATTGGCCACACACATTAACAACCACAGACACAGACACACGCACACACACACACTCGCATCTATATATTGAGAGATATATATCATATATCTGTACGACACTTCAACTCACATAAGAAATTTGCTTGGATTTAATATAGTATATATGTATGTATATATATACATACATACACACATATATAGACACAGAACTTGTTGGAGAGCAACCCATAAGAGAACCAATGTAACATTTGCCAAACCCATTTCAACAATTCAAACATTTTGAAGCAAATGCTACACGACGTTCCCTTTTCGGATGGAAGTGATCGAACGAACGAACGATTGGAACAGAAATATTGCAAAAAATCCAAACTTGAAACAGCTCACTGCACAATGATATGATATAGGAAGGCCGCCACAGGTCTAGTTCAGACACTTTATAAGCACTCGATCCATAGTTATATATAAATATATATAAACAAGCATATAGAAAGAACCTCAATTCTTGGGGCAGCAACAGAAGAACGGAACTCAAATCAAATCACTTTTCTTATCGCAAGCCCATAGACATATATATCATGGATATTGCTTTTGACTTTTGGATGGGGGCAAGCACTTCGTGTTTAGCACTATTTTCGTTCACAAAAACCAAAACTTCTTTGCATCATAAACAACTCTCATTAGCCAAATCATAATTGCTTAAAACTGATTCGAACTATTAACACAAAAAAGTTAACACAAAAACTGATTTACATATTTTTCGGTTTGATTTTGGATTATTCATTTAAACTTTTTAGTTGTTGATTTTTGCACTAATTGCACATTTGAAAATATATTGTATACAAAACATTTTCGTATTTTCTTCTTTTTTTGCTTTTTGTGTATGGAATGAGAAATCTTTACACTGTTTGTAAAATAATTGAAATCAAATATACAATTAATAGTTATTAACAATTAAAAACTTTTGGCACAATTGTAATTAAAAAAAATGTAGGTATTTCTTATTTTGTTGTTGTTTTTGTTTTGATTGAACTGTTAAAAAACTTTTACACTCTCACTACACAAGGAATCAGAATCATGTGTAAGGAAAAACCATAAATAATATTTCTTTGATTGCTTGAGTGGTCTGTAAAAAGAACAATAATAATATTTGGATTAATACAGATGCTGCAAATGCAGTTCATATATATACACATATGTTAATATATATATATATATAGATTATATATTATTGTTGTGTGTGCGTGTCTGCTTCTTCTTTTTCTTGTACTGCTTCTGCTTCTCATGTTGTCACTGGCTTCTGTTAGAGGTAACTCCAATTGTCTGTTGATTGAATTATGCTTCTACCAATGCATATATATATATATATATATACAAGCATGCATGTATATGTATACGTATATACTTTTCATTTATGTAAGTCTACAACTATGTTACGTGCCAAAATATCTCTTTTGGATTATATGCTGCACGCACTTGTTGCTTGCCGAGCACTGTGAGCGGCAGCTACCCGGTTGGTTGCTTAGTTACGTTAGTTAGTTTGCCCACAGTTTGTCCATTATTTAGGCGGTGCCACCGCGCACAACCACAATAACCAGATGATCCTCCTTAAGGCCCTCCTCGGTGAGACTGTGGCAGGTGCGCTTTAAGAGGTCCGTGGAGAAGTCACACGGCGGGAATGCATAGAGCACGCCCGTGGCCTCGGTCTCCTTGTTCAGCAGCGATATAACACCAGCCGCTTCTTTCTGTTTTAGGTAGGAGACGAGATTGCGCAATGGACGCGTCTGCACGCTGGCATCGTCGCAATCTGTGTCCACCGTGGAGCCAGCCAGACCCATGAATATGGCATGCGATGACGATGATGCAATACGTTTCTGTACATCCTCCAGTTTCGGTGGATCCAGACGCAATCTCTGTGTTATACGCAAATTGTGCTTGCCCTCCTCATCACGCATCAACGACTCCACAATATCTGTGTCGCCATCTGTCAAATGAAACTTGGCCGGGAATAAGGAACTCTTAAGTATGAGTGCACCTGTCCAAATTGTGCTGCACTTGCGCGCCACCTCGGGCACTGTGGCTGCCGAGCCGAGTGCATCATTGCGTCGTGTCGAGGTATCTGAATCAGAGCCGGGTGAGCGTGCTCGTTTCAATGGTGATCGAGAACGTGAACGTTCCACACCAGGTTCCCGCGAGCCAGAACGGGCCCGCTCATATGATTCTCCAGGCGGACGACGCCATTCATCTTCAGCACCACCAGGTGGCGGTACAGAGGACACACCACCCATGGCATTCGGATGAGGTGGTCTGTGCACATCATTGTGATAGTGATACATGCCGCGTCCTCGTCCGCGATAACCGCCACCGCGTCCACGATAACCGCCACGAGGTGGATATGGCGAGTAACCACCGCGTGGAGCATACACAGCCGCCTCCTCATAGTAGGGATCATATTCAGGGCGTCTATACTCAATCGCGTTCTCATCGTATGATGGCTTTGAGGTCTTGAAAGGAGCAGCTGGCGTTGCACCAGGCAGTTCAGCAAAATCAGTGCGCAATCTGCGCTCAGGTCCACCAAGGGGGAAGCCACGCATCTCTTTGACTGCCGCCGTGGCAGCCTCCACTGTCTCGTATTGTATATAGGCGTAGGGTTCGCCCTTCTGGTATTCAATCTTCTTGATAGCACCAAATCGATCAAATTCACGCTCGAGCTGTGTCACTGATGTCCATGCGCCAAGACCACCGATCCACATTCGTGTGGCCGGCGTTACCTTGCCGTAACCAATCTTGCATTGGAACTTGCCTATGTACTGGCCAGATAGTTCAATTTTGGCACGATGAGCCATGTCAAGATTCTGATAACGCACAAATGCGAACGCGTTACCGGTGCCAGGCGGTGGCCTCTTTATATCAATGTCATCCACCACGCCATATTTACCAAAAATACGGCGAAGCTCGTCGTCTGCAATGGTCACTTCCAGGTTGCCAGCAAACAGTGTACGCGTAGAAAGCGGATCATCTTCTGGCTGCACATGATGCAAATAATTGGGAAACTTATCTTTTTTGCTTTCCGGCTTCTCGTACGGCACATGCGGCCGCGGGGCCATTGGACGCATCGGTGCATATTGATGGGGCGGTGGATGGCCGTGCATATGATGAGGATGGGCATGAGGATGACCACGATGTATTGGCGGGCCGCGAGGTGGATGTGGGTACTCATGGTGCATGGGTCGATATTCACGTGGGTGCACAGAATGCGGATGAATGGGTGGACCATAACGGTCATAGGGATCAATTGGTGGCCGGCGATGATCCAATGGCACACCGGGTCCCATGGGTGAACGCGAATAGTGGTACCGTTCATAGTCCGGTGGCGACATCGAGTGCCGAGGTCTATAAATATAAAACCCAAATGTAAATACCAAACCGTAAGTTAAAACAAATGTCAATAGCTCGCATACCTGTATTCCGGTCTTGTCGTTGACTTGTAAACTGGCTCTACGATGGCCATTTTATCGTAGATGATCAGACGAGGCTTATGATGCTTAGCCTCACGTGCATCCTCGGGCGTGCGAAAGCACACGTAGGCGACACGTTCGTCCAGATCGTGAGCGAGTCGCACACTGAAATCCCCAAATTTTTTGTACTCGCGGTAAAGCGTCTCCTCGATGAACTCGTCAGGCGCCTTCGGAGGCAGAGCACTCACACACAGAACTTTGTAGCCAGCGGGACGCTCTGCAGCGGGTGGGCCGCGCATATAGGGCTCACGGTGCGGAGAGCCGTAACGACCGCGCGGGCTCGGCGAACGGTCCAATCTTCGCCGCATACGTTCCGGCGACATGCGTTCGGGCGAATCACCCGGCACACCACCACCATTATCATATCCACGACCCATGCTGCGCGAATTCCTTACTAGGTTTCCTCTGCCTGGTGAGCGAGATGCGCTGCGTTTCATATTGTGAATTTTGACAGTTATTCGATCAAGTTCAGCTCCTTCTCTATGAATACTCATGAGCAGGAGCGGAAGCGGTTAATTGTGCCTTAGCCTTTTTCTTGTGACGGAGTCTGTGGAAAATATATAAGTATATCAAAGTTATAAAATTTCTGCAGCTTAGTACATACAATCATTTGCAGTCACATATATGTTTAATACGTACACATTTACATACGGTGAAAGAAAAAATGCACGCAAATGAAAAGAAAATGGCGGCGAGTCTTTAGCGTCGAGGATAGGGACAGGTAAAACGAAAATTAAAAACCACGACAAATTTGACGCGTTTACATAACTATAACACAACCTACTGTTTCATTACTTACCACCAACTTAGTGTACGATTTGTGATGTACTACACCTTTATTTTAATAGCTTCTTTTTGCAGTAACACAAAGAATTCACACTTTCTGCGGCTCGCAATTTATGTATACGACGAACATAAAGTGTGGTGACAAGATGATGCAGCAGAAATATCGATAATTTCTATGTTTATTCGAACTATCGATACAAAATAATGTTTCCAAATAACGTTTTTCTAATAAATTCTTTATTAAATATATTACAAATATTGATATTAAATTTTATGTGCAAAGTTACAAATTGTGGCAATTTTGATAGCTGTATTTGTAGTTTTATTTCAGACCATTATATGTCAATACTACTCACTTGGCTATTGTGAATTGGTAATTATAATTCGATTAAACAATGCAATTTGCAACAAAGTAAATGGTAGAGCGGATAAGCCGGCAATATTTTCAAAAATATGATAATAAACACGACAAGAACATATGTTAACACGTCTGCATACGGATTAGTCAGTACAAATCAAATGTTTTCATTTTTGCTACCAACGAAATAACGGTTGTTTAAAATGGTTGACGACCAAAGTCGACTATACACCGAAGTTAACAAGCAAAGAGAGCGAGAAAGAAAACTAAAATAGGTCGAATTTGCATATATGTATATGTATAGTTGCATTCTCAGTACTAGTTGCAGGTAGGCAACTTAATGCTTGCCACACATTTATAGCAGCAATTAGGTGCACTACTTGCGAATTTCATGCCCAACAGCTGTTTGTCTGGACAAACACAGATTGTAAATGAGTGTATGCATATGTGTATGCGTGTGCCTGTCTATATGCACATATCTATGTGAGTAGGCTAATCCGCTCGCTTTTTATAGCTCTTGCTCGTGCAGTCGTAAATATATACTAAATTGTTGACGATAACAAAATACAAGTTTCTCCCAAATGGAAATATATAGAATTTTGTATTCGCTTAAATGGCAACTGCGCTCTCGTTTCTTAGTCATTTAACGTGTAACGATGGCTACGTACGGAACAAATATTGAACGCGTCTCGGAGAACAATTGTGCCGGAGCGAAAGATCAGGCACGCTATGATTACTACCGGATATATAATGTCCAGTTTGACACTGAGGAGCAGATCAAATTGTTCCAGAAACTCGAGGAGCAAAGCGATAGTCTCACTTTCATTGGCCACGCACGCGAAATCGGACAAAAGCTGTCAATATTGGTCGCAGCTCATCGAGTTGCAGATTTTTCGGACTTGCTGGAGACTTACAAGCTACAACATCGAGTTTTGGTATGTCCTTTAATAAATTCCAAATAACATTTTCATATAGTAATATTTATTTTGTTATGTTGCAGACATATAATTTCCAGGAGAAAATTGATCGCAATATGCGGGAAGTTTTACCAGAGGATGTCGATGCCTCCGAATACGACTGGCAGCACTTTTTCCACTTGAAAACGATCTACAATTGGATGGATCGCATGGCTGCAAAGTATCCTGATCAGTTGACAGTATTAAATATGGGCACCAGCACACAGGGGAATGACATTAAGGGCGTTAAAGTGGGCAACAATGCTGCAAACAAAGCTATTTTTATTGAGAGCGGTATCCATGCACGGGAGTGGATCGCCCCTGCCACAGCTACCTACATAATTAACGAGCTGTTGACCTCAATGGATGAGCGCGTTCAGAGCTTGGCCATAAACTACAATTGGTTCGTCTTTCCTTGTGTCAATCCCGATGGCTACAAATATACATTTGAGCATGATCGCATGTGGCGCAAAAATCGACAGTTGTTTGGCACCTGCCGTGGCGTTGACTTAAATCGCAACTATCCCGATCATTGGAACTCGACGGGTTCCAGCAGTGATCCTACTCGCTACGATTTTGCTGGACCCAGCGCAGGAAGCGAAGTGGAGACGCAGCGTCTGATTGAGTTCATACGCGGCAATGTTGAAAAGGAACAGATCAGGACATACATTTCGCTGCACTCGTACTCACAGATGCTCATGTTCCCGTATGGTTACACAAAGGAGCATGTGTCCAACTATGACGATCTGCAGGAATTTGGAAAAAAGGCATCGGCCGCCATCAAGGCTGAGAGTGGGCGAGACTACGTGAGTGGCAATCTGTACGAGACCATCTATCCATCAAGCGGTGGCAGTATGGATTGGGCTCATGCCGAAGCTGGTATACCCATCGCTTACACATTCGAACTACGTGGTCCACCCGACAGCCAAGATCTATTCATTCTGCCCGCTGTGGAAATACAGCCAACGGCTAGTGAAGCCCTAACAGCGATTCGTACTATAGTCGAGGCAGCGGCTGAGAAAGGCTACTACAAGTGAATTCTTTTCCCGTGCTTTTAACAATTATATAATTCTAGAAGAACTTGACGTATAACGATATAGCATACTAAGTAAACCTTGTTTTTACAAGCGATATCATCTTAAATAAACTCATATGTTTTACTGTTTTGAAAAAAAAAAACTATTGTTGGTTTCCAGTTATCTAAGCCATATCACCTTGCGGTGATACATATGTATGTACATACAGTCGAGTCGCGATAATTTGTGCCCTGCTGAATAGAAAATCTTAATAATTCCTAAAAACTGATGTTCCTTAGAAAAATATCATTAATTCGTTAAAGTTTCATACATTTTAGCATTTTGATCCATTCGTCAATTCGTATGAGCTGAAGTTTTGTTTGAAAGCATGTTGCAATTCGTGTTTCAAAGGAAAATGTGGTGTCAGTTGTGCTCCCGTTATGTGTACATATATGTTTTTTTTACAAATATATAATATAGTTCTCTAATTATTTAAATAGTCCGCGCTAAGTGCTTCTGGGACTATCCTTACAAAATCATGATAATAAATTGATGAGCACTTATCGATATCGTATTCCTAAAATTTCGTATTGTTAAATCGAAATACAGCTTTAGTATTTTTTCAATTGAATCCAGTGTATTTTTCACGTTGGCCGCTCGCGGTCACACTGTACACATCCCTATAGGTCTCGGCAGAAACATATAGATTTTTTTTATTAAACACTTACTACATTAAACTATAAAAAAACGCCGAAGTAGTTACGTTTTTTATTGCTGTAACGTAGAATAAGACGCATCTCTTTGTTTGCAACGTGTACGTGTGTAGGGTAAGCCCGAGCAAGCCAAAAGTGAAAGTCCCAGAAAAAGTACAAAAAGAGAGATAGTGTGAAAGAGAGAGATAGATAGAGAGAGAACGGTGAAAAAGAGCTAGAGTCTGGGTGAGAGAAAAACGATTTTTTCAGAGAACAACGCGGATTTTCGTATTTGCTGTGGACGGGGAAACGTGTGTGTGAATTGAGCAGAACCTGGTGAGTACATTTTCTGCCTGCCTGCCTGTTTGCAATTGGTATTTTTGTATGTTGTTGTATTTGCATTTTCAATTGAAGCCGAAAATAATTTGAAAGCAGAAGCAAAACCGAAACGCAACGTAAACGCAAACACAAACGCAACGCAACGCAACGGCGCCAAGCGATAACAAAACGAGGCAAGCGAAAATAATAATAAAAAACAAAAACAACAACGACAACAACATATACTGCAGCAGCAACAACAACAACAACAACAACAATAATAACCATAGAAAATAACGAGAAAAGTCAGCGCGCTGCCGAAGACCGTCAAAATTCTCAGCCACAGCCAGCACACACCACCTTACAGCACCTGCACCCTATTAGCTGCCACCACGCTCCACCACAAACAGCCAGCCATAATGTTCGTCAATTCGATGACGTTCCGTGGAAATCCGGCTAACTATCATCAGCAGCAGCCGGCGCTCAATCATCATACGCTGGCCGCCGCTGCTGCCCACCATCAGCAGCAGCTGCATCATCATGCCGCAGCAACTGGGCACCTGAGCCACGGCGTTGGGGGCGGTCATGCGGCTAGCAATCATTTGGCTGCTGCTGCTGTGCTGGGACGACATGGACATAACTCCTTGAATGCCGGGCACACATCCACCTCATCGCATTCGAGTGGTGCCCTGGCCAGTGGCAGCAGCGGCAGCAGCAATAGTTCGCCGGATAGCGGAAAGATTTACATTAAGAACTTGGAGCGTTCGATTGACAACAAGGCGGTGTACGATACGTTCTCAGCGTTTGGCAACATTTTGAATTGTAATGTGGCCAAGGATGAGGATGGAAATTCGCGTGGATATGGCTTTGTGCACTTCGATTCGGAGGAAGCCGCTCGAGCGGCCATCGAGAAGGTCAATGGAATGCTATGCAATAACCAGAAGGTGCATGTGGTCAAGTTTATACCGCGACGAGATCGCGAACAGGAGAAGGCAACCCATTTTAAGAATCTGTACGTGAAGAATCTCAGCGAGGAGTTCACCGAGCAGCATTTGCGTGAAATGTTCGAGCCCTATGGCCGCATTACCAGTCACAAGGTGCGTCTACTCTAATGTTGTTTGTTCGCTTTTTTGCGGACATATTTTAGCGCAGGCAGGCCAATGCCAGGGCGGTGGCGGTAGCGGGAGTGTGGGGGAGTAAGAAGTGAGAGCTAGAGCTGCAGATAAACCATGTGGCACACTTTGTCATCTCTTAAGAAAACGCAGCTCATAGCTCTCGCTCATGCTCTCTCTCTCTTAGCCCGCGCTCCGGCCAACTGCTGCGCATGCCCGCCCTAAAGAATTAACTAACTGATTGTCGTTGGGCCGCAACAAAGGTTTGCTACAACTGGGCAGCAGCAAGCAATTGTTGTCATTTTAATTGCTATTATTAATTTGAATTTCACTTACAGTTGATGCTGGACGAGGAGGGACGTTCGCGCCGTTTTGGATTCGTGGCTTTCGAGAGTCCACAATCGGCGCTGGCCGCCGTCATTGGGCTACACGGCAAGCAGTTGGGCGACAACAAGTTCTTATATGTGGCACGAGCGCTCAGCAAGGCTGAGCGGCAGCAGGAGATCAATCGCAAGCTGGAGGAGCGCAAACGTCAGAAGGCCGGTCAAATATTTTATTACTAAAAATTGGCAACGGAACGGACGGATCTAAACGCTGTTGCGTTAGATGCGAAAGTAACAAGAAGTTTATTTAGAGTCCCCCGATCGCCGCTCACACATAACATACAATATATACACACACACACAACATACCTATATCTTCTATATATGTATATATAATTATATATATATATATATATATATATATATAGAGATATTTATGTGAAATTGTATTCTGCATCAAGCAAAAGATTAAAAACAAATGCAATACACAGCAAGCACAGAAGAGACAACACACACACACACACATTTAGGTGTAGGCAACCCACACACTCACTTTCACACTCTTATTCAAATGGAAAAATAAGGAATTCACACACATAGATTTCCAAATATTAGAACTTAAAATGAAATCTATTATAACAAATGCAAAACAAATAATAATTCGCTAGTTTTTCTTTAACTTTCTTTCGATTAGATGTTTGTCTCTTGTTGAATTTAAAGAGCAGAAGCCGAAGTAAAAAGTAAATAAAAAGTAAAATTAAAAATGATAAGCAGCTTCTAGCTTCACGAACAGAATGCGTACGCATACTTCTAAATACATTAAATTACTTACTAAATAATAATAAAAGAAACTCACGCAATTAGCAAGTGAATTCTAGGCAAGCGTCGAAACAAATATATAGCTACCATGTCGAGTCAAGTCATGGGCAAATAATGAATATTTACACACATACTATATATATTAAAACAAACTACACGATTGATGTAAAATTCTATAAACAATTAAAGCACCCACTTTACGTATATAAAGGCAAAAAAAAACATAAAAAAAAAACAAAAAATTAAAAAAAATATATATTATACGCTGTAGTTTAAAAGCGTTTATAATAATACTCACACACACACACATCCTAACTAATGCTAATTAAAAAATGAAAAGAAATTTGAGGAAACCTTAAAGAAAAAATATGGGAGCACGAGGGAAACTCTTGTGTGCAATTGCAATTTACAATGAGAAAATGAGTATTAAATTAAATTTGTAACAATTACAAAACATTTTTGTAATTTATTGTAAATTGTTTCAAAGTAGCTAACGACCTATTCAAACATTTAACACCAGACAGCAGCAAAAACTGTAAACGATATGATTTCAAAGATAAATAATAAATGTACGTGTACCAAATACACACTCCCACACACACACAAATGCGAATGCTTAAAACTTTTTAGAAAAACATATTCACACACACATATATATAAATATAAAATGGAAATTATGGCAAATAACAAGCGTGTAAACAAGCTCAGCACATTTACAAATTAACCGGAAAAAGAGAAAATGGAAGTGGAAAATGGCAAATAAAACATAAATATATTTTAAGATTATTGAGCTTAATTTTTAAACATGTTTCAAAAAGAAGGAAAAAAGCAAACTCAAAAGCAAAAGTAAAAGTCCCCCATAAAATAACTAAACTCGCAAACAATTTGTATAGTTAAAAAAGAAAAGAAAAGAAAAACAGACAACTGCAAAACGAAAAACAATTGAAATATATAGTAATGTAATAAAATGCGAAACCTTAAGAATTGCATAAATATACACACATCTACAATAATTTATTATGTAACAATTAATTTACAATTTCCGTTTCGAGTTAAAAAAGGAAAATGAAAATGAGCAAGAGAAAAGCGTTGCTAACAATTTTTGTCAGCTAAGTAGAGCTAAAAATAAAAACAAAATTTATAATTTACAGGAAATTGATAGTATTAGTATTTACACACACACACGCAATATGAATTTAGAGAAAAGTAAACAAAAACAAAAATATTAATGCAAAATGTACAAAAAAACAAAAACAAAACAAAAAATGAATATGAAACTTTTCGTTTGCAAAGCAAATGCGACATATGTGTATTTTTATCATTAATTGTAATAAAACCAAAACTTAATTGCTTTTGCAGAATTTAACTTAAAAAGAAAATCAAGAATAAGAGAAAGAGAAACAAAATCCCAAAAGAAAATATGATGAATAGTATGAGAAAACAAAAATGAAACCTTGAAATATATAACCTTTTATAGTACTAAATTTTTAGCCAGTACGAATTAAAAACAAAACAAAATGCAAGTTTACAAGGCGAAACTCGAACAAAAAGAAAAACAAACCTTTAAGCAAATGAAACAGAATTCAAAATTTATAATAAATACTCGATTTTGCACATTTTTGCTAAATGAGAAATTAATTACATAAATAATAATTATGTATTTTTTTTTAATTAAATATCATTTTTTTAGACCCAAGCTACATACACACACACACAACCTATACACACACAGATAGAACAGACATATATATATATGTATATATATATATGTATATATATATATATATATATAAATATATATATATATATATGTAATTCCATGAAAATAAAATGAAAAACTCCTAATTATAAACATATAGAAAAGAAAAGGAAAAATACCTACTTATTAAAAACCAAGACGATATATAAAATTTAAAGATGATGAAAGTCATCGAAGAAAACAAGTAAAATGCAGTAAAAATATGAGAAATTTGAATAAAAATGCTTTTGCAAAAAGTGTTTAAAATTGAGCAAATTTGTTGTATTTAATTAATTAATAACAAATAGCAAATACTTAAACAGTTAACATAAATTTTTGAAAACGCAGCAAGTTCAAAAAACACGGACGAACACGCACAACATGATTTCAAGATCGGTGAATATATCAACTATTCGTCATCAATTATCTCTATATCGCTATTAGGGGATTTCAGTTCCTCGATTTCGTCCTGCAAGTCCTCGATCTGTTCCTCATATTTGCGCTTGATCGATGCAATCTATTCAAGTGTACAATAAGTTTTCATAGTCGCCAATAAGGGCAGAATAAAGTGAGACAAACCTTTGCTTCGAATTCCCGATTGAGCATTGCGATCTTCTTCTCCTGCCGTTCCTCGCATTGTTTCAGATTCGTGTGTATGGTCGTCTGGAATGTGTCTGTCAACTCCTTGCGCAGCTTCTCCTCCTGCAGCTGCAGCTTCAGCACAATATCATAGTTCAACCGATCGATCTCCGCACGCAGGCTGCCAGGTAAATAATGCATATAAATCTCAATTTAACAACAGCTAAAATCCATGTCTACTTTACCTTATGTTCTGAGCCTCCAGTTGACTGATATATTCCCTATCGGCTGACTCTCCAGTCTGGCTGTATTCAGCGAATAGCGAGTAGCGCGTGTTGTGCTGCTTCACTAGCTGCTGCTTGAATAATATATTCTTGGCAATCGAGGCAAAACTGAGCACATTGAGATTCTCCTCGTAATATTTATCCAGCGGCGTTACTGTTACAATCATGGCCAAACGTTCCTTGCCCAGCAGAGCGGCCTGCAGCAGCATTGTTAGTTTCGAGTCCCGATATGGTATGACATCCGCATTGGCCTTCTTCTTTATTGAACTGGCCGCGTCCAGGCAACGACCCAATACCATTAGTGATGTATTGATGCTTTGGGCCTCTTTCAAGCGTGAACCGATCGTGCCCGTTTTGTCCACTCGCTCCGAGCCGGCAAGATCGCAGAATTTATATGTGTTTTGAGTGGTCATGCCCGTCCGGTGGTATTTCAGCACGTCCACTGTGAAGACGCAGTGGGAACGACTAGAGTTGGTATTAACGGCCGTGGAAGCGTACGTTAGACGCTGCTGTCCCAGTCGTAGCAATTTCAAAGCTTCCTCGCTGCTTCGTACAAATATGCTGGTCAGGCCCTTGATGAAGACTTGACCCTTATTGCAAACGATCTTTAGATTTTTGCGTCGAGCCTCCAGATTTTGTTGACGTGGAGGTAACGTCAGCAAATCGTAGACGAGTTCGTTGTATATTTCGACAAATGACACCCAAATCATGACAGAGACTTCCTCGGCCGGTTTCTCCTCAAATTCGTGATCGCCATGGATAACTTGTTTTAGGCGCTGGTGTTGAGCCTGCATATCCGGGCACAGCGCCAACAACTGGCGGCGTATTTGCATTTCTTTTATTGTGACATCGTCTTCCAGGATTACCATTCGGGCATTAATAAGCTTCAGCTTGGCCGCCGTATACACCTGCTTGTTATATAGGGTAAATATGTGTTCCAGAGCGCGTGGTATAATGCCAGCCCTAACACTGTCACCTAGTGTGTAGTCAATCAAACTAAACATGAATGTGGATTCTGACTGATAACAGGACTTCTGACTACGTACCAAGCAGCGTATAGGTTTTACCCGATCCAGATGTACCATAAGCCATGATAGTAACGCATTCTTCGTCTATAATGCGTGGACCCACACATTTGTCGTATATATCCCGCTGGCCAACTTGACTATCGAATATGTTGGTGAAGCTGTAGTGCTTCTCCATGCGGTTAACATTGTTGCTGCTGTACTCGTTGGTGGCGGCGCTAGTGATCAACACATTGCCACAGTCGGAGATTACGTATAATTTGGACGGAGATTCAACAGGACGCAGACGTAGAAATACTTGCGGCCCAGTCTCAATCTCGCTATCTATTGAGCCACCTTCATCGCCGGTTTTCGTGTACTCTGATTCCGTGTCTGAACAGTCGGTGGAGCTATCACTGGTTTCGACGAGCACCTCGTCGAAGAGTCGCAGTTGTTTGTTAGGGCGAGGCCGAAAACGACGATCAATGCTGGGATCGCGAGGCATTAAAAAGGAGCGCATCTCGCGTCTATTAACCTCTTCTCTCTCCATAATATTACAAACTGGTATTATTAAATGTTTTTGTTTTAATTTGTTCGTCACTTTTGGCGGTTCAACTTAAAGACGCTTGTTTGCGTGTTGCCAACTGAATTAAAAATTATTATCACATTGCCAACTATTTCGAAGCTAGAGTTGGTTGGGTAGACTATATCGAATAATAGTTCTATCGATTAAAAGTAATAGAGATACTATCTACAATATATCGACTTATTTCTCATTGTAATATCGATAATACTGCTAATGTAACGAGATCTTTTTAGAAAGGTGGCAGCTCTAGTAACACGAGTGTAAGATATAAACATCAATAAAGGCGGGATCTCTTGCTTTTATGAATATATAGATTTTGATATGGTTAAAAGTGCAACACGATCCGCAAAACCCAAGGTTGACCCCGATGCGGCGCCACAGCAACAAAAAGTGTGTAGCATCAAGAAAGTGTTCTACATATCCGAAAAGTTACTCAACATAGAAGGCGATCAGCGAATGTGCCTGGAGCGATTCTATCATCCTGGCAAAGGGCAACCGGCCTTGTTTATAACGCAGGACCGGGAAGTAATGGAGGTGCTGGAGTACGCAGAGCCACGACGCAGCTGGTTACTAAATAATGAAGTCTGCTCCAATGGACGCACATACATGACGACGCCAATAGATCCAACGTTTCTTGCACTGTACCATCTCCGAAAACACTGCACCCAGCGTGCAATGTCGCTAGACAGCATTAGTGTAGACGAGGCTAATGGCAGCACAAATCGTCTTCTAACCAAATTCATAAACGCTGAGAGTCTGAAGTGCGTGGCCGATGTGAAGACCTCTGGTGAGCTAATCTTCTACAAATACAACAAAGATCGGACGTTAGCGTGGCTTGCTCTGAAGACACGACAAGTTGTGTCCGTGCTCAAGGCAAAGCAAGTGCACTGCGGACTGGGCGCCAAGTCGCAGAATTATGTGCGCAGCGAAAAGATTGTTGACGAGAATGATGTTAAGGAAACGGATTACATGCGCATGGCTTGTGACTACGTGGGTCGCTACTTGGATGCGGGCTTGCATGATGAATTAACGCGTTATCTGGAAATACCAAGCGAGATCCAGGCGCTAGTCGAGGAAAGTGCCACGGCAAAGAAGCGAAAATCTCAGCAAGGCCAAGCAACTGCGAATAGTAAGAAAATAAAACTCGCCAATGGTGAAGATGTTGGAACGCAGTTAAGGAATAGCAGCCTGCTGGACAGTGATGATAATAAGGAGAGTATCACTTCACCACCAATTACACCTGCACCGCTTAAGGAGCGCAGCCTGACGGCTAAGGAGAAGAGTCTGGCTAAAGGCGCCAAGGGTAGCAAAAGTATTGCATCCTTCTTCAAAGTCAAATAAGTATTTTAAGTATTTAAATTTAGTTATGAATAAGTTTATTTCAAAGCATTTGTTCAACATACCCCATCAACTTTTATTTATATAAACAAACGATTTTTTAGCAGTTCACTGACTTTCTGTCTGCAGCTTTGGCGCATAACTTCTTGTCAATTGACTTGTTTAATGTTTTTTTAACATGTCTGGCTCGGCACTACCAACAAATTGGGTAAACAAGACGCCTTAACTGTCACGGGCAACAAAATAATTACGATTGTTTACATAGCTCTGAATGTCTTTTATCGGGCGGGGCTTCTGAGAGTCAAGTAACTGGCAATGCGATACCCTTGAATTGGATCAAATCTCTGCTTCCCATGACATATATGAACTTAATTTGATTTTTAAGAACTTTCTGCTACACGCTCTTCAAGGAGCAGAGCCTTTAGAAGTGTTTAGTGTTGCCCTGCTGTCATATGAAATTTGATTACAAAGCGCTTCAATTGCAGCCCTGGATTCTGAATGAAGCAGAGCCTGCTTGTATTACAGATTACGTTTATCGTGTTCCCTGCCTGTTAAGTGTTGCCCTTTCATTATATGAAATTCACTGACAAAGTCCTAAGTGTTGCCCTTTCATAAATTTTAAAATTCAGTTACAAGGCAAAAGCATATCGGCGGAGCTTTTTATAAACTGAACAGTCGAACTGTGGTTCACAGTGTGCAAATTTGTATTTCAATTGTTGATATATATAGGGAGCATCATGTCGATTCCTGATGATGTTTTGAACATGGAGTTGGTTTATGCAGACCCTTCAGAATTGCCGAACACATTGTTCGGCGGGGCTGACTTGGCTAGTAGCAGTGTGGAGCAGCTTTTTAAGATGCCACTGCCATTTAAGGAGCCAAACATCGAGGAGAAAACTGTAGTCAACAACAAAATCGAGGGAGTGTCGCCGGGATATGAGCTGAAGTACACGTTCGAGGGACATCAGCGTCCGACTACCGCGGTTCGCTTTTGTCCTGGTGGTGAGTGGTTGATCAGTGCATCGACCGATGGATTACTCAATATGTGGGACATGGCCACGGCTCAGCTGCTCAAGACAATGACAAGCCATTCATTGGGCATCAATGACGTGGCCTGGGCGCCCGATGGCAAATTCTTGGTCAGCTGCAGCGATGACAAGACTGTCAAGATGTGGGATCCACTTACTGGCCAGTGCCAAAAGACAATGGTAGGCCACAATGGATATGTGTTTTCCTGCATCATCAATCCGCAGGCGAATCTGATCGCCTCGACCAGCTTCGATTGCACCGTACGACTGTGGGATGTGCGCAATGGCAAGGCACTGAATATGATACTCGCTCACATGGATCCCATTTCATCTGTGGACTTTAACCGTGATGGATCGCTCTTTGTGACCGGCAGCTTTGATGGACTTGTTCGCATTTGGGACACCATCAGCGGCCAAGTGCTGAAGACGCTCATCGACGAAGACAATTCGCCAGTGGGCTATGTGAAGTTTGCGCCGAACGGCAGGTATATACTCGCCGCCTATTTGAACAGCCAGATAAAGCTGTGGAACTTTCAGAAGCCGAAATGCTTACGCATCTACAAGGGTCACACGAATCTCAAGTATTGCATCTCCGTTAACTTTTCCGTTACGGCGGGCATGTGGATCGTGTCGGGCAGCGAGGATGATTCGTTGTACATCTGGAGTCTGCAGAGCAAGGAGCTCGCCCAGAAGCTGCATGCGCACACACATGAGGTCCTTTGCACCGATTGTCATCCAAAATTGAATCTGATCGCAACGGGCGCTCTCCAAAATTCGGACAATCTCAAGATCTGGCAGAGCAGCGAGACTGTAATCGAATTAAATAAATAAAATAATTTATATTTAATTAGAACTTAATTGCCATTTGTCTTTAAGCCAACTTTGAATTGGAATTCCCGTTATCAGCGAAGTCGTAATAATTGTAATTCGCTATAAAGCGATAAGATGATAATCAAATCGCAAATCATATATAGCTCATGAGTGTGCATGAGTGTGTGTATGCGAGTGTGTGTGTGTGGGTGTGTGTGTTTGCACACAGTCTGGGCCCAGTCGAGCCCGCGGGCAAGCGATTAGAGCGTCATTCAAGTCCGGAGCGTCGCACAGAGCGAACGTTCGCTTAACTTTGTAATTTAACGCGGAAATAAGCACCGAACCTGATACTAAAACTGAGAAATAAAAAATTAATTTATATATATATATAAAAGACGAGAAAAAATAATAATCTTATAAAAATCGTTGAGCTTGCAACGACGCTATGAGAGCTGGTGACAATGAAGGTAATGAATTTCATTTCAAATACGGGCAACAGGTGAGCAGGGAAATTGGAATTGGAATTGGAATTCCCCGCCTCATCTGATACTTGTTTTTGACTTCTTCACGGCTGGTTAGAAAGCGCGCGACAATCAATTGAAAATCTTTCGGCTGTAAATTGAACAACAAAAGGCGATCTCTCAATTGATCGCTGAGACAATAATGTGAGAAATTTCAATTTAAAAATAAAGCTCTTAATTACAAAAGACGAAATACGAAATTTCAATTTTCCGGATTCGGATTAGAGATGGCTTCAAAGAGCCTAAACTAGACTTAAAACAAACATTTTCTTTCTTTCTCTAATATATATCCGTTCAGTTCATATCAGACTAAAGGTTCTTGAATTCAATAGAAATGTATGCAAGATAGCTATATATAGATACTTGCTTATATAGCCGTTGTATTATATTGAAGTTCAATCGCAGCTTTATCTCGAAGTTTATGAGCGTGGAATTTCCGAAAAACTCATAATAATATATAATACTAATAATAGAAGTAACAACTAAAGCACTTTCTAATTCAAGTTTTAAAAGGTTTCGCCTGTTCATTCAGTTGGAGATAAGTATATACGTGACTTACTCAAAAAACAAGCTCGTTTATATGAAAATAAAAACACGCTTATCTCTGCTGTACTGGCGGCCTCCAATGTTGTCCGAGTCCGTTGCTACCAGGCCAGATTTTCAAATGGTTCGAATTTATGACTTAATAGTTGGGGGGCAGGTCGTAAACATGTTATAGTCACTAATGGATTTGTGACTCGTAGAGAATCTCTACCGCGAGCAGTTGCCGAACGTGGGCGCTCTTATCGGAGAGAGTGGACGAAAGTTGTGCCGGCCCTCGACCATTACCGGAAAATTCCCAATACTGCGCTGGCTGCCACATTACCGTTCGGCATATGTGGTGCAGGATTTCATAGCCGGCTTCACGGTCGGCTTGACAACCATACCTCAGGCCATCGCCTATGGCGTAGTGGCTGGACTGGAGCCGCAATATGGCCTCTACTCGGCATTCATGGGCTGCTTTACATACATTGTGTTCGGTTCCTGCAAGGATGTGACCATTGGTGAGTCTTTACTGCACCTGATCCGCATATAAATTGTAGACTTGGCTCATGAAGACATCGCTTACAGCCACGACGGCCATTATGGCTCTGATGGTCAATCAGTATGCCACGATTAGTCCGGATTATGCGGTGCTCGTTTGCTTCTTGGCGGGGTCGATTATTCTAGTGTTGGGCCTGCTAAATATGGGCGTGCTGGTGCGCTTCATATCGATTCCCGTTATAACTGGATTTACAATGGCCGCAGCCACCACCATTGGCAGTGCACAGATCAACAATCTCGTTGGCCTCAAGGGTAAGCTTTACATTTCACAATTCACAATTCTTATCGTCTAATCAGCTGAGAATTGTCGAATTTAAAGTGATTACTAGAATTATGGCAGCTCGTATATCTGCCAAAATATCAAGTGCCCAATATATTAGGTAGGGAATCATATAGCTAGTAAGACTCTTATATACAGCAATTAAAGGAGAGCTTCTAAGTGTATTGCATATGATAATTGCAATATTAAATAGCTGAGTTGCAGTCGAAAGCAGAGATAAGTAACGGAGACCAGGCAGTTCGTGAAGTACTTTTATAGCCCGCACTTCTTATCTATCCAAATTCAAATATCAACAGAATTGTTCAAGCATTCAAATGTGCACAAATTGCATTGAACTTTATAGTTATATTACGAAAGGAGATTCAAGTAGGAACAAGAACTCTATCATCTCATTAGACTAAGTCAAATATAGAAATGAAAGCAAATGTTTGAAAACTCCTTGCTTCACAGGTCCCTCGAATGATTTGCTGCCCTCGTGGAAGCATTTCTTTACGCATCTGTCCTCGATCAGACTCTGGGACGCATTGCTGGGCGCTGCAACTTTGGTCTTTCTGCTGCTCATGAAGGTAATTCTAATCTCTAAGGAGGCACTCATCTGCTAATCTATTTTTGCGCTTCTGCAGCAATTGACAAAGATCAAGTGGGGCAACAGGTTGGTCTGGAAGTATTTGTCTCTGTCGCGCAATGCATTGGCCGTCATATTTGGCACTTTCCTGGCCTACATACTCAGTCGAGATGGCAATCAGCCATTCCGGGTGACGGGCAATATCACAGCGGGAGTTCCACCATTTCGATTGCCGCCCTTCAGCACAACTGTCGATGGGGAGTACGTGTCCTTCGGAGATATGATAAGCACAGTGGGTGCATCCTTGGCATCTATTCCAATGATAGCCATACTCGAGATTGTGGCCATATCCAAGGCGTTCTGTAAGTAGTTACAAGGCATTTAATCTTGCCTGATTTTGAGTTTATGATATACTTTTAGCCAAGGGCAAAATTGTGGATGCCTCGCAGGAGATGATCGCCCTGGGCATGTGCAATATCATGGGTAGCTTTGTGCTCTCCATGCCTGTGACAGGTTCCTTTACCCGCACGGCCGTCAACAATGCCAGCGGGGTGAGAACCCCCCTAGGAGGCGCTGTGACGGGTACTCTTGTGCTATTGGCTCTCGCCTTTCTCACCCAAACATTTTACTTTATACCCAAAACGACGCTGGCAGCGCTCATCATAGCAGCTATGATATCTCTAGTAGAGCTGGAGAGAATTTCAGATATGTGGAGGTCAAAAAGTGAGTGGAGCAGGCCTATTCCAAGCACAGTATTGAATATATATATCCTTTTTATAGAACGCGATCTCTTTCCCTTTGTGGTGACAATCGTGACCTGCCTATTTTGGAGCTTGGAGTACGGCATAGTCTGTGGCATTCTGGCCAACCTCATCTATATACTCTACAGCAGTGCTCGACCGCAAGTGCACATAACGCTTGAGAAGGTAAGCAGCTTTCCAACAGTTGTCCATCAAATGTATTCTACTTCCCCCTCTAGATCAATGGCCATGAAGTTGCTCTGGTCGACGTCAAACAGAAACTGGACTATGCCTCGGCCGAGTACCTCAAGGAGAAAGTTGTGGCATTCATTAATGAGCAGGATTGTAAAATACATTTGGTGGTGATCAAGGGCCAGGAAATTAATTCCATAGATTACACAGTGGCTATGGTAAGCATAGATTGCCTTAAATGAACCAAGCCCAACTTCAAATCGAATTCTAATCATTTCTTATGTAGAACATAATATCACTCTGCGGCGATCTTAAGGCACTTAACTGTGAAATGATCTGCTGGAACTGGAACATTGGCTCTGCTGGCGTCGTGTGTCGCCTCCAAAGTGATATTCGTTCCATATTTAAGTTTGACTACGAGCTGGAAGAGCTGATCGCCTCTCACTTCAACACATCGAATACAGCATCCACTGTAACCATTGAGACCGCACAGGGCCAGGTTAATGAGGCGTAGAAGTACCCTTGGTCTACCCATTCAGGATCACAGTATTTTTTATATATGATTATTTATATGGAGCATGTACTTAGAAAAGTTTTAAAACACATTTTGAATACAAGACTTAAGTATTTTAATATAAAGTAAATGGGGAATGGGCATGGAAGTTGATGTCTAGCTAGTCTTGGCCCTGGCCCCTAATTCAATTGTCCAGTCTGACTATTCTATAGCCACTCTAAGGATACGGCGACAGCGTGTCTGCTGCATTCTCGTCTCATATTGTATTACGAGATGTTCGAGGAACCTCACACATTATGTCATAATAGTTGCATAACAAAATTAATTGAACTGTTAACCGCAGACATTCGGGCAGACAGTCTTTGTGCACTTCGATCTCCTTTCTCCGAACAATTGAGCCGAGTGCAACATAATTTATGACTTTCTCTGGGCACTTGAATGGGTCCGTCTGCACGCTCTTAGTGTGATGGAGAGTGAATGTAAGAGAAGAGGCTTCTACCTTTCACCAGTTGGGAAACTAGTTTCTAGGAAGAGTTTAGCTGGGTTTTAATTATGGGCTTTGGGGGTATCCAATTCAAAAGGCGCATTTTGACTATACTTTAGTGGTATTTTTTATATGTATTGAGTCCTTAATTTTCTAGTTTTATATTGGAGCGGCTGGAGGTCAGCTCGGAAGGTTAACCACATCTCATCTGCCAGCTGCGCACACTCCATGTGCTGCTCCACAGCCTGACATCCGCCAAACACTTAATCTAGACTTCCGCTATGGATCCTGATCCGGATCCATGATATCTGCTTTCTTGAACTATTCGATTTTTTGAGAATTCCTTCTCATTGGCCTCTATGCGTTAACACAGAAACTAAGCTCTTTACTAAAATTTCCCAAGTGGATTAAAGATTTCTATTAAGATTCAAATCATTTCTGGATTTCAAGCAAACTTTTTTATTTTTGATAAAATACTGAATTTCTTTAAAGTGGATCAATTTGATATTAATTTCTCATTATGTCAATGGCTCGTGGGCTGTCAGGGTCGTTCGTATCCAAATCAAACTCAGTGGATTAGGCAACGATATCAAATTTAGTTCCAGGTGGTTCCAGCTGCTGCTTCTAGCACGCTTTAGGCTCGCTTTTGGCATCCTTAAGATATTCGTAAGGAGCCACCAAACATAAGGTGTGCCCGATAAACACAAAGTGATTCAATTTGGATAGCGTAAACAAGGAAACGGCAGCAGCTACCAGCTGGACCAATCTCGTGTCGCCCTCAGCCACGCTGATAGCACAGATCACACCATGTGTTTACGGCTTCCACCAATTGTAGCAGCCGCAGTGAACTATTACGGAGCAGGGGCACGCCTACAAGTGCCAAAAATAGGCAATATGATGAGAGCAAGAGACAGCCAGAGATCGGAGAGAGTGAGAACGAGGAGAATCTGTATGTGTGTAAAAAGGAAGATCTTCCGAGCGCTATATTCAGATGTGTTTTATAAGTGCTGCGAGACGGTTCGAACTAAACGATCTGAAACAAGACGAGCTAGACAAATCAAACTCGGAAATATTGAAATAAGTGTTTAAGATAGTGAGTCTTAAGTTTATCTGAGTAAAAGTGTCATCAAAGTTGTGTGCGAAAATTTTGTGTTTTAATTGAAAAAAAATTATCTAATGCCACGCAAAAAGCGCGCTTCCAGCCCACTGGAATTGTACGATGAAGATTTCGATGAGGATGCCAGCTCACATAGTAAGCACAATTATGGCAATTATTCCACCTGGCTATGTTAACTTATCTTCAACAACTCCTTAAGGTTCCCAGCCGCCGGTGCAACGGAATGCGGCCAATGCCAGGGAGCGTATGCGCATGCGAGTGTTGTCGAGTGCGTATGGCCGCTTGAAGACCAAATTGCCTAACATTCCGCCGGACACAAAGCTCTCGAAATTGGACACATTGCGTTTGGCCACACTCTACATTAAGCAGCTAATTAATGCTGTCGAGACGGGCAGTGGCAGTCCGAATGCCAATCCAAATGCTGCCGCTGCCTCCTTAGCCGATGTGCTGGATACGCGAAATCTAGCGACAGATTGCGCCAGCTCAGCCGGCGGCACGGCGACCAATTTCAATTTTCACAATGCAGGACAACTCGGCATGGTAAGTGTCAACTGCAAACTCTGTAAACTTTCGACCTGTGACAGTGCTAGTGTCAGTTCCTGTGGTGCGTATAAGTGATGTCAGTGGCACCACTTAGTGTTGCATGCAATGGAATATACATATATACGGGTATATATTTATGGGATATATGTACTCTTATACACACATCTAGCTGCTGGTACTTGCAGCTGGACCGCGTCAATCCGTGACAGGTGTCAGCTCGCAGTTATGAAAGGCGGCGTTGATAGCCTCAAAATCCATTCAGTTTTTTGTCAGACGTGCGACAGATCGCAATTAACCCAATTAAAATATCATATCAAATGTTGTATAGAAATTTTGTAATGTGAAATCGAGGACCTGAAACGGTAATCCTTACTTTAGCTAAGGTAAAGTTGTACTATTATTCTAAAGAATTCTCATTTCGAAATATAAAATAAGTCGGAGTACTTTCTTCTATTCTTCTATATTTTGATTTCATTAAATTTTACAATATTCTTTTGACGGCTCTAAACTTGGCATAAACATCATCCAAAATCATATATTTATTTATGTTGGGCAACATCTGTTGCAGTACTTCTGTACCTTACGTAGGTGTAGAGCCCCCAACCGCCTTACCAATTTGAAGTACAACAACAGAAAACTCAAATCACATTTTGTGATTTCAGTTTGCGTCTGGCTTTCCTGTAATCAGATACTTTTGTGAATTTCAAAAATACTAAATATGAGTGACAGACTCACACGGAGACATCGACAGTTCGTGGCGAGCGACTCGAGAGGTGCGGCACAGGAGAGAAACATTGGTTATTTCTTCGCCAGTATTTCTTGTTATTTTTAAAGAGGCACGACTTTGAAGCCAAGCCAAAGTGAATGAATGACATGCAAGGGAAAACTGTCGTGTCTGCTCACTCTTAGCTAAACAGTACGTAGTATGTAATTAAAACAAATCAACATTTTATAGCCCACGAATGCTCGAATCACAGATATCCTATAATCAGCTCGAAAATATCGTCAGATGGAGCAAATTTTGGTGCAGATCTACATGAGATATGACTTTGCTAAATGCAGGCTCTATAACCCTTAGAATGTTCTACACATACATTCTCTAAGATCCCTGCATCAGCTAGACATTAACAGAAAATATTTATTTTAGAGTATTTCGAAGTCCTTACTCTGCATATTTTAATATAATATAATTATTATATTTAAAGTTTGCTGATCTAGATGGGTTTTGTTCTCTTCTAAAATTTGCCTAAATCATGGAATCTACCTATCTCTATTGAATTTATAAGCATTGGCCTATTTTATGGAATTACCCACAGAAATATATAAAAATTCTACCAATTAGCGTACAGGCAATTGTTTATTCATTCACTGAAGTTGAATGCGTGAAAATTGTTGAGCAAATATTATATTCGGGCGGCGTCTTGTGCCCATATGGTGGCAGTGTTTTGTTTGCATTTGACAGGATCGTAGCGCAGCTTCCTAAACAGCTACGTCACCCTAATTTAGCTCAGTCGCACGCGCCGCCTCTCTGTTGAGGGCTGGGAAATATAGAGAGCGAGAGAGGGAGAGATTGAGACATATAGGCAGAGCGAGCGATAGAGAGAGATAGCAAAGCAATGCATTACCCATTGGTTAACCCAGGCTGCCGATGAGTGTCTCTTGTCTTTGGTCTGTTTATATTTTTATAGATACGTTAATGACGATGTTATTGTTCAACTATGAAAACATTTCACTCAAAGAGCCACTAAAAACAATCAAAATTGTATAAACAAACAATGGCGCTGACGCTGTCGTCATATTGTTCCATTTATAGCTGTGTGCGGTTACCCTTTAACAACTCATTGTAGTTCAGACTTGAGATTACAGTTTCAAATATTAAAATTAACACCTCCCAATTATTTATCAATTTTTCAGAGCTGGCCGTTCGAGTTCCATCAACACTTGCAACATGGCCACAATCGAAATGGTAATTCCAACCCGACATTCAGCTCCACGCGCATGGATTGGCAGAGTTCACAGATGCAATCGTATTCAAAGACACCACGCAATGAGCCTCAGATGGCAGCTGATTCTAACTATGGTCAGCTTCACGATGGACATTGGTATCCCACGGAAATGGGTAGTTTGCAATTGGACCAGGCGCGCGGTATCAATGGCTGCTGTGCCTATGAATCTTCTGGTTTGGGACAACATCAACGTGGCATTACAATATCCAGCAGTCAGGCGAATAGCCTTTAGACTGACATAGGAGGCATTTACATTGATATTTGTTCTAACCGAAAATCGTATTAAAACCCGTGATTTTATTCTATTCTCTGTATGTATGTATGTTATGTAATTCACTAAGCCAAAGATTAGAATTATGTTCTAAGTTGTACAAATGTAGCTAATAAAATTTAAACAAAAGTAACAGAAAACTTAATTTACATTCAAATTTGTTAACTATCTGGCAACGCTGTTTGCACTGTCTATCAAGCTGCAGCCCTGGCAGACAGCTGATTGCAAACAAGCAAAAAACCCAACACAATAACAGTAACGGATTTATCAACAATAGATTAAAGGTATCCGTTCATCTGGCGCAACAACAAAAAGTTGATTAATGACAATTATCGTTAATAATCTTTCGCAGAAGTGGAAGCTAAAAATGACTACATACTTTCTGATTTCTCAAAGTGCACACGGTTAAAGTTCACTGAGACTAGTAGATAAGATTCGCTCGAACATCCGTATGCATAAACTGCTTTGAAAGGCTATACACATTGAGGTTGGTTCCACAATATATTTAGTTAGTACTCGCTCGTCGTGGAAGACAAACGTGAAAGTTTTCTTTGTGTGTAGCTACCAGAGAAAATTATTAAGAAAAAACTTGATTTGAACTCGTTTTTGTTGTGGTTGTTGTTGTCGCATATCAAGAAAATGCCTGAATTGGAAGTCAATCCAGATTTGCAAAAGGAGCGTAACACAGCAACCTTTGAACCGAAAGAGTTTTCAATTTTTTGGGCTGGTGGCGAGGAGAAATACAAAGAGAAGAAAGCCTTGGGTAAGTCGACTCGCGTTTATGTGTACTCAACATTTACGCTGTACGATTAACTGGTTTTTTCATAAGCTTGACTTAAAGAGCGAGGCTCTAGCGTACCCAAAGCCATTTCGCAATTAAGCTGCTGCAGTAGCATGACAAAGCAAATACTATGGGAGCTAACGACAATATGTTAAATACGCAATAAAGTTGTTGCATGATATTTGACTTTTGAACTTCGCTAATTGATGATCTATTTTTCTTGGCAACTTTTCTGGCAACCCTTGACCGGCCCTCTTGGCGTCTTTGTTGTGATCTGTATCTTCTCTTTTTTGTTCAATCAAAATTAATCAGCCGCAGTATTTAACCCCAACGATTTATGCAAATTTTACACGCAATAATCGTTACCTCATGTTAAATACAACAAAAAATTAGCGAGGTGAGCTGGACAATGTACACAAAGTCATTGAACTTTGCTCGAAGCTCAGCATCCAAAATTAAATTGTTTCCATATCATTATCGGCGAATTGTAGACTTTGAATGAACTTTTAAAGTACCATATATCAAATAACTGAACAGTAGTTAAGAATGTTATACGTCGTTGGTGTTTGTTCTAATGATAAGCTTTATCTAAGTAGTCTGATTTGGATTATTCGCTTGTAGCCATTAATAGAAAATCAGTAGGTCGCTTTATGGGTGATGGAATGAATGGTAGATAAGCTAACAAAATATTTATGAGTTAATTTTATCGACCTTCACGTACTATCGATTGCAGAGAAACTGTTTCTTGACGATCCTGCTTTGAAAGATGATCTGCCTACATCATATATGTCCCACAAGGAGCTCTATGAGGACAGCTTACGCAAGGCCTGTCTTATTGGCGAGAAGATACGCCAGCTGCGTGCTGATGGCGAGGATGGCGTAGATACATATACGTAAGTATTGAAATATTTATATTTGAAGAGCATTGATTTCATATATCTCATATCTATTTCATATCTATTTGAATAGTGCTGTGCTTGGCGGTTCATTGGGCGCTGCCTTGTTGAAGGAGGGCAATCCCATGTCCCTTCACTACGTCATGTTTGTGCCCACAATTATGGGTCAGGTGAGGATTAACTTTGTATTAATTATGAGGTGACTTAATCCTGAATTAATTGTTTCAGGGCACCATGGAACAGCAAGTAGAGTGGTTGCCCAAGGCGTGGGATTGTGAAATAATTGGAACCTATGCCCAAACAGAACTGGGACACGGCACCTTTCTGCGTGGATTGGAAACGCGTGCTGATTACGATGCCAGCACACAAGAGTTTGTGATCAATACGCCGACGATGACTGCCTACAAATGGTGGCCTGGTGGTTGTAAGTATCTAACAGATAAATAAACGATATCAAATGACTTCAACGTGAACATTCATAGTGGGTCACACGGCGAACTATGCTGTTGTCGTCGCACAGCTGTACACCAAAGGCGAGTTTCGTGGTCTGGCTCCTTTTATTGTGCAACTAAGAGACATGGATACTCATCGGCCCATGCCAGGAATTGATATTGGCGACATCGGCACAAAGCTGAGCATGAAGGGTGTCAACAATGGCTATCTGGGTTTGAAGAATGTGCGTGTTCCGCTGAATCATATGCTAATGAAGAACCAACAGGTGCTGCCCGATGGCACCTACGTGGCGCCCAAGAATAGTGTCCTCACCTATGGTACCATGATGTTTGTACGTTGTGTACTTATCAGAGACACTGCTCATAGCTTGTCTAAGGCGTCAACCATTGCGACACGTTATTCGGCAGTTCGACGACAAAGTCCCATTGATCCTAAGGAGCCAGAACCTCAGATTATGGACCATACAACACAGCAGCTGAAGGTATTCCCTCAGATATCTAAAGCCATTGTGTTTAAGATAGCGGGCGATGCTATTTGGAACATGTACAATGTGCTGTCCGGCGAAATTGAGCATGGCAACTTGAATCGCCTGCCAGAGATGCATGCTCTATCCTGTTGTTTGAAGGCCATTTGCAGCGCGGATGCATCAGCTGGTGTAGAGATATGTCGTCTCTCTTGCGGCGGTCATGGCTTTATGGATTGCTCAAATTTTCCTGCTATCTATGGCATGACCACAGCTGTGTGTACATACGAGGGCGAGAACACGGTAATGCTGCTTCAGACGGCACGATATCTGGTCAAGGTCTATGGTCAGGCCCTGGCCGGTGAACAACTGGTACCCACTGTTGCCTATATTAACGAGGCTATCAAGCTAAAAAAGTTTGTTAATTTCGATTGCTCGTTAGACTCAATTGTGAAGGCATTCCAATTCGTGGCGGCTAAGTAAGAACCTTTTTATATATGTAAATTTATATCGTATTTAATCAAAAAATTATATACAGCAAAACACGCATCGCCTATGAGCAGATCGAGCAGCGTCGCCGGCAAGGCAACAGCACGGAGGTGGCCGCCAACCTCAGCGGCACTTTCTTGACAAGCGCCGCAGACGTAAGCAGGAATAATAATCAGAATAAATTTTCTTTATACATTAATTGTATCTCGACTTTTAGCTGCACGGACGCGCATTCTTGGCCCAAACCGCGTACACAGAGCTAATGGCTATATCGAAACGAGTCTCGCCAGCACTTGCCGACGTGCTAAAGGTTGTGCTTGAGCTGTACCTAGTCGATGCATGTCTTAATCGTCTTGGAGACTTTTTACGGGTAAGTGACACTATCTTATCTAGTTAAGATATGTGATAAAGTGTTATTATTAACCACCGAAAATTATAGTTTATTGAGTTGACTGCTGAGGATGTTACCAAGTTGGAAGTGCGTTTGGAGAGCTGCCTGAAGCGTTTGCGCCCCAATGCTGTTGCTTTGGTCGACAGCTTTGATTTGCACGATCGCGTGTTGGATTCGGCATTGGGCGCATATGATGGCAAAGTGTATGATCACATCTTCGAATCGGTTAAGAAAAATCCGCTCAACAAGGAGCCGGTAAACGAATCGTTCCACAAATACTTGAAGCCCTTCATGAAGGCGAATCTGTAAGATTATGTTATGTATATATTTTTTCCTAGGGAGTATGTTGTTATTTTTCTATACTTGTTATGTCGTCGTATTTGCACATATTATTAAACCTTATTAGTAAATTTAATACTGTGTTTGATTAGTGTGATTGGACTCCTTATAGTTCATTCCGTCCCAAACTTTGTATAGTTCAAGTATAAGGTATTTTATGTGAAGTCAAAGTTTTGTTTTTTAATAGAGCTTACACTAAACGCTTTATTAAAGATTTTAATTATAGTTTGTTAGATAGAGAGTGTGACTGTAACACTTTTCCTTAATTAGCAGCTGTTGATGCCGGCTAATTTTGATCTATTTATCGAATGCCGAACAGAGCACAGCCTTAAAGCCTTCCCCAATGTCGCTTATGAAGCACCAGCTGGATTCTTGGAGTTGCGTTGTGCATAAAGACGCCGCAACAAGCGATTGCCACAGAGGAATGTAAATACTGCGATTGGTATGAGCAGGCGCAGTGTTTGGAACATGTTCAGTTGCAGCCAAAAAACGAAGAAGAGCGCCAAGATGCCCCCAAAGCCCAAATGGAAGCCAATTGTGCTGGGTGACAGCGTAAAGTTAGAAACATTGATGCCCAATTTTGCCCAGAAGACAAAGAGCAGCACAAGGGGCGTTATACAGAGGCCAGTGAAGATATCCGACACAATGCGGGGCGGACGCTTATCGGGCACGCGGAATTGATGCACAATCTCTGGCAAAGGCCCGTTCTGATGTGTGGGCTTGACATCTGAAAGTGTATTTAATTTAATGATAATAAACTAACTATAGAATAACAGCTACACTTACCTCTGTCTGGCTGATTGAATTTCAGCTGAACATCAGCCAATAGCCAATCGAAGGAGTTGGACAACGAAGCATCACCGATAGTCAGATAAATGTTATACAAGCCATTTTGATAATTGAAATTCTTGCCCTGGTTGCCCACATCCATATCAAATTTGTAAGCTTTGCTGCTATCCTGTTCAGCTACGAATATGATCTCTTTATCCGTTTCCCGGTCATGGAGACGCACAAATGCCTGATGCACAGCAATTGGTTTGCTGGTGGCCTCATCAACCAGCAGCGCTTTTAGTAGCAGCTTCTGTGTGCTGTCCGCTGTGAGAGTGTCCTTTAGCTTACTTGGATAGCTGACGCTTTGCTTGCGCGTGGCTGCACTGGCATCTGATTCGGCAATGCCCACCTCTAGAGTTTGTACCTTGACACGTCCGAGTACCTTGAATTGCAGTTTTTGTTTGTAAACACCATCGCCGTTCAACTCTGCCTGGTAGATGCCGCGACCTGGCTTCAGGCTGCTCAAATCAGCAGCATAGGTGGTTTTGTCTGAAGACTTCGATACTAACTGAATCTTTTCTGCCAATACAGAGCTATCTTTCTTCACACTAATCTTGGCACTGAGGCTGGCCACGGCTGGGGAAAGGGGTTTGCCAAGTAAATCAACAATAGCTACGTTAAGAGTCGGCGACTGGGCTTCAAGCTGTCCATTTCCAATAAGCTGTACGCAGATGGGTGATATTTTATCCGCACTACTGATTGTTTTTAACGCCTCAATTAGCACATGGGCTCCTTTTGCGGTTTGCACCGAGCGACGGCTCAGTAAATAGTTGGCAAATTTAACAGCTTGTTCGGCTGTAACAGGTGCTGGCTTCTCAAAAGTCTTCGACACGCCAAAAACGCCGTTTAGTATCAAGGCTGTGATGCTTAGTCCACCCTCGAATTGCAGCAGTCGGCCATCAACTTCGTCAGCTTGAACAATGGCGTCCTCGATGCGATTGGTGATGAAACTGGCACTGGGGCCTAGTTGGATAGCCACATTAAATGCATAGCCCAGACCGCTGAGTGTATCATCCTTCTTCAGCACCTCCTGCAAACGTTTTACAATTTTCGCCTGAGCTGCCTCGCTAACCTGAACGCCCAGTGCTTTATGCGTAGCTAAACGGTAGTAAATCTCCTGTGTAGTTGCCAGTTCCGAATCCAGCGAGCTGTATACCTTAGACAGCACTGATTCAGCGAGCTTTGTTGTGCAGCGCAGATTTTTGTTGGCACCAATTAGGTAGTAGTCTTTTTCAAAGTTCTGCAAGTGTGCCAAAGGGTAAAATAAACAAAACTCATCTGTATTTATATATACTTACATTTAGTTTGGATTCTGCATGCAGCGCTACAATCTTTTGGCACAGCGTTTCCTTTGTCGCAGCATCGGTTGTCTCAATGTTAAGACTGGCAAAGAAAATGGCTTGCAGATCGTTGGAACTTAGGCCATCAACAAAGACTTTTTGCAGGCGGGTGAGATCCTTTGGGCCTAAATGGCTATCGACGGTGCGCGCACTCCAAGTCGTTGCAGCGGCGCATAGTACGCATAGGAGTGTAAAAGCTGTCGTAACAAATGCAAAAATTATTATAATACTGTTGAAAAATGTGTTGGCCAAGTTGTAAAAACGCAGTCAACGTCGACGCCGGCAAGTGTGACAGAGAACGAGACAGCGACAGCGCCTATGCCGGCGTTTATACCGCTTACACACGAGGGGGACTATTGACTTTGACATTAATTTATAATGTTAAATGATGGCTTACCTATTTTAAGCATTGTCCTATATTGTGTAGCGTTGTAAAACGCGCCTTATATGCTATAGGATAATAAATAAAAAACGAGTAAATAGCCCTGCACCGCCTGTTTCAGCTTCGATATTTTTTACAGACACGTCAGCGACAGTGTTGCCTATTAACTGTGTACTCTAGAGATGGCAGCTGTAATATGTAAAAAAAAACAGTGTGTACACACTTAAACGAAATATCGACAAAGTAATCGTTCGACTAACGTAATGAGAATGTTATTCAATGTATAACGTTAGTTTGAATTCAATTTAATTATGATTTATGCATTAAATACAAGTATACATTAAATCAAATCGCTTATCGGTGAATTGATAATTATAATTAAATGTAAATGAATTTTTAAGTTAAATTTAATTTAATTTCAGCTGTTGCTATAGTAATGTATAATTTGATAACATTAAAACTGTATTAAAGTCCAAACTTCTCTGTACATTCCGCCAATGGCCTGGTTCTGGAATACTTAACTTTAAAGTTTTTTGAAACATCGCCTTCATGATTCCAAACAGTTATTGCCGTTGTACAATAAAGGGGATACTTGTTAATACGCGATTCCAAACGCTCCTCGTTCTCCTGCGGCTTATCTTTGCAGAACTGCTCAAAATATTCAGTATGATCAGGTCCCAAATCAGGTTTAATTAAATTCTGACGATTGTATTCATCAAATAATTCTTTCCACAGAAATTGCTTCAAGCGATTTGCTCGTGTAACTGTAATAATACAAATGAAACTTACTTAAATTGAACTTTTATCGATATTTTAAGCTGTTTTACTAAGCGTCTTGTTTCTGTAAGGTACACCAAAACTATCCTGCGTTTCGGTATGCTCTGCACTACAGGGTCCCTTGCCCTTGATGCGAAAGTTTTCGTTCTGATTCATTCTGTGTGTTTTAAAACTAACGAAAATAATTTATTTATTTATTGGATTTGTGATGCGAGCGATGAATAATGCTTGACTGAATGATTTGACAGAGAAAACACATTCAAAGCTTGGCAACGAGGCAGCTAGGCAACCGACTGCTCTGACTGTTGAGGCGGCTCGCCTTCCTCCTCGACGATGAGCGTCACATCCTTGGGACGTAGTATACAGTAGTAGACGACAATGGTGGCCAGGAACAGAATGCCGCTGTAGACAATCCATTCCCAGATGAAGCCAAACCACCAGGATTCGAATTGTTCGTTGCCATACCAAATGGCCGACATGGTTATATTCTCCGCCAACACGAGCACCAAATAACAGACATACCAACGCCGTATGCTCTTAAAGCAAACTCGAAGCTCAATCAGCACGAAAATGTAAATGTAGGCAAGCAGCAAATAGAACAGACAACGACTCCAGCTGACATGGCAGCGCGTCTCCAACGCCAAGGCAGCCAGCATCAAGGCATAGTGCACGCCCACCACAATGAAGAAGGCGCGTGGATAGAAGACACAGAAGGTGGCCAATGACAGCATGCGCATTATGATGAAGGCTATCCAGCCAAAGAAGGCAACTGTACGGCCAGCAAAGTCATCCTGCTGTATGCCATTCACAATCTTTGTGGGTCGTGGAAAGTAGAAGTCGACCACATCCTTCGGTGTCAAAGGCGTGCCCTTTGGAGTCTGTGCCAGGACCAAGGGAGTACGTTCATCGGAGTTGGGCTCCTCATCCACACGTCCAATGAGCAGTTTGGGTGGCCGTGGCACATGCTCCTTAATATAGAGTTGTGCATTCACAAGCAGCATATCCTTGAACGTCTCTAGCTGTGAAAGAGGACGTGTAACACGTCTACTCCTTCTGTATTCCGTATCTGATGCAGTGCGTCGCAGATCTGGCGCTGCAGGCGGATCATTCTCTGTGGGCAGCCGCAACATGGGCAGTGCTGGTGGTGCTGTGGCAGGTGGTGGCGGAGGAGCTGGCGTTTCTGGCACTGTGTCCAGCACCTCAATGCTATCCAAATGCTGAAGCTCGTTGCGTTGTAAATGTAATTTGGGTCGAGCTTGATAAATCTTGTCATCGTCCGTGACATTGCCCGGCACAGTACTTGTGGGCTGGTGTAGCATAGCTATTACCTCCAGCTTCTCCACAGCATCGTTGTCCACCTCGTCATGTCCGTTTACATGCAGCTCATGGCTGCCAATTGCGGACGTCTCAATCTGGCTGGCTGATTCCTGTCTGGCATGGAAGTTCGCCATAATCTTCTCCGATTGAGGAAAACTTGTGGCCAGTGAGCGTTCCGACTCACGTTTTCTGCGCTCCACCTCTCCGCATAGCCGTTCATTCTGCTCCAGCCGGCAGCGTTGGGCCTCCACTTGCTGCGCTGTTGCCCAGGGATAATTACGACCCACACGCCGCTGGCTCTCAATTCGATGATAACTAGTGGTAATCCCAGCCAGATCTATGGCCGCAAATACCAGGCACATGCTCTGCAAGGCGGCTGCAAATAAGGCAGTTCGTACAACCAAGTGCTGATTGAACACAAATCTCTAGACTCACATGTCTCATAGTTACGAAAGATGTCCTGGACGAGCATGTGGTACATCTGCAATATAATCTGTGGCGCCGCCTGTGCATATGCTTGGATGAGCAGATATAACTCAATGTTGGATGTTTGTGTTGCCTTGGCTAAGCACTTCATGCGTTCCACGTCGTCATCCTCGTGGTAGAGCGCCTCAACAGACCAAAACAAGCGCATGGTGAATCTAAAGTGTGTTTTATGTAGCTCAAAAAATACTCAAGCATTGAACGTGTGACTCACCTGTAGAGCACGGCCAATGGGAAAAAGAGCAGCTGCAGCAAGCCCAGGCTGCAGCCCATACATTTACTACGATTGGCACTCACGCTGCTGCGTTGCTCCCTGGAGCTGAGCACTAGGAGATAGGTGAGCAGTGGTGGCAACAGCACCAGTACCAAGGTGCCTGCACCATAGCCCGGCTCGTGCTTACGAAAAAGCTGATAGCTCAAGGCCAAGTCTGTTGAAGTCTGCAGCATGTACACTAAGAGCGCCAGGCAGGTGGGTATTATGTAGGAGACGTAGATGCGAGTGCGACTGCGTATCGCATAGCCCAGTATGTGAGCAGGCGGACTGGCAGCATGGGCCAACTCCGCGCTCATGTTTCGAATTAAAAATAGTCCTGTATCCTGTGTGATTTCCCTTTAAGTTTCTACTGCGTTTTACATGTTTCAAATGCGAAATTTCAGACGATACTACGGCTGCTATGAGTAAGCATCGCTCTTTGGGCGCTCTTATCAAATGGGTGTGTGCGTATGTGTGCTTAGAGTGTCGATTAGATAAAAACTACTTGAATGAGTCTCGTGTAGAGAGCGCCAAGGTTTGTTTATGTTTGCCAGCTCTAACACTTGCTGAAAGTGTGCAGGGAGCAGAACGAAGAGCAGCGCTGAGGCAAGTTAATGCAGGTTAAGTATTTTTGCTCTTGATAGTCTTTTAGCTAATAGAATATCTATGCCTTGTGCATAGGAAAGAGAGAAGTTGAATTTTAGGCTATAGCCTAGCTAAACTTCAAGCTTCTTAGGAGCATCATCACCACAGTTGATCATCATGATAGAAACACTTACTGAGTACCAATTTGAATAACTTAAAGTTAGCCTGAATATAGTCAGCTCCGATAGCATATATAATAAGAGTTATATCAACCCATTTAAATACTTTAAAAATATATATCGTTCTCAATTAATATATATAAGTAAATTCTTTATTTAATTGCGATTTCTTGATGAACTTGCCTAAGAATCATACCAGGTCTTCTTCATCCAGTTGGAAGGCTTGCATGGCTCATCGAGCACAACAAAGGAGTCCTGTTGATTCTCTGTATTCTGCTTGGAACGGCGACAGCCGACAGCATACTTGGGATTGCCCTCAATGATGGAGGATTTGTCACGGCATTTGGCCGCATTCTGCAGCACTGAACCGCGTCGTCCATATCGAGCTGGTTTCTTAGCTCCACCAGTGGCCACATCCTCGAAGCTGGGCGCCACTGGCAGCGATGGCGGCGGAGCCTCCTTTAGTTGCCGCTGTCGCGCTGGGCGTCGCTTGGTCTGCAGCTGTGCAGCATCCAGCGAAGAGTCCGAGCTCTTGCGCTGGTTACCAGGCGGAGCGATAAGCTCACGTGAACGCTCCCGTTCCCGCAGCTGGTAATTGTATTGGGCGCGTCGATACTCGGGCGTGGCAGTTAGCTCATCGGCTGTCAGCGGCTGCTCTCGATCCAAGCGTGGACTTGTGCTGTTGGCGGTGGCGGTGGTGGTGCTGGTAGTGTTGGTGGCGTTCTGGTTGCTGTTGCTGGTGGGCAATCGAAATGAGGAGACTGGCTTGCGCACCACTGGCCGAGATCGTGGGAAGTCCAAATAGTTGTTGCGATACTCTGGATTGAATTCGATCTTGCCACGCAGTCGCAGGTACGGCTCACGCACCTTGCCACGCTCCGGCATCTCGGTGATGTGCGGATCACGGAAGCTCTCATAATACTCGGGCACCTCCTTGGTGAATTCGCCGCGCGGCCGCAAATGATCGTCCGTCTTCAAGGACTTCTCTTTGGCCATGTGCTTGGGTGGGACATTAAACTTATCGCGATACTCCGGCAAATCGCTGCCGCTCGCTGCCGGCAGCTGCTGCTGTTGCTCGGCGCCAGAGACACGCAGATTGTCGTGCTTCTTGATGGGCGCGCTCTTCGAGTAGTTGGCATACATCTTGAAGCTGTCCTGGTACTCGGGCACAGCATTAAACTCGCCCTGCATCTTAATGCTGCTTATCTGTGGTATCGAATGCGCCTTCTCGATGGGAAACTGCTCTACGAACTGTCGCTTATACTCGGATGGCGTTGGCTCGTATTGTGTGCCCTGTGCCCGCATCTGCAGATGGCAGCGATTCTGCTCCTGGGCGGCTACATCTCGCTTAAACTTGTCGCTGGCCAAACGATTTGTTGGCTGCTCTTTGTCATCGCGAAACATTTGCCGCGGCAATATTTCGGCTCCACTGTCCACCATGGGATAGGTCAGATACGATGAGCTCTTCATTACCTCCGGCTCATTCGTGCCACCCAGCTGCAAGTTCTCCGGATTACGCACGGGAAACGTGCGCGAACTGTTAGAGAAGTGGTCAGATATTATACAACTATGTTTATAGATATGTGGCTATTGCTATCGCTTACAACTTCAGATCCTCGGGCGTATACCAGTGATATTTGTCCTGATGCTCCGACAGCAACTGCATCAAGCCCTCCAGACGCAGCGATGTGGCACGCCTAAGCAGTGTTCGTGGCAGCGCGTGGGCGTGGCCCTGGCAACAATAGTGCTTACGGTACTCGGACTTTAAGGAGCCAAAGGACAACACTGGCTCCTCGCTATCATACAGACAGAAGTTGCTGTGCGTGTGCTGAGGTATGGGCTGACGGCGTCGGAAGAACTTGAGATCATCAACGGCGAGATGCTCGTGCAGATGCTTGATTGTGAAGCGATCGCTGTGCTTCTGGCTGGCTACTAGGTCTGGCTCCGAGAACGAACGACTCCAACTGAATTCCGCCTCGGCACTGCGGACAGAATAGATTGTTAGCCAGAAATTGGCCTGGCAAAACCAACTTTTCGATGGGGGGCCCTAGGGGCCTTGGCTACGTTTGGCGTTGGCGTTGGCGTTGCCATTGGAACCAAATAACAGGGAATCGAAACTAACTCGCTCAGAATGGCAACAAAAGCACAAATATGTGTAAGCTACTGGTAAATTGCGAAAGACTGGCATGCTCAACTAAGGCATACCCTGAGCTGTTGAGTAAGCGAGACAAGGATTTGGATACCATGTATATATAAGGGCTTCTTGGGCTATTTTAGCTGCTGAGGATTATGATTAATTTTATAAGATTAATAATAATGACTAACGATCAAACTGTGATACTAATACTAATAATAATGGTAATACTAATTGAAGGATTAATGAAAACAACATTGAGAAGTATAATTAAAATGCTAATCATTATGATAGCGATGATGATGTTTAGAATAATTATAAAGACCTACACAACGTGCCAGTTCGCCCTTGGTACGAAGTGCTTTAATCAAATATTCATTCAATATTCATGGTTTTATGGCATATGATTCAGTTCTGCAACCGATATGCACCATCGAGCAACCTAGTAATAGAGTAATTCCATTATAAAGACGAACCCATGCATAGTCGCTGTGATAGTATACCTTAGTCCAAATGGTGCCTTATGAATAATACCAATGCGCCTAAGTCTCTAGCTAGGAGCTCCTCTGAAGGAATTTTTTCATAGCGTGCCAGCACGCACACAACAAACACACACAAGCACCTGGGCACACCTGCTGGCATGTGTTGCTAGGCACACACACAGACACACATGCAACAGACAAACAGACAATAAACCAAATTGCAACAAATTGGAAAATTGTCTGTTGGAATATTTACAAGAATTGGAAGCAGGAGGATTTGCTGCTGCTGCTGCTGCTGCTGCTGCTACTCAAAATCAATAGCTGTCAATTGCGTAGAGTGCAGTGCCAACCCACCTGTCCCTCTAGCAATGCGGAAATAGGTTTTGCCAAGGACTCATTAGAATTGGCCATTAAAAGTGGATAATTGCAGCTCTCCTAATATACCTATGTAGTCCCCCATCTGCTGACCGTTGCCTCGCATGCAAAGGGAAATATGCACACCTGTTGCACTTGCGCTGCTCCAGTTGCTGTTGTTGTACTTGCTCTCATTTATGGCTGGCACATTTGCATATTTAATGGTCGCCGGATTTGCATATATGCATTTGCAGCTATTTTTTGAGTTTCCGATGTGTAAAACCATCAATCTTAAGCTGGAACGCTGTGCGCAAATGCCAAAAGTGTCAGTCAGCTGGGCGAGGGGACTTGGCAAACCAAGCGAATGAGTTTAGTATGAGATCATGGAATCTTATTGAAATATATGGGAGGTGCAAGTATTAAGAGGAGCTAGAGACTGAGCGAAAGAGAGAGAGGTAGAGACAGAGAGAGAGAGAGAGAGAGAGAGAGAGCAAAGCTTAAGTGTGATCTTTAAGGTAAGGAATATTTTCCACTTCATTCCATACACAGATATGCTTTAGCCAAATGCACATTTTATGTATCGTAGAATTACAGATTATTAAAGACATATATAAGATATAAGCAGTCAGTGCAAGAGTATAAACTCAGCTGTGAGACAACAAAAGCTATGGGTGCCTTGGTTAAATATTCTAAACAAAACACCTTGCAGCTGCCTGTTTTTCTATATGTCTGAATCTATATCCTTTGATTCAAATTTAATGATATTTATCGATTTCTTATGTCATCATATATTATTTATATCAACAATTAAACAAACCTATATTAAGTATCACTAACTTTCACTAAGACAATATCAGAGTAATGCACCTGCCTGCAACCCACGCTCAGCTGGTCAGCTGGTCAAAGACTTTCTGCCCACTTCACTTAAAATACAGTCGCATGCTAGCTAAAGCCAAACTTAGCGCATTATGATTTGTAATCAAAAAATCGTGCTGTCAGGTGCTCAGCGTCAACTTAGTATCAGTTTTGCCAAAAATAAAAACTTCTGCTGTCAAGTGCAGCTGTAATTGCATGCGTGACTTGTGCTGCTGGCTCGGAACGGAAACGGAAACAGACACAAGCCCAAACGCGAGCAACTGCAGCTGCCAGCTGCTAGCTGCAGAGTGTAAAAGGCGCCCAAATCATGTCGAGCCCAAACTTTTAATAGCAACAGAGTGCCAAAAGGCTGACCCAATTTGCCGCCCACCTCAAGGTAATAAATGAAAGGCAAAGCAGGCAAAATGTGCTAAAAGAACTAGCTGTGAATGGCTTACGGCTTTTAAGGATTGACCATTTTATAGTATAGTGTATTCTACTACCCAGAGAAGTTCTATTTTCTGTCCAATTCATCTTTAGATGAAACCCAATGAACTGTAGTTCACTAGACCCAATTCTTCATGACATAAGTTCCAACTCAATGTGTTCTTCATGTCGTCCGCATTCTCATTATTGGTACTCTTCAGGCGGGTCAGCAAGGGCATTGGAAAGTCGACTTGTTCGGATTAACATTTCCTCTTTGTTTTGTTTTCTTTTCAATTTAGTTTTTGTAACTAGTCCAGTGCTCTAATCTTGACAATGCCAAATGACCTTTGAAGGCTCTTGCTATTTTTACTTCTGTCGCCGCAGGCGTAACGCAAACCCATTTAAATATGCTAATCAATTGGCAATTACAGCACTAAGAACAATACCAATAGCAAAAACCATGCATACTCACACACACACACACAGAGAAGTTCACACAATGCTCTGCACATAATTATATAGATTTATGGGAGGCGTTTAAGTAACATTTGCATGTCACGCCAAGGGGCGTATACGTAATGCAGGAGACATGAATGCGCCATTATGTTAACATGAATGCATTGGCCAAGGCCATGGACTTGCGGACTCACACTTATGGGATCTACCTCTCTATATACATATTTAAAGAGCGTCTTGTTTATATTTACCCATCGCTGGTTTTCCAGTCCATTTTTGTTGTTTTACTTTTCAGTTTTCACTTTTAACACTTGGCACACGGCAGCACTTGAAATTGGCAATGTCTGGGGGTAAACATGACGGGGCTTAAAGCTCGATGGCCACTGTCCATGTCCGAGTGCTAGTAGGAGAGGAAGACGTGGCTACGCGAATAACTAAATGCCACGCGCTGTACAAGCGCTAGAAACAACTTGACCACACGGATCGTAAATCCCAACTGAGCCAATGTACAACTTCACACGCCAAAAACTTTCAATGTGAAGCACGAGTCCTGCTAGCTGGGTGCTGAGTGCTGAATGTATTAGTGTGAATGTGCGTGTTGTGTGTGTGTTTATGGGTGTGTGTCCCTGACTGCGCGCGAATCGCGTTGTAGGTGTCAGTCAGTCAAGAGGCAAAGAACATTTCATGGCATAATGCAATTGATTGGTTTGCAGTTGCTAGCTGTCAGCTTTTCGTATGTGTCCTGCATGCATCCGTAATGAAGTCGCTGCTGTCCCAAACCGAACGCTCCACAACACTATGCAACGCAATTTTCAATCTGGATAAATTATTTCCGCACAGCGAACACGCAATACAACAAAAGCAACAGCTCCTTGACTGGCTGCTTTCAATTGTCATGAACTGGGCGCCATTTCCGGCGCCCATCTGGGTCAAGTGCAAAACAATTGGCTGACGGATATGTCGTCTATTTTAGGTAAATGTGGTTTTAAGCACAGTGTTAGTTGCTTTTATCAAATCAATGTTAACAATGCTTTGAAGAGCTTAACTAATTGCTATTTGGTTTCTTTGATACGCCAGCAGGTTTTAGTGTCAGATCTTTGAGAGTCCCTCCCAACGATCCGGCACCGTATTGAAATAACGATCCATAGCATCGACAAAGCGTTGCTTATACGGTTGCGGTGCTACAATTGTCGGCTTGGCCATGCCGCCGCCCAGCCATCCGGTTTGCTTGATTATTGACTCCAGTTTCTTATCCAGCGTAAACGTGCGTATATAATCTAAGCGAGAGTTAACGTTATATAAGCTCGAACAAAGTGTGAATCTACACAGATAGTCGCACCTATTATGCCCAGTACTAGCACGTTTCGTTTGTTGTCCAATCCCACCAGCAAGGAGTAGTCCATGATCTCATTGCGCTCCAAAAACGAGGCATCACGCTGTAAGGCATCCCGCAACACAGCTTTACTGTGTGACAGCACGTACAATGGCTTTGACCAGGACACTGCAAGGCAATTCATTTATTAAATATCAATTCTCATAATGCTGACCCTGGCTGCACTTACTCTGCACTAGATTTTCATCGAGCAGCACAATTTCGCCGTTCATATTTGTGGGATCCACCAAGCGATTGCGCTCAGAGCCTTTCAAGTCGAACTTGTCGGATATATCGCAGCCATAGAACAGATTCTCCATAACCAGCAGAGTCTTCTCCACAAACGAGCTGCAAGAGCAGGAACTAATTAGTATTTAGTTGGAAATAGTTGGCATCACTTACTCCTTCTTTTTAATGCTAACTTTGAAGACGCCAAAGATCTTGGCCAGCAACGTGGGCTGCTGCTGCTGCTGCTGACACTTGGCTATATACTCAAAGTACTCGGGCGCAAAGTTGTCAAAGATAGTCATCTCCCTTTTGCCCATTTCCTTAAGTACAAATCGATCATCTGGAAGGGAGCGCGTAAGAGTATTTCCAAATATAAGATCTGGATGAGAGGTGCTTACCCAACGTTTTGCAGAAGCGTGAGCCTGATTTGCCGCCACGGGCCTCCCAATGCACGCTGCTGGAGAGGCTTCGTGCCAGAGCGATACGTGACTCCTCCTCGGCGTCTAACTGTTCCTTGAGCGGCACACCGGACACATCGCTGGGCTTGCGCACGATTTCGATATCGGAACCGTTGCGATTCTGTGAGATTCTTAGCTCTTCGCGCATTTTACTCTTCTCCAGCCGACGATAGAGCATTCTATCCAACTTGGGCGGACTCAAGCTTTTGGCGCGCATCGCATCGAACTCGCGCGCAAAGTATATCTTGCATTGGAATTGACTGTTGGGGCCAAAGGTGAGTGTGACGTGTGCGCTTGGTGGCTGCGGCTGTTGTTGCGTCTGCGGCTGTGCTTTCGCCTTGTTACGCTCCTCGGATTCAACACTTACAGCTGGCTCGTCGGCATCGCTGTCCAGTTGCTTATGCTTCGGCTGCGGGCTGGACTGGGCGTCGCCGCCGGATACCTCGCCAGCATTTAGACCTGTTAAAGAGCGCTGATACTCGGGAGAGGTCAGACTGTATGCAATCACCGAGCTAAGATCGTTTTCACGCACTACCACGGGTATGGAGCCCATGGGCAGGGTCAGATGCTCCTGGGCCGAAAACGGGGTCTGCAGCAGATTTGACTGGCTAGTTGGTGTTTGGCGTCGTGTGAGCAATCGTGACTTGATAGACTTCTTCATGTTCACTGTTGATGCGATCATTTGGTCCACGGTCAGTTTCTTATCCGTATCTGGATTTTCTTCGCCGGCATACTCAACTGCTGCTCCATCCACTTGCTGACTGCTTGCTTTGCTCTTCGCCAGCTCCTGGCTGGCAATGGCATCTGGGTGCTCTGGTCGCAACTCCTCGGTGCATATGGTACCAGCATCAACGTGATGCGGTTGCTTGGCGTGCTTCTGGGCTAGTTGTTCGATCTCATGCAGACGCGGACCCCACAGCTCAATGTTCTCGGCCAAGACGCGCTTGGCCATGATAAGGGCATCGGCTATATCATACGAATTGACCATATGTTCCGTCAAGAGCGTATGCACAATTTCTACCTTTTGCTTGAATGTGAACTGATCCTTAGTGAGTGTGGCCTTCAGTGTGGACACCAATGGCGAGTTCTCCTCCTCGGTGGCCAGATCGGCAATGCGCTCGTGTATGCGCGTGTATACCTCATGGCCACGTATCGAGAAGCTCTTGATCTCCTCCTGTACTTGGACGCCAATGAATGGCTTGGGCAGCTCCAATTGTAACGTCAGCGACGGCAATTCCGTTTCCCATACCTCGACAGGAGTGTACTGAAACTTGGCGCCAACGCCACGAAAACTGAAATGATGCACATAGTCCCGATGCAGTGAGTGCTCACAGGGACTGCTCTGCTCAGCAGCTCCACTGCCAGTGTCTGTGGGCGGACGTCGTTTGTATGCGTGGCCATGGAAGCGCAACTCCAGATACTTGGCCAGGGAAAGACGCTTGGCTGCATCCGAAAGCGGTACAGCTGGCGTCGTTGCATTACAGATGCTACACCACGAGGTGAAGTAGATGCGCTTCGGATCGGATCGCGTTAAATCATCGGTGAGATAGACATGGACACAGCCCAGCGAATGAACGTAGCGACGGACATGACCGAGCATAGGCAAATTGCACGACGGACACATTGAATTGAAGAGGCAGCAATATCGCTGCAGGAACTGCTCCAGCATGATGTCATGCTGGCCATAGAATTTCATATCTAACAGCATGGGCAGTTTACAGAAGGAGGAAACATCTTTCGGATTATTGTGAAAGCTGCAGAAGAGCACCGGCAAACGCTGATGATTCTGTGGATCGAGTGCATCCTTGTAGAGCTGCTCATCGGTGACCTTTTGCGGTCGCTGTATTACCTCGCTAATCTTCTTCTTTTTTTTTAACACTGAAAAGAAATAGACTATTAAAGAATACCCAGAGGAATTAAGCATATTTTCTATACTTACTTGACGCCTTGCCTTTGGGAAGGCGGCCACCAAAGGAGCGAAACTCAGCTAGAAGCGTCTGTATATCTCGACTGGTCACCGCCGTTGTGATCTTCATTTTGACAAAATCATGTGCCGGCAGCAGCTGCTGTTCATTCTCCTTGTTGCTTGGCTCGGCATTGGATTTGAGTGGATCCGTTTCGAGACTTTCGGGACGCTCCAGAGCGCCGGTTGATTTCGACCACTGCTTGGAGAAATACAGCTCGGCAGGGAAGAGTTTGCGTAGCTTACAGTTGCGGCCTTGCTCTGTCTCCAGATAGGGCAGCGGAAACGTCAAAAACGGGCTGACGGACAACACAGTGGAGCTGAGTGCATTGCGGAAGCGGTTGTCATATCGCATCTCTACCGCCAAAGCTGGCACATTGGCCGCAGGGCTGGATACTGGTTCGATCTGAGAGGATCGCAGGGGATCCGTAAAGTCAGCTACATTCTCACTGACCGCGGCCGTAACCTTCTCATCCGATTTGCGTTCAGTTAGTGGTCGCTTGATGGATGAGCGCAGCTGCGTCTCCCCCTCCGATTGCTGCTCTGCAGCGTTCTCTGTGTTGGGACTCGGCTCTTTGGAGTCGAATATAGATGGCTTTGGAGTCAGTGGCTGCGCAAACTCGTCCAGCAGAAAGGACATCTCCAGTCGCCAGTTGTAGCGCGCAAAAAGTAGCGCCGAAGCCACTTTCTTAACGCGCGTCAGTTCGGCATTGTTGCCACCGCGCAGCAGGCAGGTGTAGCCACGTGGACTGTTCAGATTTTCGAAGAACATAAGAGTCTTGCCGCCTGAATAGTTGCGTATGTAGAAGCCATTGCAATAGCCCAGCTTGGGCATTGTAATATTCGACTCAATTGAGCTGACTATGTCACACTGCAGCGTTCGCGCTAGACGCTCCATGACGGAGAGCTTGACGTCGAGCACCAAGGTTACACCGTAGGAGCGCAGAAAGTCTTGCGCGATGCCAGCCACATTCTTGTGCACCAGCACAACGTTCGGTTCAAACTTCATAATGCGGGCGCAGACGTTGCGTAAGTATTCCTTCTCTTGCAGCAGCACCGTTTCAATGGTCACAAACTTGCCCTCGATGCGTTCATAGACAATGGGGCACTGGAGGAGCAGGATGCGCGGGAATTCGACATGCGTGGCCATGTCCTTGTGGGCGACATTCTTGGAGAACGCAACGCCGTGTACAATTTGTGAATCTTTGCGCCTGCCGCCAGGCACCTTCTTAAAGTTGACATAGTTACGTATGTCCATGAGATCGTTGGTGCAATACTCCGGTTTGAAATGATTCGCAGCCGTCGAGCAAAGCGTTTGCAACACTTTTCCCCACTCGGCATCCAGTTGATGGGCGCGCAACAGCTGGGCCAATAGCTGCTCCTCATGTTCACAATAAGACTCTAGCAACTTTGTCGAAACCGCCGTAGAGCACATGTCATTCTCCAGTTCCAGATCGTGGGCAGACTGAAAGCTTAAGGAGACATCCATGGACTTCGGCGGCTGCGGCTCGGCGCTGATATCAAATTGCGGACTTATAGGATTGGAGCAGTCATTGCTTTTGTCTACAGCCACAGCTACCGCTGCACCTGCACGTGACAGCTCCGCAAATCTGTAGTGCAATGTTGCATCGAACTCCGTCTGCTCGGTATCGGGTACAATTGGCTCAAGGAAGCCAGCCGCCAGCATGGCATTCAGTATGGCCACAGCTTGCACCTCATTGGCCGACTTGTTGTTCGTATTCAGAAACTCTATCAGCAGCTGGCCACAGTTTTGAACTGGCAACTCACGTTGCATTTCTTCGTGCAAAGTGATCAGTGAGTTGGACTGTTGCAGTATGTATTTGCGATCATCCATGGACAGCATGGTATAGTTCGCCTGCGAACTAAAACGCTCCTCTTGGTAGCCCAGGGACGTCTTTCGGGACAGCTGTACGGGCTGCTTCTGTGTGGAGAGAGTGTTGGGCGCATTGTCCTGCACTTCGAGCTTGTTGCTGAGATGCTGCTGCAATGCCTGCATGTTCTCATCCATGTTCGAGCTGGAGGATTTAAGGGAGGTAAGCACAATTTTGGAACAGTAATTGCACACCTTCAAATCACCCTCGCAGCGTATAATACTGCCTGGCACAACTTGGTTGCAGCATTTGGAGCAGAAAATCTGCCCGCACAACCGACAATGATGCTTGCGACGAAATGTAGAGAATTTTTGTGCACAATCATAGCACTCCTTGGCCTTTGAATCGGGCATCCACAACTGCTGCAACTCCGTTTCCTTATAGTTGCGCAAGTCCTGTCAAAGAGAGGTTAGAGAAATTTCTGTTCTACATGCTTGCAGCTGCACTCACGTTGTTATTCTTTGAGGCAACAATATGGCTGATGTGCTTGAGTACGTTAGAGACGGTGCGAACCTGATTCGCTTCACCAGGTAGCTCGTCGATACGCTCGTTGGCTTCAGCTGTCTCATCGACTGTTGTTGTAGTGCTAGTGCTCTGTGTTTCGCTGCTTTTACGCAACTTCAGCGATGTTGGGGGTTGCGGACGAACTGCGTTCAAACTATTTGATGAACTGTGTTGTGTGCTATCGCTGTCCAAGTTGGCAGCGCTTCTCTCGACGTTCGCCGATTTGCGCTCATCATAGAACTTCGATTTGCCCACTTGAACGCTGCTGCTCGTACCGCTGGACATATCATTGACTGTATTATAGCTTTGATTATAAACATTTTGAATTTTGTTAACCACTCGACCAAATAGCGAATCTGGCTTATCCTCAAAATTACGCGCGAATTCGGTTAGTTTACTGGGTGAATGCAGATGTTGATGTATTGAATTGTTATTGTTGTTGCTATTGTTGTTGCTGTTACTGCTGTTGCTGTTGCTGTTGCTGTTGCTAGTATTGCTACTGCTACTCATGTTGCGGTGTTATAAATAAGACTTGTGGTATTAATAAAGTTGGGGACGTGCTACCACGCTGGCTGCTCGTCCTTGGTTAGATAGCGGTTATATTGAGTTGATCGATTAAGGCAGCGTCCGGTGCCAGCGAGCCAAGCGCCAGGTCTGTCCACTTTTGTTCCTGTTAACCAACGATTTATGAGACCGGAACATGTGGTATATCATTTTGCTTATTGCTCACCTGCTCGCTCAAGGTCAGATGTGAATCACCACCATCGGCTTCGGGATCGGGCAATTTCTCAATTGGTACTAATATCTGATCGTATGGCAGTGCTTCCATGCGCCATGCATTGTCCACAATGTCCAATAATAGATCATCAATCGGTGCCTGCGAAAATAAAGTAACGCCCCTCTTAGACTCGACGAAAAGTAAAAAGTAACTGCGATAAGCTGATAACTGCTGCTAATATTTACTCAGCCATGTTAATTACGTCATTGACGGCAGTCTGTGCCCCTAATACCTATTGTTTCTGGCCACTACTAAGTATGTATGTATATACTTTGGCAGATTTATCACAAAGCCACTTTCAGATAACGAAATAGCGCAACACATACGTGTGAAGTATTAATTATAAACAACAACACAATGATAGTTATAGTTGCTATAGCTCTATATATCGATGACTTATATGAAACTTACTTGACTATCCATCACTTAAGTAAATGTTTTTACGTGAATTATCCAGCTTTACTTAATCTTCACAGTTGTTTACTTTCTTACAGTGACAAAGCCTATCGAGAAAGCTGCCCTGTTACGATTGTTCGTAGCTTGATATCGATTGAATTAGCAGTGCTGCAAAATAATACCGCCAAATGGTCGAAAATTTAAAAATAGCGCTGCCAACTTAATAACTTCTGAGGTGCTTGTTGGCTTAGTGAATTGCGGGCTTTATCTGTTTACTTTTGAAATGTTTACATGTGACGAATGGTTTTTGCTTATTAAGTGGTTAAACAAATTACCCAATGGCTGCTGTGGTATAAATGTCAAAATTAAACTTTTTTTATTGTGAAACAAATGAGAATAGCAAACACATGCAACTAAAAAAGAAACTCAATTTGTGTTTATATTATGAGATTGCTTGTGCATTTATTATGAATAATTTCAAAATATATTGATTAAAACTATGTTTACCAAGTAAATGTAACTTCCAGAAAGAGTTAAGGTATAATATTTGTCCGTGAAGAAATTGCTTATAATTAAGTGCTCCAATAGAGATGGATGTTTATATGAGGATATATATAGTATAGCAGATGTATATAGTAGCTCGCTAATAAGAACTTATTATAAGAAAATAAATCAGCATTTGAGAGGACTTTTAACGTTATCCTTATATAGTATCCTTGCAAAGTCGAATTTCAGTGTGTTTCTTTGCTGAAAGGAAAGCTGAAATAGATATGAAAACAATTTTTTTAAATCTTATACACAATAATGTAAATGGAACTACTTATTCGACCTTATCCCGAATAAAATAATTTAAAAAAATATATAAATATTAACTCTGGTTCTTGTTGATTGTTCCATTGAATAACTGACTAGATGCAGCATAGCGCTATATAATGCGCTTTCGAACGTCAGCTATGCCGACATCTTGCCAATTCAACAACAGATGCGATAAACCGAGATATATATGTATGCATTTGAAACACAAATTTAAAAACTTGAAGCATTTGTTTTTGTAATTCCGCATGAACGAAACTTATTATTGGGTTTATCAATGAATTGCTTGTTTTTTGTCTTCTTTTTTTATTTTCTATTTTTTTTTGTTTATAGGCACTTAACAAGTTTTTGTTATTTTGTTTTATTTTGCTATATGTGTGTAGAGTAGAAGAACAAGAGGCAGAGACAATTGTAATCCGTCAACGATGAAGACTAATTGGCAACTGATTTGAAAGCCATGAGTCGAGCTTAGCACCACACCTCGGCTCGAGCAACGACGACGACAACGACGTCGACGACGGCACGGTTAGAAGTCCAAAAGCGACAATTGAAGAAGTTTCAATTTATGTGTGTGTGTGTGCTTGTGATGTGCAGCTCAACAAAAGTTAAAGAAGCAGAAATACAATAAAAATGTTGTCTAAAACGGGGATTGATACCCGTTGCCAGCAGACACACACGCTTTAAATACCTCCTATGCAAAGTGGGGGTGCACACATACACACACACACACCTGTATGCGTGCAGCTGTGTATATTCATACTGTACAGGCTGCCAGTACAGTGGCAGGTAGCTGACGCTGAGCACTGAGCGCTGAGTTTTTAGCGCAATGGCGCCTGCTCGGCATATTAATGAACTCCCTTTTGAGCAAAAGAAATATGAAATTAAAATAAAATTTTGTTGCCAACAAAAAAGTAAGCAGAAGAAGAAGAGAAATATAAAAACGCCGTGTCCACGTTCGGGTCCGACAAACTGCCGCCGTATTGGAATTGGAAATTGTTTTAGTCAAAGCCAAAAAGTCAATTGAATGCAAGCCTGGACACTAGCCAGGGCGTTACTTCCGCTATGCATAGGCCAACCAAAGACAGGGATTTCAATAGAGCTTGACGAGACCCGACGCTCCAGACGCACCAGACGGACCAGACGGACCAACAGACCTTCGCAGTAAACTGTAGCCAAGTAGAGCTCTCTGCACATTACATACATGTATTTATGGCCAATTAGATAAAACAGTCACGTGCCATGCCAAGCGCTGCCTTCTACTATATAACTCTGCCGACTTACACTTACATATATATATACATATTTCTTATATACATGCATATATATAAATAGTTGATATATAAAAAGCGTGTATATATAGGTGGCCATTGGTATATGGCATTTGTTCTGCTATTAAAATGCATTCGGATTCGTAAGTATTTGTTTAATAATTTGAATATTATTATTCATATGAACACGTCGCATGATTCGTTTCGTTATAAAGTGCTATAAAGTCGGCAGCTCACGCGCCAATTTAGTGACCAAAAGACAAAAAAAAAACAATTTGAATTCCAATGTTTGGGACATCATCGCAATGATTCAAAGAGTTTTTTGGTTTTGGTTTTGGCTTCCAAATATACAAAATAAAAATCAACTATAAAACCCTTTCTTCGTATATGGCATATGGGTTTAGCTTCGACAAAGTACCGTTGTCTCTTCTGCTGCTTCTTCTTTTTCTTTGTTTTCATACCCATATTTTCTATTTCCGTTTGTGAGTCAAATTATTTTCCATTAATTTGCAGTTTTATATGCATCGGGCGATCCATCGATTTAGCCATAACTACTTTTTCGTCTGACTGTTTCGTAATATCTCTGGATTCAATTCAGTATTCTCTATTTCTTTTATAGTTTACCCTAATATGCCAGCACTAACTGAACTGTTGAAATTTCTCTTAATTATCCATTTCATATTTTAGGCACATTTGCTTAAAACTATTTTTATGAAAGCAACGGAAATTAGTTTCCTATAAGAAAAAATGAAAGATTCTCATAAGCCTTAGCGGAAATAGGCAGGGAAAGTGTGGAAATTTTGTTTAAGGAAATCCAAAATGTTTGTTATTTGGAACAAATAAATTTAAAATTTAATGTTAAAATCTAAAGTTCTCATATAACTTCGCTTAAACTGTTCACGTTTTTTTTTTAAATATATAAAAATAAATATATTATTTATGTTTCAGAACAATATGTAAAAAAGAACTAAAAAATAATCAAGAGTTACAAATTTTTTAAGTTAACTCCCACAACTAACACCAACAATCGAATTTTTATGAATTGGGAACACAAACATAATATTCACTGTGATTTTAGCAATGTTATATGCTATGCAATATAATTATTTTTGATTTTAATCATTTAATTTTGACTAGCAAATTAAAATCTTTATTTTTATAAACATATTTTTTTAAATTATATATGGTAAGAGCAATAATAAGTAATTAAAATAATTTTCCAGCTTACAACATACTATACATTTATATTTATAAAGTACTTAAATCATTAACCTTAAAATACGCTTTGTTGGGTCTTGAAATTTAAATTTAAATTATGGCGCACTCAGTCTAGTGCTGACAACTGGATTCGTGTGGGCAAGCAACGATAGTTAACGATAGCCACTTAATAGCACAACATAACGATAGTGCACGATAGCTTAACAGCTGATAACCAACTGTTAAATTCAAATTGGAAATATTAATCATATACTAAATAAATTGAAATATATTCTAATATGTATTGCAAACAACACAAAAACGTATGGAATTAAACATCTATAGCAGATATCTTTATTATCTATATTATATTGATAGTTTCAATTTTGATATTACTACTCACTGTTAATAACTGTTCTTGAAAATGTTAAGCAATTGGCGCTGTTAAATCTGCTGTTTGGATTTTGCTTGTGATACAAGAGGAAAAGTATTTTAATTATTTATTTATCTTAGTATGCGTCCCAAACTAAGCATAAGGGAGGAAGTGGAGCAGCTGTTTGAGAAGAAGTTTCAATACCAGAAGCCGAAAAGCGATGTTTGGCTGCTGCCAACACAAAAGCCGCTCTTCAGCGAATTCTATCAATACGAATCGCTGCAGGAGCTGAAGGAACAGCTTAACAACGTTAAAAGCAAATTGAATAATTATGGCGTACAAGAGTGGAGCACACATACAAATCGCCGTGATCCATCGGGCGAGATTTCCTGGCGACTCAAAAATGAAACTAAAGCGGAGTTCGTGACTGTGAGTGGGGATTGTGTCTAAACTGAATGGTTCTTTACCAACTATTTGCTTGACAGGTAGCTTGGTGCAAGTTCTTCGAGTGTCTGCATCGTTATCCACTGGTCACGCAAACGGAATTGAATACTCTGCATCTTTGCGAGGCGCCAGGTGCCTTCATAGCTGCTCTCAATCATTATTTGCACTCGGTTCACAAAAAGGAAGAGGTATTTATAAATGGATTATTCTGTGAGAAACTAATTTAACTAATTATTTTGCAGATTAATTGGCAGTGGCGTTCCACTACGCTAAATCCCTACTATGAGGGCAATGCGCTGAATGAAATGGTAACCGATGATCGCTTCATCTTTCACACGCTCAGCAATTGGCTCTTCCACAAGGACTTCACTGGAAATCTACTCAATGTGGAGAACATCGCGCATATGATAGAAATCTGTGCCAAGGATTTGCCAGCTGGTGTACAATTGATAACAGCCGATGGCTCCATCGACTGTTCGGCCCAACCAGATTGCCAAGAGGAGATTGTAGCGCGACTCTTATTCGCAGAGATCTTGAGTGCCCTTCATATACTAAGTCCAAATGGAAACTTTCTTATCAAAATGTTTACGCTCTTCGAGGCGTGTAGCGTATCAATTATGTTTATGCTCAACTGTATATTCGAACATGTGCACATCTTTAAGCCGGCCACATCAAAGCGTGGCAATTCGGAAGTCTATGTTATATGCCTCAACTATCAAAAGGATACGTCTGGGTTGCCGCATGTGCTGGAGGCGATGCGAGCGAGACTCTTGCAGCCAAACGATCCAATGGTGATGCCTCTGTTTGCCAAATCACATATACCCAAAGATTTTCTGCTCCAGCACAACGCCGCCTGTCGACTATTTCTCAAGCTGCAGGAGGACGGTATCGAGGGCAGCATCTATGCGTATGAGTCCAAGGATCGCTACTATTTGCGTCATCTGCATCAGCTGCGCGGCGTTGTCTCCTCCATGTACTACAATCGCTACAAGGTGCGGCCGCTGGCTGAGGAGCTGTGCATCGTTCAGCAGGCAGATATCAATAAGGCTTTGGGTTTGTCGGTGCCTTTTTATGGCGGCTCCTATACGGAACGAGAGCATCTGCGTCAGGGCGATCTGCTGAAGCAAATCTATTGCCTGCGTCGCGAGTTTAATCAACTGGAGAAGTGTTCCACTGGCATGCGCACCTATAGCCATGTCAAGCTACATGCCAAGCAGCTACAATTGCAACCATATCGAGGTGCCCCAGTCGGACAGCTGCTGAGCAGTTTATTTGCCTCCGAGCCGGTGCTGCTGTTGCGTTTGCGGCTACTGCAGACATTCGCGCTGGATCCGATTTGGCAAACAGAGTCAAAATGTTTGCTCTACGATGGCAGCAATCACATAATGCGCGAATTTGATTACGCACCTGCCAACTCGGATGATGAGTCAACATTTTATAAAGTTCAGCGCCGCGTATTTGTTGCTTTGGTTGACTCACTGCTAGAGCAACGCCCAGCGAAAATTGTGTTCCAATCATTTCTGTTCCTTAGCCACTATGCGTCATCTGTGCTGTTACTCCTGGCGGAGGAAATCTACGAGGAGACTGAATTTGAAAATCAGACAATTACGTTAACTGGACTATCCAACGAAGCCAAAGCCATGGAACAGCTGCAGCAGCTCCAACAACTGCTCAGCGAGGATGTGACTGAAGGGTTGGATGCCCTACACAGCCTGTTGCCGCTGCAGCAGCTGCACAAGAACCCCTTTGCCAATGCTCTGAACCTGTACAACAATAGTGTCCTGGTCAGTTGCTATCGCCGCATGCTCAGCGAGGAGGCGTTTCCGACTCGCTTCAGGCAGGACGAGCCGCTGGAGACGACTGCTATAAATGAGATTGCAACGATCGTGTGTTAACCGTGTATTTTTGTTTGTAACATAAAAATATGCTCAACGATCGTGAGATTTACTGAATTACATATTTTCTCTTCTTTTTCGTTTTTTGTTTCTTGTATTTAAAAACAATTAATGCAAATTAATTTCTACTACAAATATTTCTCAAGTTTATACAAATTTGACAAGAGCGCGCATAAACTGAATTTTTGCAGTTTATACATTTCTATATATATATTTATATATTATTATATATATATAATTCCATCTTTTCTTCTAAGCAAAATTTGTGTTCATTTCGTGTTTGTGTGTGTGGGTGCTTGACAATGCAAGTGGTAGTGTGTGGGTGTATGCTTATGTGTATGTGTGTTTATGTGGGTGTGTGTGTGTTTGTGTTTTGGGTGCTTCTCATCAATTCTCATCCTGGTTTACAGTTTGGTTTTTTATAAAAGCGGCGCCGGCGCCTCGCCTCGCCTTAATTGAACTAATCAGCCGGACGCTTTTCGCTGTGTTTCCTGGTATAATCCTCAGCATTTTTCACAAACTTCTTTTTGTCCTTGAGAAATTCTTCGGCCAGTTCGGCGCGCAGCGGATGTTCGGGTTCGGGATCATTGATGAGGGCTATTAGCGCCTGCACCACTTGGTCGGTGCGTGTGGCTGGCTTCCAGTTTTCGGTGCTAATGATGGGCAAACAGACCTGACCTTTTTCATCGATGTTCGGATGGTAGATTTTTGTTTTGAAACTAATCTTTGGTGGCTTGAAGGGATATTCGGCCGGGAAATTGATTTCGATGCGAAAGGCGCCCTTGTTGTAGGGCGGATTATCCGGCACAATCAGGCCCGTCCAGCGCAGAAGATTATCATCGTCGGCCTTGATGTCACGAAACGATTTTAAACTACTTTCCTGCAAGTCTACGAGTTCCTTGCGCAGACGTCGCGGGGCAGTCATTTTTTCTACTTTATAATAATTGTTGCAAATCGATGGCACTTGCAGCTGGTAGTTTTCTATTTGGCTATGATGCAATAGCTTGTTGCCGTTTATTTGCGATGTATATAGAGGATCTGTGTGCTAGTTAAGCACTCTTTTTTACATTTTTTGTGGCAAGCTCTATTTAATTTTTATTCTCATCAGAGTTGTGTAGTATTAGTACGTTTGTGTCGTTATTTAGGTGGTTATTCGATACTTCATTGGTAAGATGCGTTATTAACGATGTGGCAGCTCTGTAAAATATAACACTACTGTTGTCCTGCTTTCACACATGCCACTTGCCATACTAACAGCAACAGCTGCTACGCTCACGTTTATACGGCAAACAGCCATGCACCTGTTTATACGTTCTCATACTAGCATATGGTGTGAGCTTTTATGAATTTACATTTGCTTATCAATTATGCTCAGTTATAATTTATTTTAATTTTAACTTCTTTTGCTTCATTCTCTAAAGAAACAAAGAAAACTGCTGTGTAATGGCAATGAAGAGCTTGAGACGCATAAATGAGCAAATGTGGTATTCACACAAAATGTAACAAATTTAGTTATCGATTGACGAATTGCAATCGAAATTTGTGCCGCAACACGTGCGCCAAGTTGTTTCGTTTTGTTTTCTATTAAAAATGACTAAAAAACAGACAATAAAACGTAAAGTTAAGGAACCAGAGCCCACAAATGAAGAATCTGTTTCTGAACAATCAGACAATGAAGAAAATGAGGTAAGCTAAGAAAATGATTACATTCTTAAGTTAGACTCCAATGTTTGTTTTCTTTTTTGGACAAGGATCTGCTGCAAGCTGTAAAAGATCCCGGAGAGGACACGACTGACGATGAAGGCATAGATCAAGAATATCAGTCGGACAGCAGCGAGGATCTGGAGTTTGAGAGCGACGAAGAAGGTAACTATTTGGGCAGAAGGGGGAACAAGGCAGAAGAAGGTAAAGACGCAGATGACGACGAAGGTGAAGATGAAGATGAAGATGAAGATGAGGAAGATGATGAGGAGGATGATGACTCCGATGATGATAGTGAGGACAGTGATGCTAATGATGCCTCTGCAACACCTAAGGACGATCAGCCTAGCAGCAGTAAAGCAGCTGATGCCCAGACAAAAGCCGAGCCCATCATTGAGATAATTCCACGTGATCCTTCAAAGCCAGAGTACGAGGAGTCGGACACTTCTGATGAGGAGGATATACGTAACACAGTGGGAAACATACCTATGCACTGGTATGATGAATATAAGCACATTGGCTACGATTGGGATGCAAAGAAAATTGTTAAGCCGCCAAAGGGCGATCAAATTGATGATTTCTTGCGCAAGATCGAGGATCCGAACTTTTGGCGCACGGTCAAGGATCCTCTGACTGGTCAGGAAGTGTTGCTAACCGATGAGGATATAGCACTGATCAAGCGTATCAACTCATCGCGCATACCAAATCCTGAACACAATGAGTACGCTCCATGGATCGAGTGGTTCACCTCGGAGGTGGAAAAAATGCCTATCAAGAATGTACCGGATCACAAGCGATCGTTCCTGCCCTCAGTGTCGGAAAAGAAGAAAGTCTCACGTATGGTCCATGCCCTCAAAATGGGTTGGATGAAGACTACTGAGGAAGTGGAACGAGAGAAGCAACAGAAGCGTGGTCCAAAGTTCTATATGCTCTGGGAAACTGATACGGGACGGGAGCATATGCGTCGCATACATGATCCTGTGTCGGCGCCCAAGCGTGATCTCCCCGGTCATGCTGAATCGTATAATCCACCGCCTGAGTATCTGTTCGACGAGAAGGAGACCAAGGAGTGGCTCAAGCTAAAGGATGAGCCACACAAGCGCAAGCTGCATTTCATGCCACAGAAGTTCAAATCCCTGCGCGCCGTCCCAGCCTATTCCCGCTATTTGCGCGAGCGTTTCCTGCGCTGTTTGGATCTGTACTTGTGTCCTCGTGCCAAGCGTGTCAAATTGAATATTGATGCAGAGTATCTGATACCCAAATTGCCTTCGCCACGCGATCTGCAGCCATTCCCCACAGTGGAGAGTCTTGTCTATCGCGGCCACACAGATCTGGTGCGCTCGGTTAGCGTGGAGCCAAAGGGAGAGTACTTGGTTTCTGGTTCCGATGATAAGACAGTCAAGAGTAAGTGAATCATATGCCATTGCTTTCAAATGCTTCTCTAAATACATATATATATTTCATTTCAGTTTGGGAAATCGCCACCGGCCGTTGCATTCGCACTATTGAGACTAATGATGTGGTCCGTTGCGTTGCCTGGTGTCCTAATGCTAAGTTATCCATTATTGCTGTGGCCACTGGCAGTCGCTTGCTCCTCATTAATCCTAAGGTGGGCGACAAGCTGATCATTAAGAAAACGGACGATCTGCTCGCCGAATCGCCTAGTCAGGATATCATTGAGAATGAACGCATTAAAACAGCTGTACAATGGTCCAATGCGGACCCCGATGAGCAGGAGAAGGGCGTTCGTGTAGTCATAACACACTTCAAGCCCATACGTCAGGTGACTTGGCATGGTCGAGGTGATTATCTGGCCACCGTAATGCCAGAGGGTGCCAATCGCTCAGCTCTCATACATCAGCTCTCCAAGCGTCGCTCACAAATACCTTTCTCCAAGAGCAAGGGCCTGATACAGTGCGTGCTGTTTCATCCAGTCAAACCTTGCTTCTTTGTGGCAGTAAGTGTCTTTTGTCCACATCTTCTCATCTTATTACATGTCATGTACCTATCTTTGCAGACTCAGCATAACATTCGCATATATGATCTGGTTAAGCAGGAGCTGATCAAGAAGCTGTTAACCAACTCCAAGTGGATATCGGGCATGTCTATACATCCTAAGGGTGATAATCTGCTAGTGTCCACCTATGACAAGAAGATGCTCTGGTTTGATTTGGATCTGTCTACCAAACCGTATCAAACAATGCGTTTGCATCGTAATGCCGTGCGCAGCGTGGCCTTCCATTTGCGCTATCCTCTGTTTGCCTCCGGCAGCGATGACCAAGCAGTCATTGTCTCCCATGGCATGGTTTATAAGTGAGTATTATGTCAGTGCTCCTTTAAGTATGCGATGCTCATCCTCTATTATTCTCTTTTAGCGATCTGCTCCAAAATCCATTGATTGTACCGCTCAAGAAGCTGCAGACGCACGAGAAACGCGACGAGTTCGGAGTCCTGGATGTTAACTGGCACCCGGTGCAGCCATGGGTGTTCTCCACAGGCGCCGATTGCACAATTAGGCTCTACACATAAATCGTGCAACACGTTGCATCTTTAGTTTTTTAAGCGCTCAATTTGTAATATGAATGTTGAACGGTAGTAAACAATATATCCAATTGAATCACAATTGAATCACATTCGGTGTGTGTATGTGTGCGTCTGTGTCCTGCTTGGAAAAGCTTGAATACAACCCTGGTCAGCTTAACCACCCAACAGGCAATCACTGTCCGGCGCCTGCTCCCCGGGGGTCGTTTAACCAGAGAGAAAGAGAGGAAAGCACAAGAGCATAAAATTACGAACTAACACCAAAAGGCAACAACAAGGCTGCTGCTCATTAATACATTTACAGTTTTTTTTTTTGGTGTGCTCAATTCAAGCAGCAACAGCAACATCAATGCCCGAAAGCACAGATCCCAACCAAATTCCAGTACAGTGTGAAGTGAGTGGGAGCGTGTGAGAGAGTGAGTGAGAGCAAAAGCTTTTCGCTATTCTCTTTTGGTCAAAAGCATTCGCGCGCACATGTCGCGATGTGTACCAGGAATCTAATCGCCTCGCTTTCGGCTCCACCACCAAACAACAACAGCAACTGTATAGCTATTTGAAAGCTTTTCCTTCAATCAGCAGTCAGTCGCTAGCCTTTGCCCATGTGAAGAGAAACGTTTGCACTTGTGCTCGTGCCGTCGTCGTCGGTCGTTGTCGTCGAGGATTTTGGGTTTTGGCTATCAGAGCGCGCACACACACACACAAATACGAAATAAAAGAACCAAAAAAATAGCAAAGAAATTCACACGTATAGAAAAAAGCGCAGCAGTGAAAATGAAACGGCAATAATGTGGTAAAACCAAAGCCCTCCCCTTCCCAAAAACAAAAAAAAAATGAAAAATAAATAAAAAAAATATGGCAAGTGTCGAGCTATAGAAAAATGCCAAAAATGTGAGAAATATTGGAATATGAGAATCCAACAATTTAACGAATGTAATCATCAAATATAACGAGTGTCTAGCTAAATTGCACTACTTGCTCGCACTCTCTCGCTTACTCCTGAAGCCTCGCGCCCTCTCCCCCTCCACTCCACTCCCTTGAATCTAGCTCGCGTTCTCTCTCCTTGGCTCTCTTTCTCTGTGTAGAAGTTGAATCAAAGCAAAATCATTCAGAGCAAAAAGAAAGAAAGAAGAAAAATACCTACACATATTTTTAGTGTGGCAAAAAAAGAAAGAAATTGTATATATTCGTTGCTCCTAAATACATAGAGCAGACACACAAACTAAAACAAAATCAAATCAGAGTGTATATTACTGTGTATGTGTGTGCGTGTGTGTAAGTGTGTTTGTATAAATGTGAGCGGAAGCGCACACGATTGGAAATTGTTCAATATATATTTTAGCAAATGTAACGGCTGCAGTGTATGTGTGTGTGTGTTAAATGCTAAGAAACAATCATCAGCAGCAACAGCAGCAGCATCAAGTGCAATTAGCAGCTCTGCCCTCTGCAGCTGCCACAACGCACAACAAAAAAACAACAACAATAACAAGCAGCATCAGCAGCCAGGCTAGCTAATCACGCATACGCCCCATCAGCCCCAACCAACGCGAGCCATAACGAAAATCAAAAAAATATATATGTATTTACATATACATACATATGTATACACATATACATATGTATTGAAGAAAATAACAGTCAGGCGACCTCGCTGCCGCCATCGTGTGTAGCATGTGTGTGTGTGTGTGTGTAATGACTAGCACAAGAAATAAATATAACAAAAAAATTCCAAATACATCTCCAGCTGCTCGCTGGAACTAGGAAAATGCTAAAAGAGAAATCAAATAAAAATAAAAGGAATTTCATAACACATGATATAAAATTCCCGTTTCAATTGCTCCTCATTACAAACTAATTTCGCTGTAAATACGAACAGCAATAGCAACAACAACAATAAGAACTACAAGAACACTAAACTAGTACACCCACCAACATCCCCCTCCAGTACCCCCACCTCCTACGCAGCTATTCCCGTGCCATCTGTGGCACCTGCCCACGCACGAAAGTGAGAGCGCGCAAGAACGGACATGTCAGGAGCTGCACCGCACACTAAATCATAATAATAATAATAATAATAGTACACAAATATTCTAACTGTTTTCTGCGCTTCTCTTTTACCCTCCCTTCGCCAACTTCTTCGCTGCTCAGATAAAAGAAATCAAAGGAACAGAAGCAGAGCCCAAAAGGCAGAGGCAAATATTTCTCTGCATATGCATGTAAAAACTAAAAAAAAAATAGAATAATTCGGAGAACAACAACAAGAACAGAAACTACAACAAGAACAGCAACAACAGCTACAACAGCCAGAGCAGCAGCAATAAAATCAAGAGCGTGCAAGGCGCGAGAGTCAAAGCACAAGCAAAAGCACTCGATAAAAAGTTATTAGCGAAAACATAAATACGTAACTTGCTCTCTGGACTCGCGCTCCCTCTCTCTCTCACTCTCCTTCACTCTCTCACTGTCACAAAAAGGGCGCCCAACGCCAACGCCAACGCGCAGCCCAACTGTTCTGCGAGGGTGTATGTGTGTGTGTGTGGGGGAGAGGCAGAACGAGACGGACAGTAGGTAGGTCAGTGGCAGTGGGCGGCAGCCTAGCAGCAGTGCCAGCGCCAGCGGCAGCGGCAGCTGTGGCAGCTACGCCAACGCCAAAGCCAAACGCCAACATCAACTGTAAATTGCAAAGGGCAGGTAAGTGTGGCTCCCAATTAATGTGTGTGTGTGCTCCAATTTGTATGTTGCTTCCAGCATGTCCTGCACCGTTTCCGAACTGCCCAGCGGCTGTCGCTTGCGCGGCATGAATGCATCCTCACAAAACGCAGCTGCGGCCAACAATGGCAACGGCAATGGCAGCGGGGACAGCGTCGGAGTTGGAGCTGGCAGCGCCACAGCGGGCGTTGGCGGTAACAGCGGCACAACGGGCACTAGCACAACGCTGCAGGGCAGCGTGAGCGCTACATCGAATGTGCTGCAGGAGTCAAATGCGCCGCTGCAGCGGCCGCAAACACAGAAGCCATGCTGCTTTTGTTGGTGTTGTTGTTGTTCCTGCTCCTGGTGAGTACAATCCAAACTTTAACTGTTTCCTGCAATATGTAGGTAACATACAAACTCATACAAACATATAAATATATATATATGTATATTTAAACGGAATCTATTTCATTGCCGCTGCTCCACGGGTCGTCCAACCACAACAACAGGGCTAAGTGGTAAGTTCCTACCTACACACACAAACACACCTACTCCTACACCTACACCAAAACACACGCACACATGTGCACCCACGCAGTCAGGGGCATTGCCTGCTCTCGTCATTATTTGCAGCTGGCAATGCTCTATTTGCTAGGCGAATAGTAAAAGCACTCTCTTTAGCGCATGCTATCCCACTCTATCTTACACTAGCTAGAGGGCACAAATGTTTCATTCACAATTCGCGGGAGCGCCAAAAGCTCTGAGCAGAGTATTTTTCAAAAATCACATCCAAACAATTGAAGGCAGGCGGATTCTAATGCTGTTGCTATTGTTGTTGCTGTTGTTGCAGAAATGTTGCAAGTTTTCGTGAATGAAAATGAAAGCTGTTCATTGCCTTGCTGGGTGGGCATAACTCCCGCGCTTTTGTAGACTTAGCTATTGTCCATCTATTCGCATTTAATCATACCAAGTACTTGTGCATATATATAATACACACATACTCACGTACGGACGTACGTAAATATGTTATATTGGCAAGCTGTCCAAGCGCGGTAAACAGATAACGAACTTTGATGAGTTCCTATGTAGAGAGGGTGCTTGTAATGCTTACCTGATATGAGGCAGCCAAATCTAATCGTAGATAACGTGTGGCCAGTTTACAGTTAACCACTGTGCTGGCAACAACAAATTATAGTAGAGCCAGCAAAAGTCAGCAAAAGCAAAACCGTTAAAGTAACTCGCAACAGCTGTTTCTCAAGTTGCAAAAAGCTTTCTTATATCGGTGATCCTTAACGCAATTACAATAAGTAAAAGCTCTAAGCTGATTCAAAGTCGTAAGCGAAAAAGCTTTAAATGCAGCAGAAAGAGAAACGTACAATGATTGGCTTAACTAAACGTTGGCTGTACGTATCGAACATAAGAATGTGCTTAATGATACCCTTTAAAAAGTAATACAGAGTAAAATAATAGATAACGATAAATAGATCCCGACTATGAAAATTTATTCTGCAAAGAACTAAAGCTATTTATTAAGACTTATATAGTAAATTTATTATAATTTATATCAACATATATGCATTCGCTTGTATATGTAACACATATATACCTTGCATGTTTGGTTTCTAGAGCAGCGATATGATATGACAATACAATCTAATACTTGGAATAGCTACCAAATGAGTAGTAACCTTAGCTAATAGGGAAGAAATAAATGAATCTATATTATAGAAGTATCCGAACTTTATTAAATATACCCCATATTTATTTTGCTTTTTTATAAACTCGACTTGTATATCATTATTATCTATTTATTATCTGTTTATTATTGTGCATTTTTCTATCATTTTAACAGTCTTGCCATCAAGAATGCGGATGAAAATGCGCCCACCAAACGTGATCTCGTTAACGCCGAATTCCTAGATGGCGATCAGTAAGTTTTAGTTATAGAGTATACCAAATTTATAGCTTGATTTTTTGACATCAAATTAAATATTTGCAGACCCACATTAGAAGAAATACGTAGTTGGGGTAAAAGCTTTGATAAACTAATGACGAATTCAAGTAAGTAACAATATCTATAGATTAAATTACATATATCTATATGTTGACATATTTCCCAGATGGCCGCAAAGTCTTTCGTGATTTTCTGCGCAGCGAATTCAGTGAGGAGAACATCCTGTTCTGGTTAGCCTGCGAGGATCTGAAAAAGGAGAACAGCGCCGAGGTGGTCGAGGAGAAGGCGCGCCTGATATATGAGGATTATATATCGATACTATCGCCGCGAGAGGTGTCGCTCGATTCGCGAGTGCGTGAGATTGTTAATCGCAATATGATTGAGCCGACGACTCGCACCTTTGACGAAGCTCAAATACAAATCTATACGCTGATGCACAGAGACTCATATCCCAGGCAAGCTCACACATATGATATAGAAAGATAAATATATAAATATATAACGATTTTCTTTCCAGATTCCTAAACTCGCAAAAGTTCAAGACACTCGCTCAAATGCAAGACAATTCGAATGCCGGCTCCAAGGCGGATAGTCCCACTTAGAATGTTATTTAACCATTTTCGGACTTTCATTTAACTTTAGAATTCTTTATTATTTGTTCGGTTAGTCCTTAGGGTCTAAGCGACAGCTGTAGCCGCTGTCCTGCCGCCGTTCGCTCAGCTCTTATTTAAAACAAAAGAAGTTATATAGAAGCAATATGTCATACAAACTACATGAATAAAACTAATTCCAAAAGTGAACTATATATATATATATACATATATATATATATATATATATATATGTTAGCTGGCGATCGGTGGAAGCAGCGGCAACAGTTGCGACTTGCTCTAAGTCAGATAGATACCATATATATATATAGGGCAACGCAACAACCAACTTAGACGATATATGATGCATTATGTGAAACCGATTCCTTCTTTACAATGTTCTAGTCGTTAACAAGAAACCAAAAGAAAAACCAAACTAGGAAATTTATATAAAAGAAAAGAAAAGAAAAGAAAACTTAGTTGTTAAACTTAAACGCGGGCAACGGGTTAGATAATACACACTATATATATATCTATATATACAGCAGGCATTTCTAGGGAGAAACTTTAAGAAGCAGATATAAGTTAAATATTTGTATAATGTATATTAGTTTGTATTGTCTGGCCCAGTCTGGTACCCAGTCTACAGATTGCGAAACAATTAGCATTATATTGTAATAATTGTTTATACTAAGACGTATTAATCAAATTGAAACAAAACAAAAACAAAAACAAACTTTAACGCAAATACTTTTCCAAAAACAAAAAATGAGAAAACCAAAGAGAAAAAAATAAGCAAACATTTTTAAAAAACGTATTATACTTAACATTTATACTTGTAACTTAACTTAATTAGTCTTGAAAACATTTTAGATCATATTAAAAGAAATCATATATATATATATTATATGTATATATATGACTAGCAACATCGAAGCATTCTGTAAATAAAAAATACAACAAAAACTTAACAAAAAAATTAAATAATATGATTAATAGCAATTTAGTTGCGATTACGTTGTGACATGGCATTACAGTTCGTTAGTTTTCACAAAGAAATAATATTAACAACAAATTATATATATATATATATTATTTAAAATAGTAATACGAACTCGGAATCAAGACAATTTGAATTGTGTCTCAAGTATGTAACAACAACACAAAAAAATATATATATACAAAAATATAGATTACATATTTATTGTACATTTGTTTTAAATGAAAGAAGAAAAAATAAGAAATTTACAATGTCAAAAAGTTCTTAACAAATTGTCTCCTACTCGGATGCTAAGCGCACGCAACTAAACTCTATGCGCGTTTACTAAGTATTTTATTTGCATTGATTTCAAATCGAAAAACAAAAAAAAAAACAAAAAATATTTAAGAGAAATAACAACAAAAAGAAAAAAATGAAAACGTTTCGCAATATCACTGCCAACTCCGCAAGAGATATATCATATATATATTATATATGTATATATATATATATATGTATATGTATCACATACAAAGCAGTTGCGTTTACTACCCGCACACACACACGCACACGCACACATACACACACAGGCAACTGCGAACTGGGCTTATCAAGATGATACTACAGTACAACCCCCTCGCCCCTTCAGCCATGCATCGCGCCAACTCTGCTCCCGTCAAACAAACCCCAAAAATTCACACGCTGCGGCGCGTTAGTTTTTCTTGCATTCAAAACACTTCAGTATTAACATGAAAGGGAATACTACAATCGGCAGCTACCGACTGCACAATACTCGTTCACGACGCGAAGAATAGCTCGATGACCTCATGTATGTATCATATAATTTATAAGATTATTCTGTAGAACTAGTCTGTTTCATATTTTGTGTCTAAAACTATGGCAGTTATAGTTTCACTTTACGATTTGTCACGCTTAAGACTGGACTAATATATATTATATTCGATCAATCTGTTAAGCAGATTAACAGTTATGCTAAATTTTGGGTGTCCAGTTATAATTCTAGCAGTCAAATTCCAAGTCGATGAAGGAGTTTATAGAGTTTCCGATTCAAATAAAATATGTCCAATTTCAAGTGTTTAACTTTGCCTTACTACGCACAGTCGAGCGAATACTACTGGGAACACTGCATAGCAGCCAATATACCCTATTTGACATCGTGAACGTGTATTAAAATAAATTTTTGGCACAGCCAAGGGTTAACTACCTTTTGCAGAGTTTGTTTATAAAAGATTTAGCAATTCTTAGGTCAAAAATATTAATTTCTAAATTTAAAAAAAAGTGCAAAAAAAATATTTAAAATTGAAATAAAAATGCAAGAAAATTAATTGTGTTTTTTATAGTAAGCCAAAACAATATGAGGAAATATGATTTAATTGTATTTGCAATTTATTATTTTAAGAAAGTGTTAAAACTAGTAGCAGTGTTAGTAACAGTGTTGCAAAACATTCAACAAGCGGTAAAAGCATTTTGAAATTGATATCTTTTCAAGTTCCAAATAAAAACAAATAACTAATATTAATAATTTAATTAATTTTTAATTTAATTTAGCTTTTTTAAGTATAAAAATTTATTTAGCTTTATTATTTATACGCATATATCGATCTAATAAATTAGTTCAATTTTATAAATATTTATTTCAACATTTCTAATTTCTATAAGCCTTAAAAAATTAAAAAACATATTTTTTTTAAATTAAATCCTTTAGCAAATTTTAAAAAATTTCTGAACATTTTTTAAATTTCTTAAATTTTGCTAAATTTAAACCAAACTATAGTTGGTCAGTTTCGAATTTTCTTTGCCTTTTTCTAAAATTGTATATTACTATTCGATTTTTGTCATAGCTTCAAATCTCAATAAACAACTCTGCAAGGCGTTAAAACTGAAAACAAATATAAGTAATAAAAAAAATTAAATTTTAAATTTAAATTTAAATTTTTAGCAAACGTTGTCGAATTAATTAGAAAAAAATATGAGATTAAAAAAAATATATAAACAAAAGTTAACATGAGTTTTAACAACTGAAACGACGAATTACGTGAACGTAGTTCGAGGCACAGCATTTTAAAGCACAAAGGAAAAACAAAAAAGTTTCGTATTTAAAGATCAAATCATAAAAATTTATAAATTTAAATAGAAAAGTGTTACCTCAGTTGAAAGCAGAGTGTTTTTAGTAGACATTAGCTAGTTGGTGTGTCTAGTTTTAAATACGTATTAAATAGCCAAATACACACACACACACACATACACACTGACACACACAGCGGTACGAGGTCTTTCATAGATCTTCCTTTTCTTCTAGCAAAACAAAAACAGACCGCCACGCCCCCTTATCCAGTTGCCTTTAGGCTTTTTAGCTTCAGTTCTATTCGCACTCTAGCCAATAATACCAAAAAATACCGACAAAATACCAACTAACAGTAGACCTAAACCAAAAGCTCATTGAATTTACTTCACTCAGGCTGCGACATGGAATTGAAAATTCGACAACCTATTTGCATTAGCATATGTCTATCGATAAGTATCGATAAGTTATCGATTTTTCATTTTCTATGCTTTGTTAATAATACTACAAATTACATTTCTTTCTATGAGTGAAAATAGTTTATAAAAATATTTTATTTTTAATATTCTCAAACGCGCAAACACACACACACATACATATACATATACTTACATATATATAAATATATACTATATAATTGTATATGAAATACATACATAAATGTAAATGTAATCGCAAAAAAAAAGAAAAAACAAAAACAAAGTATTAGTAAAAAGTTTCGACCAGTTAAAAAAACAAATACAAATTAAATTTATTATTAAAAAAAACTAAAAAAAATTGAAAAAAAAAATTGAATACAAAAAACATGTTTAAACTAAGCATACATTTAGATTAAAAAAAAACAACAAATTTAATATATTGCAACAATAAACAACATGAAAATAAAAACTGAAATTTAATGAAAAATGCAACAAAAAATTGGTAAAGCGTCTTTGAATTTTTTATTTCTAGAACATTCGCGTGTTAACGTAAGAAAGTTAACACGACGTTAAATTCATATATAATATTAATTAAGTATTTCAAAATTACGTTAACATGTGAATGACTAAAATTTTAAAATTGATCACCTATTATTTAATTGTTATATATTTTACTTAATTTTAAATTTATATTATGCATGCAAAACGTCTAGAGAATATGAATGGCTGCAGCAGCGCAATGCAAAACCAAATGGAACACCCTGTATGTGGACTGGCAGAAAACACGGCAAAAAGCACACTGAGCAAACAGTCGGTACCGTCCACACGACAAAGCGTTGATTTTGCTGCCGCTGCTGCTGTTGACGCAGCAGTCACCTCTGCTGCTGCTCTTGTTGCTGCTGTCGTAAGGCGGCGTCGGAGTCTGTGCCGACGGCTACATGGCATTCATTTGTGCTACATGCATAACTATTTTAAATGCGCATGTGTGTGTCTCTCTCTCTCTCTCTCTCTTGCTCTCTTGCTCTCTCACTCTCACTGTCTCTGTCTCTGTTGACAGCTATCTGCGTTGGCCTCTACCTGGTGCACTACCACTTTCACAATGTGTGCAGCAGCAGCGCAGCAGCAACAGAAGCAAAACAAAAAAAGCCAAGGCACAGCATGTTCGAAATGTTTGAAAGTTCGAAAATGAATGCAAGCCACAAAATGAACCTGAAAGCTACAAAAGCGCAGAGGAGTACAGGGCCGGATCAGCGGGCAGGCGCAAAGCGTTCGTCCAACTGGAAACGCGGGCGCCGTCTTGCAAAATGCGCTAAGAGCGCGCCTGTAAACACTTTTAGTCAAGTTTCAAACCACACAATGCGAACAAGTTCGTTGCCTGAGTCATTTGTTATTGCACAAGCTATTAAATGCGTACCTGGAAAACGCGGCTCTAGAGCTATGCAGGTGCACACACAAACACACAGACACACGCAGGCAGCACAACAGGCGCAGGCGCAGGCGCAGGGACAAATGTACATGGTCGGCTACCTGTGTGCGTGTCTGTGTTGCCAGTGTAGAGACAACATCATCATCGAATCGATGAATTTGAGTTTCGCTCGCTCGCTCGGTAGCTGATCCAGTCGACGCCGACGCCGACGCCGACGCCGCTCGCTCAATATCAGTTACGAAAGAGATGAAACCATAAAAAGCAATAATAATCGAGCAACATGCACGCTCTCTCACACAGACATTCACCTGTGAGCGCCTGCACAGACACATGTCGAGAGAGCGAGAGCGAGTGCGAGAGAGGGCGAGCAGCGACTGCGCAGCCGAACAGCAGCAGCCGCAGTCGCAGCGACTGCCGCAGCAGCAGCAGCAACAACACATTCAACAGTTGAACAATCTCCAATTGACTCTTTGGGCATTATAGCCGAGCTCAACGTTCATCCGCGACAAGTTTTTCGTACCTTTCGTGCAGGCGAGTTACACATTTTCGCTTTGGCTCCTCAATAAACAACAAAAAATACAGAAAACAAATTATTAATTGAAATTGCGACGAGCAGAGTTGCCAACGTATTTGCTAAACTCTGCGAAATATTTAAATAGCATAATAAGTGAAGTAAGCCAAGAATAAGAAGAAGAAGCAGCAGCAGCAGAGGCACAAAAAATAGAAACGAAGAAAAGTACAAAAAAAACACACACACACACACACACACACATACATAGAGAGTGAAATACGTTCGCGTTCGTTTCGCGTGTGCCAGCGACTGAGTGTGCGTGTGTGTGTGTGTGCATGTACTCG